GAATTTTTTTTCATTGGCATGCTGCTTGATATCAATGGCTACTGAATCTTTAATCGTCGCGGCACGTACCTGTTTCAAGAAGTCAGCATCAATTGGCACAATAGTAGCGCAAAGCCAAAATTGCTCTAGCTTCAACGACTTCGTACATTATTGATCAAACGCTGCTTCTCCAACCTTTGGTACAAGATACGATCTCCTCGATAAGGCATCAGATAGTCCTTGCTACTTTCCAGGTCGATAAGTGGTAACAAAATCGAACCTAGATAGCAACATACTCTATCGAGCTTGACGTCGATTTAGAACTCGAGCCGACATGAAAGACTCCAAATTCTTGTGATCTGTATATACGGTCACTGGGTATGCAGCTCCTTCAAGAAAATAACGCCATTCTTGGAAAGAATCTAATATAGCAAGAAGTTCCTTATCGTAGATCTCATAATTGATTTCAGCAGCAGAGAACTTTCGAGAATAGAATGCAACCGGATGGAGCTTCTTGTCTTTTCCCATTTGTGAAAGTACAGCTCCCAAAGCAAAATCCGAAGCATGAGTTTCTAAATAAAAGGCTTTTGTAAAGTCTGGATGTACCAAGATTGGAGCCGTAATAAATGCGGTCTTCAGGTCTTGAAACGTCTTCTCCGTAGAGGTCCCCATTCCAGCTTATCCTTGCATGTCAACCGAGTGAAAGAAGCAGCAACTTGAGAGTAATTCTTGATGAAGATCCGATAGAAGTTGGCAAAGCCAAGAAAGCATTGTATGTCTCTCACCATCTTCAGAACCTCCTAGGACATGATTGCTTCCACCTTCTTGGGATCCATCTTCAAGCCTTCCGTAGTCGCAACGAATCCCAAAAACTCCATCTCTATTTGGTGAAATAAACACTTCTCCAATTTGGCATATAGTCCTCGCTCGCGTAGTTTCTCCAAGACCAAACGAACGTGCTTTTCATGCTCTTCCTCATTTTTAGAGAATATCAAAATATCATCCAAATAGATGACAACAAAATCATCAAGGTACTCTCAAAAAATATCATTCATCATATGTTGAAAGACCGTTGGAGCATTGGTAAGACCAAAGGACATGACATTATACTCAAAATGGCCATACCTTATACGGAATGTTGTCTTCCACTCATCTCCTTCCTTAATTCGTACGAGGTTATAGGCTCCCCTTAGATCAATTTTTGTAAAGATCCTTGTACGTCCAAGTTGTTCTAAGAGACCAGAAATCAAGGGTAACAGGTAACGATTCTTCTTTGTTACCTTGTTGAGGCCTCGATAGTCCACGCACATCCACAATGAGCCATCTTTCTTCTTCACAAATAAGATGGGTGCTCTAGTTGATGATTTTGAATGACGGATGAAGTTCTTGGCTAGATTCTCGTCGATGTACTTCCACAACTCCGCCAACTCCGTCTGCGATAGATTGTAGATTGGACCAAAAGGCGGTTGTGCTCCTTCCTGTAAGTCTATGGCACAATCATATGGTCTGTATTTCGATAGCGTGTCGGCATTTTTCTTTTGAAACATATCTTTAAAATCCTTATATTGCTCCAATATACATACTGTCGAGATCTTCTCTCCGGTAGTTGGAGCCGCATAAATGACAAACGGTGTGCCTTCCTTGGACGATCTTATAAATGCTCTTGCTCCAATAAATAAGGATTTCTCTATTCAGGATTTTCTACTAGGCTTGCTCTCGGGTGGTTTTGTGGGAAAGGTCATCTTTTGCAACTTCCAATCTATGCATGGATTATGCTTTTCCAACCAGGAAAGACTAAGAATAATAGAATTTGATGGGGTTCTAATAATATTAAAAATAATATGACTACTATGGCCCTTAAATGTCACTTCTATAGGTTCTGATTCATGGGTGACACTACCAAACAATAAAGGTCGTCCATCTATGACCTCAACGTGAACAGGTTTGGATTTTTGTACTAAAGGGATCTTATGATGCTTCGCTAATTCTTCGTCTAAGATGCTCTTGAATCTAATAATGCTAAGGTTCTCAGTTTCTGAGGGCCAATAAGTAAAGAGATTATAAAACAAAGGGCAGGTTGAGCGGAAAGAAAGGAACCTGGTTGTTGTTGCAATATTTCACTATCCAGCCGCACGGTTCCTATTGTGGTTGGGCATCCTCGTTTTCCTGAATAAACGTGCTCCTAGTCTTGACAATATGTCGATTTTGCTTCTTGGGGCAGTTTCTAATTTTGTGGCCTTCTTCACCGCAATACAAGCATAGACCTTCCTCCATATGCCGCTTTTTTTCTTCTAGAGTAAGGAATTTGACACGTACCACATCAATTTGCATATCTTCTACCTCTCAATGTGAATTCACGCTGCTTGCCGACATAGTTGGGGCGTGGCGAACCGTATGTTGTCTTGAACGTTGGTCTTGGCGACATTGGAATAGGCGGTTATCACACTTCACAGCTTGGCTAATAGCTTCGTTTAGCGTTTGCGGATCAGGAAGAGTTAACAGCAAATCCTTCACATCGTCCCTTAAATCCCAATAGAATTGACTCATCAATGCTTCTTCGTCCTAATTGATGTCGCATGCTAATTGCCTGAAGTCCGATGCATAGACTGATGTAGAGTGCATCCCTTGTCGTAGTGACCAGATCTTTGTTGTAGCCCATCAAACCTTGTCGTGTTCACCAAATGCTTTTGCAAACGCCTCCAAAAAGGTTTCAAAGTTGTTTAATATGGACGATCGTTTCTCAAACAAAGGAGCAAACCATGATAGAGCTTGTCTTGTAAATAAGGTTCTAACAAGCCCAATACGTGACTCCTCCGTTGGATAGCATTTGCGCTGTAAAACTGTTATCAACCTGATTTGGTTGACGAATCCTTGAAACTTGGAATGCGTACCATCGAACTTGTTCGGAAGGCTAACTCGGGGCTCCTTATGTTGTAGAACGAGTGGTGCTTGTCGAACCTGAGGCAAAGTTGCTTCTCCAAGTGCAGAAGTTTGAGGCTGGTGCAACATAGATTGTGCCATCCCAGATGCTCCATCATTATGAAGCCTTGCCACGACTCCTTCAATCTCTATAGTTCTTTGCGATAACGTAGCAAAGGCATTCATGATAGCATCCAACTTAGACTCCAAACTTTCTGTCATACTAATGTCTTGGCCCCCGGCCATTCTAAGAGAAGGACAGAAATGACTCTACAAGAAGACAATATTGGTTTAGAGGAGGGTACTCCGCAACCTCTAAAATGCCTTAAGAGCTTCAAGAAAAGGGATAATCCACTCTCTTCAAGAAGAATAAGACTCCAATATTGTAACAAAAGAAGTATCAGTTTAGAGGTGGGTAATCCGCAACCTCTAAAATGCTAGTACACTTCCAAGCAGAGGGGTAATCCACACTCTAACAAAGAAGAAACTAGCTCTGATATCTGAGGTGAGTGAAGTCTCGACAAACTATCATGGACACAAAAATACAAACTCGAGATCTAACAAGAAGTTCAAGAAGAACTGGCAAGAACTAGATTAATGAGATGAGAACAATACCGGAGAGGTGAGCTAGAGCTCCAAGAGATGTGTTGTCGAGACTGAAGAACTCTTCAACCTCAATTCCAATATATACTTCTATTTAGGAAGCTTCTCAAGCAACTTCTACTAACTAAGAAGCTTCTAGAAGGTTCCAGAGACTTGCTTCTAGAAGGTTTTAGAAACTTATCTCTAGAAGGTTCTAAGGGCTATGTCCCTAATATCTTCTACCAACTAAGAAGCTTCTAGAAGGTTCCAGAGACTTGCTTCTAGAAGGTTCTAGAAACTTGTCTCTAGAAGGTTCTAAGGATTATGTCCCTAACACCTATTTATATTATCTAGATAACTATTAGAATAAACATGTATATCTATGGCATATGTAAAAGCAAAAATGATACCATCCTCACTCTTGTCAATTCTTTTTTTGCTTCTAATTTAGTTTCAAAAATCTCTAATTTTTTAATCTTTGATAATAGTCATTTTAGTTTTTTTTTAAAATATACATACTTTATTATTTCTTTTTTTTTATATTTCTTTGATATATGTTTTACTTATTTATTTTCAAACTTTGACTTCTTGTCCTTGATAGTGGATTGATTTAATATCCTTTTAAATATATTATTCTTTTGAATGGATGCACATAAATATTATTATTTTATTACATATATAAAATAGCATTAGAGTCTCTTGTGCTTTAGAAGTAATATATTAATATGATTGGGTCCAAAACATTTATAGATGAAATAGATATTAATTATTACAAAGATGTATTTGTTAAAATATTATCATAACAACAGAAGTAAAACAAACAAATATTATATATCTCTTGCAAAGAAAATAACATAGATTATAATTAAAGTCCATAGAATGTGGCTTTTAATATCAACTTTAGATGTTACATATCTTTTCACACTCATATATTATAATACTTAATTAAAGTAGATAATAACTAATAGTTTTAGATGATTTTATAGATGAATGAATATATGAAGAGATGCAATGTACTTTGAATAAATGCATACATGCAGATACTATTATCTTTATTTAGTATGTATATATATATATATATATATATATATATATGATGATAATATGATCTAAATTTTACTAAAGTGATCCATTCTATCTTAACTATCATTGCATCCTTGTAGCGTCCATTCCTATTCCTAGCCATTCTCCATTTCCAACCATTGCTAAGAATGGAGGCAAGGGACTAGGAACATCAAAACGGAGGCATAGATTGCGAACATTAAGAATAGGAGCAATAGTTGGGAACAAAAGAATAGTTGGGAATATAGATAGAGTTGAAAGAGTACAATGATGATTTAAACATGTGAATCGATTTAGTAAAAATTTGCGTCACTTTATCATTTCCTTTATATATATATATATATATATTGCTTTCTTCCTAATATCATGTGTAGTCTTGGTCCTAGTGTGAACACGGAGTGTGACTTGCATGAGGCTGTGGTGTGAACGAGGTCCGATGACACCAACGGAGCCCCTCGCAGAGCCCGCGAAGGCGATGCCGACAGCACAACACAGAGCTCTCCTAAGCACCCCAATTACGCCCGGCTTGCGGTGTTTCGATCTGTGCACAACGCCCCCAAATCCAAAATTTCTCTTCAGATGATGCCGCACTGAGTGAGCGCGTTCGAACGAGCAGGAAATGGGTTCGTAGAGGTGATGGTTTTAGAAGCTCCCCTGTTTTTTGTTTTTTTGTTTTCGTTTGCGGCCTTTCATTGCACGGGGACAGTTTCTGGCTGGAGAATTCGTGGCTGCTGATCGTTGATGAGTTGATCGCTGCCGTTATGTCCAGGAGGTGAAACTATTTTTTCGGTTCGGTTCTCCTGGTTGACGTCTTCGAACGCGATCGGTGCAGGTTGGAGATGACGGTTAAATGGTACGTGAACTGTCACAGCTCGAATGTATCATTCTACCGTTCCTTGCTTTGTTTGTGTGTGCGTGTGTGCGTGTGTGTAGTCTAGCTACCGATTAGTTAGTAGACTATACCTCGGGTTTTTCTTGCCGATCCAGGGGACGTGGTAGTTGTGAAGAGGTCTTGATTCAGGATAGGGGATTTAGGGTTTACTGAGCACAGGGGTGAGGAGATGGGGATGGGGGAAGCATTTGGACGTATTGTGTGTCCCAATGGAGTGGATGACGGGTTTCTGTTCTGAGGTATTTTGTAAAGAATAGTTGTGCTCCTTTACAGGCTCTACTACTGGCAGCCCTCGATAGGCGTAACAATGAGCAGCCAAACTCTGTCCATCGCTATTAAGCGCATCGAAGCCTTACATGGCGTGAAGACTTCCCGATGGCAGATCACTGCGTCGCAGTTTCGTCCCAACCAACGAGGTACCTACTTCATTTGCTCCCGTTTGTAAATTCAGCTTATGTCTTCGTCTTTGCTTCTTCGCAGAATTGTTTTACATAAAATCTATGTCATTTGATGTGTTTCCTCTTCCGTCTGCCATTTTCAGAACCGGTACCCTTAGTGGAATGCGCGAGGGAGCTATTGGGGGTGGTGTTCTCGGAGGTACCAGACAAATACTACTTTGCATTGCGGCAAGAGCATATGGTGGTAGAGGCCGACGCCACCATGCAAGCCATTATGGAGAAGCTGCAAGTTTATCGCAACAGACTCACTATCCTTTTTGAAGTAAGAATTATTCTTCTATCGTTCTTCCCTTTGCTGTCTGTTCTTAGGGCAACACTCAAACCAGTATAGAGTTTCTTGTTCAATGTCCCTTCGCTTTCAGAAAATGACAATCCCGTGAGATTTGTCGATGCGCAGGGATTTCAATACGAATTGGGAGATTTCCATATTAAGGCAGGCAGGGCTGTTCTTGCACATACCGAGAATCTCCGTGGCATTGTTTTAGAGGTTTGTCTTTTTGTTGTCTGTCTGGTCATACTATTCTGTTCTGAAGTGGATGTACTTCTCGTTTTTACTGTTTCCTTTCTTGACCCTTCTCTGGTTATAGTCACTCAGTTGGTGGTGTGAAATGCAGGTAGATTATAAGCCTCTGTCATCGGTAGAGCAGTCTCGAAGAGTAGTGCAGGACTTCATGGAGGTGTGGCAGAAAGGCGAGACCACCGGCCAATTCGTGCCTTTGGACCCCAATTTTTCAGAGTTCAACCTGCCTGATCTATATTCATGGCAGCATACTGCCCTACAGTATGTCACACTCATGGCGTTTGTCTTCTCGCAACAAAGAACTTGATCCTCACTTTCAATGAGGAATCATTTCTTGTTTTGCATGCTGGCGGACTCCAGCTTGGTTGGAATTGCAATGCCGTACAAATCATGGCCTAGTTTATCATTTGCAGCACCTGCGTAGTCTGTTTCAAGAGCTGCTTAGATCATCGGGCATTGTAGTTGGGGATAAGGTGCTAGTTATGTATGACGAGTCTTGTCACACAGGTTCACAGAATTTGGTTTTGTGATATCCCCTGTGCTTTTCCATTCTGTGCTCCCAATTAATGGAATCCACCGTTCCATCCACATGTATCATTTACTCGTGCTAAAGGAAACCATGGCACTGTTTACCTCTCCTCTGCACTTCGCTAGTACAAATATAATGTTCACCTCGTTATCTGTAAGGGTTCATTCGTTCCAATCTCATCTAGGTGATTGAGATCTCTTTTACCTGACCCTCGTCTGCATTTGAACGATTTCGTGAAATGTTGCTCACACAGTGTATTCAGTTTAATGGACATTAGGGGAGTGTCAAAGAACTTACGAGTACAATTGATGTAACTCCCAACTGAGATGCTGAGTGAAGCGGGGCCAACGAGGGACTTTCGGAGTGGTTGCAAAGTTCCAGCAATGGATTGAAGGAAAGATTCGAAATTCACTGCATCTTCTACTTTAACAAAAGCCTAGGTCATACAAAGAAATCCTATCAACTTGACGAACATGGAAGCAACATAATGTAAGATCATTTTTCTTAAGATGGGAGACTAGGATAGTGTCGAAAAAGATGCTAAGTATCTCTTTGAGTCGAAAGTCTTGTCCGGCATGAATTTGACCTGCAGGATTTCTGCGTTGAGGACGATGTTCAATTTGTCCACGATGCAGTTAGAGAATTCGGCAGGGTTGAGTGGAGGTTTCCTGTGTCTATGATGACGTCGTGGACACTTGCAGTGCGGTTGCGAGGTTTATACCCTCTCATCGGCCTCCAACTTTAAAAAGTCGATGATGCCGTCGTTCTCTACATGGGATGCAGTGCTGAAAACCCGGCTGTATATGCCTAGTCAGTAGGTTATACCTCCTAGTAATCTTCAGCATTGAACCAAGATGCAGAGTTTCCCACGACAAAATTGTATTTCACAGTAGAGTTAATTTAAGACTAGCTATTGATGCAGTTCTCTGAATGATCTGTTAAAATTACAAATTCATGCGTGTTAATATCTTGGTGCACAAAATGGCAGCACAGTGAAGATCTTAGTCGTTCCAAAAGTGGTGAGTTCGTGGGTTATGCGTCATGACAATTAGCAATTGAATTGGTTACAATCTGGACTGGAACCAATTCATCCACTAAACCTTGCACTCCAGCCAGTCAGCAAGTTGGGCTAAAAGTTGGGCTACTGCTAAGGTCTCATATGAACACTTAGGCTCGTAGACACCTCCACACCAAGGCTACTGAGGCAACAAGGATACTTAATTGGAAGATATCACGACTTAACGAGTGGGGATCAATAAGCACAATACAATACGAGGTGAATTTAGACCGAGGAACAGTGATTACTCATATCATAATTATTTTCATGGTTGAGAAACGAACAATCCAAAGGGATCCTGTGAGGACGATGATATACAGAATATAATTGAAAAACAACTGTTAGACAAACAAACCTGGAGAGAAAACGCAATGTCGCTAATTTGTCAACTTTTTATGTCGTGACAGCCTTTATTGTCGTTCGTCAAGAGCACATAACTACAACCGCCTTCCACCATAGATTGCGAAAGAAGCGGCAGCTACATAGGGAATGAGTAGTTCGAGACCAGCATTAGCAGTCTCTACAGTTCATGTTGCTGCAGTTCAATAACTAAGGCGTTCCATCATTGAGTTTGGAAACAGACCGAGGCGCTCAGGATGATGGCTATAGTGAACTCGCTGTTTGTTCACGGGCGTGTGTACCAAGGCCATGGTACATCTTTAAGGTTACAATTGTCCGCTGTCAGATATGACGATTCGCATAACGGGCACCTCATCTTCACCGAACACGCTGTTATTGATGCGTTCCACGATTTCCATACCCTCGATGACCTCTCCAAATACCACGTACTGGCCGTCGAGCTCAGGAATGGCATCCATCGTGATAAAGAACACCGACCCATTCTTGTCGGGGCCCAGACTGTCCATTGCGAGTAGACCTCTCTGATTTCACAGAATTCGAATTCTTCAGAAAAATTTGTACCCACATCAACTATATCAAGCAAAGGTCTCTGCTCGAAATTGGAATACAAATAGAATGATGTATCCTCGAAATCCGTGCTCATACCTGATTAAACTTATCGTCCCAGCTCTCGGATTTAAACCTACCGCCATAGATGGATTCTACTTCGCCTTCCTTACCCGCTCCCCCTGGGTCCACAAAGCCATCACAGCAAAGCTGTTAATGCCTGGGTATGGCTGGCATCAGTTCCTCTCCACCATGCATTGGCTAGAAAACGCAAGGCTACGCACTTACTCATAATGTCGCCGCCCTGAACCAGTAACCCATGAACTACACGGTGAAACGTAGTATTCTTGTAGTGAAGATTGATGCCCTTCGCATTCATCCCTCGCTCTCCCGTCGCCAGACTCCGAAAGTTTTCTACAGTCCTCGGTGCCTGCCAGATGTCAAAGTGACGTTGCTACCTCATTGACTCGTCTGGACACAACCAGAATCTCAGAAAAAGCAAACTTTAAACCCTAAATCCTCTGAATCAATGTACAAGCTCATCATTCGTAATCAAACTCAATCACATGGACATGAACGAAAATTCCAGAATCGTGCTTCCAGGTGACTCCTCAGCCTACAACAGCTGATCAGAACGGCAGCCAACAATTGAATCGGAGAAACAGTAATGTTGATGGACTAAGGAGAGAGGATGATTGAGACAAGCACCTTCTTCTCGTAGAGCAGGAAGATGATGCGTCCAACGGGTTCCTCCGCGAAGGTTACGTCAAAGTAAACACAGATGTGACTGATACAAGCACGACCCTCAGGATAACTAGAGAATGCCTTGTGACGCCAGTGCGAAACCCGGCCGCCAGACCGCGCCCGCGACCCGTTCATGATCACTCTGCCGTAGCCCACAATTTGCAAGAAGCCAATTACTGCCAGAAAAGCGGCGACTAAGACCAATACATTTTTCTTATCACGGCTTAGCGCCATAGTCATAGCACGCTTGTAACCCCTCAAACTCTAATTCGTACTACTAGGAAATAGCCCAGTTCTCCGACATAACAGTTATTTCTATAAATGAGCTGCCTATTTGCAGATCGACTCCAGCATTGCAAATCCTCCGCATGGTACTGATGGTCTTCAGAGGACTTCACAGCCAGATCGAAGGAACGATTTCAATGCCACACAGCGAGTGAGATTCCTGCCTACTGGCTGAAATCTAAATCTACAAAAAACCTCGCATTCCCTTCCCTCATCTCAGCTGGCTGAGTTCTCACACAGCCTCTTCACAATCTACCTTCTTTGATACATATACAGCCGACACACCATCGCCAGAGTCATAAACTCTCAGATCCGAACTGAAACTCAATCACTCAGTCCCGACTCCTCGCTACAATCCCTATTCAAGCGTCAACCTCATTCCCGCCCACACCCAACCAAAAAGAATAAAACCCTAAAATCGTATCCACTCCAACCAAAGCTTTCTGCGCACTCGCTTCGCTTACAAACGCCGGAGCAGCTGACACAAACGGGGAGGTCACGCTACACCAAAAGCCTCCGAATCCAATGAGACCAGATTCACAGGTGCGCAACGCTGCACCCAAATGTAAGCATGTAGGATCCCTCTGCAGAGTACTTCCCAGCTTCAAACGAACCCATCACTCGCCTCATTCCTCAAAGCGCACTAGCGTTCACGCGAGACGCACGAATTCACGCGGCACACACCATCACCGACCAAACCCACTCAAGAGATGGATTCGCAAATGCAGTCCTACCACAGACTCCTCACCACTCATCGAAAAACCTCGCCGAGGTACACACACACTCACGCGATTCTGAATCGAAGCTACGAAACTAAATCGCAAAATGGGTGATCACTCCTCGGGACAAGCTTCCCGCTCGTCCCAAACTTGTTTCCTCACACAAATTTCACGGTGGGTGCGAAAAATCGCGCTTCTAGATAATCATAATCGATCGGGTCACGAGAGCTCAATGCACTACGATCGCATCCACTCGGATTCGCGGGGCTAATCGTGCAACAGAGCCCTGAGAAATCTCACGCCCACGTTCGGGCCCTTCACGACGCCGGCTCCTCAACAAAAACGCGTGGAAATTCTTTATCTTTATCACGAATTCCTTTTCTTTCCATCGCTTTCACTCGGCGATAGGGGTCTCCCCCATCGAACGGTGGGCGAGTAGAACGTAATCAGGTCCTTGATCGGACGGTACCGAACCGCATGACATGGTTGAGGATCAGGTCGGTGGAATGTCAGTTTCCCAGTGTGATAAAGATTCCTCTGCTTATCTCTCTCATTCATCCGTTTGTGTGATTTTCCGTTTCTTCGTTTTTCGTTTCTTCGTTCGTTGGTCTCAAATCTCCGTCCGTCAATGAAGCCTTTGACCATCGTGCAATCGGAGCCCTTGACTATTTGACCCGGTCTGACGGCTCAGATGAGTCGCAAATGCATTAGTTCTCCTATGCCCGTCCAAGTGACACAAACATTGTTTCCATGTTACTTTTAAAACCTTTTAAATCTTTTTAAAGTGGAAGTGTACTTTTGCATGAATTGGTTGTTGCCATAAGAATGTTCTTCATGGACACTATCATTGTAGACTTGTCACCATTTTATTTAATTAATGTTTGATCCAATCCCACATATTTGCATGCAAAGTGCACATTTCTATAATGTAAAGAAGATTTGGATTCTATTGTTTTTGTGGGCAGTCATATTGATGTATTTGGGTTGATAAAAGTGTATCAGAAGTGGATCATTTTATTTTTTACTAAATAATTTGATATATATATATATATATATATATATATATATAATTTGAATATGCACATTTTAAAATAAAAATAACATTAATTTTGAATTTTTGAGATCGTTAGATGTTATTGTGTATTTTTATCTTTTTATCTTTTTATTTTTTCACGGAAAAGAAAGAAACAGAGTCAAATTTGGTTTCTTCTATCACATCATTGTATTGAATTTTATTTAGAAATCAATATTCTTCAGAACATGAATTCGAGAGTAATTTTCTATTTCAATTTGGTAAAAATATTATCTACCATCAATCAATTTTATATACTAAATAATTGATAGATGGCTTGTTAAACTCAAGTAGTTGATTTTTTAAAAATAGAAATATGAATTATAAATATTTTGATGGTTTTTTATTGAAAAACAATGATACATTGTTAATGATTATTATTTTCAGTGTAATAAAATCATTTTCATCACTTATTGTAGGGGCATAAGCTTGCTTGTTGCTTTTTGTATATTCTAAAATTATATATTTAGTTTTCTTATGGAATAAAATCCTAATAAGAGCTCAAAATCCTACAAATATGGTGTCTATCAACCTATTTTGGTTATTTCAAAGGCTATGGTTGCCAAACAAAGAATAAATACATAACTAGGGATTTTGTTTACAAAACGAAAGATTCAAACAATTGTCACATGAATGAATGCATAGATATTTAAATGGATGCATGCATATAGATAGATAACCAACATCAATACCTTTAATATATAAAGTAATTTTGTGATATAATTGTCCTTGGTGCTATTATTAATCCACTATTTTGTATACATGTTAATACCATGATCTCAATAACATTTTTGTCATTCTTAAGATAATAGTGAAAAAAACAAGGATATTTCTTAATCAATATCATTTGTTACCATTGAAAGCCCAACACACTATTATATAAATATGACCACTGCATTAAGAGATATATATGTAAGAGCATTTCAAAGGCACTTTATAATCTTTTCTTTCACTGTGAAAGTAATGAAATAATGGTTTCTATACACCACAATTTTTTTGCATTGTGTTTTTAAAAATCTAATGAAAATGTGACTGTTACCGAAATATTTACACGATTTTTAAAAACATATCAAGACATGCACCCATCATGCTACAGCATTGCAACTGCCACTGACAAGTTGATTCTAATACTACTCTGGATCAATTTACAAGATTTGCCCAACCTCTTACTGAAAACCAACACAACAAGGGCTTGCACAAGAACAGAGGGATTGGAGACTGTGCTTGTAATAAAACAAAATGCTATGTTGTAAAAAGATATTGTTTAATCAGGGTTGGTGAACTTTTGTTCTCCAAGCAATTTCACCAAGCAAGAACAAACAAGATTGAGTAACCAGTAGCTCCATTGTAGTTGATCTGTCAAGTGTAAAGCGTTTAGAGGAAAGGTGTTGGAATTGTCATGTAGGTGGAAGTTGAGAAGTCTCTGCTTCCAAACATGCAGAGCCAACCTGGTGATCTGACCTCGAAAGCAGCAGACATGCCCCCACACTGGAGTAGAGAGGTGTTTCGAATAATCCAAAGCTTGCCACTGCTGCTGCACCACCGATGAAAAAACCTAGAAGGGCATGTTGAACTGCAACCAGGTTGGACAGATCAACTAAAAGCCATCCAGAAATGTGGAGCTAAACTATCATTTAATGGATGCCCCTGTCCTACAAAAGGGGCAATGTCAACGAATAGAACTAGTAATAGCTTCAAAACAGGAATGTCAACAGTGAGCACAAGACCTGGTCTCCTTGCAATATGACAGCAGGCTGGCTGCCGGAAATAATATCATTCAACTCCTTATTCAAAGAATTTGTTAACTCTGGGAATTCAAGGCAGTTTGGAGTGTAAAAATACACTGCCCATGGACGTAAAGGTACCCATAACTGCATAATCATTTAACTATGGTACATGGGGATAAGGCTGGCTAAGCTGGTTCTGGAGTTCTTAGTCTGCATTAAAAGTATTAAACACGAAATTTAAGACTCTTGAGTGGGAAGAGAGAAAGACTGATGATTCAAATTTTTCTACAAAAATTAAACCTTGTAGGAAAAATTATTTCGAGGCGTCTTATCAAGACTTCCATTGATAAGAGGACTCTCAAGTCGATTGTCCACATGCCTCGGCATCGAGTCCTGCTTCTCTCCAGTCGACTGCAGGTGACCGTCTCCATAGAATCGCTGCTTCGTCAGCTCCATGCTCAAGCTCGCCCGAACTCGAGATGAAACACCTTGGTGTGTCTTCTCCACTGCCTTGGTCCTCTCTTGCTTGTACATGTCAGGATCCGTGATGTGCTTCTGAAGATAATGAATTTCCTGGATTAGGTGGTGGTCCATTGGATGGAACATCCGCTGGTAGGCCTGATACACGGCGTAGGGCAGGACGCATACGACTGGGATCAGGATGGTGATGAACCAGTACATGGGAGAGTCCACAAGCGTCTCCACAAACACCTTGTACGCCGTGGTCGATTGAGTGGGGTTGATGGCGCCATATGCTACAAGGAAGACGTACCATAGGGCAATACTGCCCCAGATGAAGACATGCTGAATCCAGGTGAAGTAGCTCAATGCCATCGCGACTTGCACATTGACGACCCACACCACGCATGTATACATGGCTGCTCCGAGCTCTTCAATTCCTGCAAGCTGCCCGTCCTTCCTGTAGGCCTCTATTTCTACCGCCGCCGTGGTGAAGAAGAAAGCCACGAGGGAGCTGTAGACCCCGTTCGCCATCCAGCCCAGAATGCGACTCCACGTGAAGAACATATTCCTAGGACCTTGCTGGTACAGAGCTGGAAACTACAAAACGATCACGACATGGAGAAAAACGGTAACGTGTTATTCTGTGACTTGTGAATTCGCCCCAAGAGTACCACCGAAATGATAATATAACGAATAAAACTGGCCAAACATTGCCGCATTCATGGAGTAGGTAACAAACTCGACTCTAATCAAGAACACAAAAAAAAGTGGAAATGATGAGATTTTGGTGCATACACATAAGACATGATCAATTCGTCGGCATTAAGTAGAGCATCGCAAAGGAATGTGATGATGAAAGGCAAGGAATAGTACCTGCAAACAGACTCGAGAGGAGACGTCTTGTTCGAACACCCCCAACGCAATTACTGGTAGAGATGTGAAGAACACATTGAAAAGTGAAGTGTACCAATCATTGTAGGCAGTTTGCCCAGAGAAGGTTGTAAATGCTTCATAATAAAAGAGGGTGAGTCCAAACGTGATGTTTTTGTAGAAGAAGTAAACAATCTGCAACCACAGTTGACAAAAGCTTAATAAAATAAAATAAAAAGTACGAGTCCGACTAAGAACAATCTCACGTTCACCTAAAGCCTAAACCTCGACCTAGTATAAATTGTTCCAGCAACGAAAACCTCCCTGCCTTGGCATCCATTCAGGAACTGTCGACCACAATGGTTCGAAAATTAATGGGTGCGGACCACTAACTTATTTCCAGGCACAACTTGCCAAGTTGCACAATACCTTTAGGTTATCCTTGTGAACCGAAAAGGCTGTAAGGGTGCAAAGGTAGAGTAGAGAGTCAATCAAGCTAACGGTTGTGGAGGTGACCGGAATACATACCATCAGAGCAATACGCTTGTAGCACCAATGCCCATGAACAATGAGTAGACGCTCTAAAAATCTAAACTGGGCAATCGAAAAATCACTCGCCATTACTGCCTGCAATTTTCCAAAAACATAAAAGAAGAATCATTAAATGTAGCCAACTGAAAATAGAGATGAAGATTTTCAAAAAACTGGTTTACGCTGATGCTCAGTTGAATCAATAATACAAGATACTGACCTGCATGCCTTCAACGCCACTAATACCAACACCTATGTCAGCCTCTTGGATCATGCCAACATCGTTAGCACCATCTCCAATCCCGAGGGTTGCCTTTCCTGTTCCTTCCTTAACAAGCCTGGTTATCTGCAAGTAAAGCTTGTTTATTCAAATATATGCATCGGAATTTACTGAAAACTAGAGCTTCTACAAATTGAATATAAAACAGGCATTATTGGATTAAAAAAATAAACCTAGTAGACGAGACTGAAATGCTGGACCAACAAGGATTCACAGTCATCGTACACTCCAAGCACTAAAAAAATTTCAAACAAAGAAATTTACCATGGCCTTCTGCTTTGGAGACACCCGGCAGCAGATAACAGATGCACATTGGGTTGCGAGATTGAGCAGCTCGTGCTTCAAGCCATCTTCAAGTGCATACATCAGAGACTTTCCATCAATTATCAAAGCATGAGGATTATCATCATCAGTATCCAAATTTATCTGATGGTTGCCGGTTGCTAATTGAAGAGTTATACTTTCCCTAGCGGCTTTGGCTATCTGATTCTTATCCCCATTTTCCTCAATAGCCCTCATTTCAGGTGTTTCCAGACCGACAATAATCTGGTGCATTCCCTGTCGCAATAAGCTGCATGCAAACCTGCATACTCAAAGGAGCGCCACGTAACGCCCAGGTCAGTAATATCCACTATTTGGTGACCTAAGGACCACCATTATCATAAAACACAACAAAACACAACATTCAAACATTTCTCATGGAGGAAACTCACCCGATATTAATGGCAGTCTCTTGCTTGTCTCCCGTCAACACCCAAATCTTAAGACCTGCCTGAGCAAGTCTGTCAATGCATTCTGGGACCTGCGACGAACCAGAAATTCATAAGAAGATTAGAAAACATTCCAATACGTCTGGTTCACTGAATACACCACTTTAGAATTTCTTAATATTAGCGCTATATCTTTTGCAATATTGAAATAACATCCTTGATGACACATTCGATGTCTCCGGCGCTACTAATGAAAAAGGCATCTCATGAAACGTACCCCTTTCTGCAATTTGTCCTCCACGGCGGTTGCGCCAACAAGGATAAGATCTTTCTCCACCATATCTGAGGCCTTGTCCAGCAACTCATCACGGTCTGGGCCAATTGTGGTTTTGGCCTTAGTGAATGTCGCATTCCATTGTTCGTACTCAGACTCCTCCAATTTACGGTACGAGAGAGCCAAAGTACGTAAACCAGCATCGCCATATTTGGCTAAATGGGCCTTGGTTGCATTCCAGTATTGTTTCCCATTCCTTCCTAATCTATCATAAATTATACTGTGCATCCAAAAAAGAGGGACACTCCATCAGTCAAAAAACCCCATAAAACCCCATAAGACACTATCCACTAAGTGAATCGCAAAAGAACAATTAGAAGACCTCTCCAGAGAGAAATGAGCCAGTCTTTTGAGGAGAAAAAAAACGTCAGATACCATGTCCCTAATTACATTGCGAAGGGATGGCGACTGCTCAAAGGACCGCAGCTACTTTTTCATGACATTAAAATTATGCATATATCATGCGGAGTTCATAGTTCATCGCTTAACTACAGGATCTAACCATTAATGCAATGATTTTGCAAACACGTGGTGACCAAGATTAGAGAGCGAATTGCAGCCAAGGGTGACATTACCTATCGGCACCCTTGCACATGAGCAAAATTTGGCCGGATTCGTCCCTCACAACAACGGACATGCGCTTGCGTGTGCTGTTGAACTCCAGCAAGTTGAGAATATTGTACTCCCTGCAGATGATTGCTTATATTAGATGCCTGTTTTGCTTGAAGAAAGATATGAGCCTCCAAGGACATGTAGCAACGACGAACAAAGATACTGTAAATCTCTATAAAATATGCAAGTTGAAATGGACGAATCCTCAACGTTCAGTAATGCGATAGTACTTACCGCTCTACTGGGACTCTGTTAGGTCCGGGCTCCTTTACTATTACGCTACTTTGATTACGTCTCAGAAACTCGAAACCAAGTTCTCGTGCTGCTACAACAAAAGAAGCCTCGTCGGGTGACTCAGCCTCATAGGTTATAGTTCCTGTTGCTTCGTCCACTTCAGGAATAGCAGTATGGCACACAGCGAGAATCCTGAGGAACATTCGTATCTCCTCTGCATTTGGTTGATCCATCCAGTGCCCATCCTGAAGCCTCTCATCCTTCAAGTTGAAACCTTTCACATGTGGCTTTGCTGACATAGGTCGCATTTCAACATCTGATCCATCGCCGCCTAAACTCCTCTCTCCCTCTTCAACGATACTGGCGTCTCCCAGTACCCGAGGATCTTTACCGAGTCTACGAGCAGTTGCCCTTTCCACTTCAGTAACACCACGACCATAAGCAGTCCCTGCGATTGAGCATTTAATAAACTCCATTTGATTGCATGTGAGGGTTCCAGTCTTATCAGAAAGGATAGTGTCAATTTGACCAAGCTCCTCGTTAAGATTCGATGTGCGGGCTCGAGCTGGCTGATCAGTTTCTGGATAGTACATCTGGATATCATTATTGATAAACCGCGCCTGGAGGACCTTCACGACTTCGATAGAAACGTACAGAGATATTGGAATCAGGTACCCGTAGAGTATCATTGCTGTGATCAAGTGCAATAACCCGGACAGAAATGCTTGATTAGGGTCGTAGTACATATCCGTGTCACGAGGCCGCAAGTACCACCAATCTGGCATATTGAACTTCGTCCTGACAGCGAAGGCGATTGATCCGACTACAGATATAAACAACAGCACAAGAAATAGGAGGTAGATGATCTTGTCCATTTTCCGCTCAATTCTACTCCGTTTGGAAGGTGGATCAGTGGCATTCTGCATCACCTTTGTTTCATGACCACTGAAGATCACCACCCCGTAGATGAAGGGCGTGTTCCGAAGCTTCGAGTCTCGCAATAGTATCTGTTGCGGCCCCACTGGAAGCACTTCTTCATGATACTCAAGATTTCCAATGAATGTGTACAAGCTAGAGTTGGGATCTTCACAGCGAACTTTTCCCTCAAAGGTTGCAAATTCATGGTCTTCGTCTAGTTCCACAGTACGCTCCAAAGACTTCTTCAGTTTCAGATTTGTCTCGCCATCCAGATTCATGGTTTCCACGTAGCACACGCCATCCGGGAAACCTGACGAGAGCATCAGGAGATCGGCTGGGAAGAAACTGTCCTTTTCGACTTTCACAATATCTCCAACTTTAACTTTCTTCCATTCACGCTTTTCGAATTTTCCCTCTCCTACATGTATCTTTACTTTCCTATTGTTTATCTCGTTATCCTGTATCCCATAAAACACAAACAGCCGTAATATTTAAGCATCCTCTCATGCACGAACCCACACTAAACCACAACCATCCTTCAAACCTTCATCACAACATCACTCTTCAGAGCCTGAAATACTTCGAACCTCCACTAGACTGGCCGGAAAAATAAATAATAACACAATGGGGTTTAACAGACAAGGGACGAGGTTTGACATAGGGTCGCTCGGCCATTGATCTACATGAAAAGATTGAAAACTATAAACTGAAGCTAGGAGAATAACTAGAAAGAAAAGAAACAACATTAATTCCGTCCTTGCATTGGTAAACTCGACTCACAAACGCATCCTGACTCTCAAATGCGAGCCAGAAGAGTAATTTTAATAAATCAGTTGAAATAAATATCCCTACAAGCCATCACGGGAGAACTCTGGCTCACAAGCACAGGTAGGAAGTGACTCACCTGTATAAAGCGACGCCAATCTTCGAGCGCTTCTTTGCACATACTCACCCCAACGACAAAAACGAGGGGAGCGATGAGACTAGCAGCGGAGTAGGGTGACACGGGAGTAAGAGCCAAAATGGCAGCAAGAAGAAAGTACATGTTGGCAACTCGACGAAATTGCTCAAACAGGGCCTTCGGTAGAAAGGTCACTACATTGTACTTGGTGGTTGATACATAGTTGCTCTTGTAACGGTAAGGTTTCTGCAAATGCTTTGCAGAATTGTTGCAAAACACCACGCGAGAAAATCCCGGTCCCCCTACGGACATAGATTGCTGCCGCTCTAGCGGCGACTGTGGTCTGAGACATCCCGCCCATGTGTAGAGCTTGCTAAACCGCAATCTGTTTTTACCTCTTGCCATGTTTCCCCACCCTCAACCCTACCTCAACCCTACCTCTTGATATTGAATCCTCGGCCACAGCGAGTCCAATTTCACAGAGACTCACACTGAAGAGCTTTAATCTAGCACACAACACCTTCAAGGTAGGAAAAAATCTCGAGCTCCCCACAGAGCCCGATCTCGTGTCGTCGAATTGTTCCTTCAAGTCAAATCAATTACAGATTTTATCTTCGAACTTGGACAATCAAAAACTAAGGAATGGATACCCCTCAGCCTGGAAATGTACAAGAATTCCTCTGCTCGAATCTCATGACAAACACAAAAAGGGCGTGATATTGCCTCTTTCACATTCTGCAGGGGCAGGAAGAGAAGAATTGTCCCACGAGCTGCTACAAGAAGACGCGCTGCTGTCAAGCTCTTGGTTGCAAAGCGTGAGGTCACTCTGCGTCACTTTTTTCGCTCCCGATCACACAAACACCATATCCACACCCTCACTCACTCAGATCTGATCACCTCAACAACCGCAGCTCCAGATCTCACACGAGAAAAAAAGAATTCAAAAGACAAATACATGAGGTGGCTGCTGCTTAATCCAGAGTAAACATCCCAAGCTACATTACCGGCAATCTCCACGAACCCTCACCAACTACAACCATTCGAGAATGGCCCCGCCTCGACACTCTCGAATCACTCACTCCCCCTGCGAGCCCGTGCATTGATCTCAGCCTTCAACCGCATTAAATGACTACTAAGCCCCTTTTACGTATCCATTACCATGTCTCTCTCTCTCTCGCTCTCCGCCCCTTCCTCTGGCCTCCTACCCCGACTGCTACTCCCCCAACCCGCGGTAAACCAAAACGCGCCTTCTACACACGCACACACCTTCCGCCTGACTTCCTCGTGATGTGTTGCGAATTATCTACTTCTGTAAAGCTACGGTTCTAGAAGCAGAAAGTTGGAGTGAGGCGCTGCTGCTCCGCAACAGCAGCAGCATGGGTACATTTTGGTGAACGATGCCGCGAGCGGGGGGAAAGCAGAATGTCTGGTCGCGATCGAGGGGCAGTACTGGCGTAGGCTTACCTCCGCTCACGCCAGCCGAGCCGCGTCGAGCCTCCTCGCAATGCAGCGTCCCGCGACTTCGCCCGCCTCCGTCGTCGCCTCCGCCGTCGCACTCCCCTCATAGATTTTACCCTCTTTTCTTCGATATCGTATGTATTCCTCATTGTATGTTCAATGTATGTAAACAGAAAGTTGGAGAGATCCCCTTCTGGAAGGTTTCTCGCGTCGGAAGAATCGCGTCATTCGATGACTTGCTGCGATTGTGTCCACGCTGTGCGTAGATATTCTGTGCCATTCGTATCTACATTATTTCGTAGAAACGCGGTGATGGGTTGACTCTCCGTTGACCGCCATTGACGGAAACCCGTATTGCTGAGCATGGTTGTGTTGTGTGTCCTCCGCGTGTATTTTCAAACTACTGTGAAAGATCCATGTTTAGGCTTTGTATAGTGTATGTGTGTGTATTTTTAACGGGTGTTTGAACCACATGTGTTGCGACTCTATTCCAGAGAATTTCAATGTTCTATTGAGACTGTTCACAACGGCTTGGAACTCATCGGATTCGAAGGTATCCTGGAATTCCTTTGGCGTCAACATTAATCAATTGGCAGAATCTAATTGGGTGTTCTCGTTTTGTATTATCGTATTAATTAAACGTTATATTTAGATTTGTAACCATCCAACTAACGAATTGTCTTTGAACGTCATTGAATGGCCCTCTTTCTCGATCGTCTTCAAAATATATTCTCATTCCTGTACCTTAAATAATTGCATTTCTAGATTATCCCTTTCTATCTATTTTTCACTTAATGGGAGTACCCAAAAGGAAAATCCAACCTCATTATTCTCATGAAAACTAGTCACACCAAAAGTCTGATGAAGGGCGAACTAGTGATTCATGGAGTGGAGTAACGAGAGATTGGTGCTTCTAGGGTTTAGGGTTTTAGGGTTTTAGGGTTTAGAGCCTTCTCCTGTACCACATTCAGCCGTCTGAGAAGACTCATGCAGGTTGTGGATAAGATGTGTGTGCAGTAGTGGGCAAGAGTAACGATTATTTTGCGGCAGACATTCCTTTTCTTTCTGGGGACACGTTCCTGTTTTGCTGCTTATAGTTTTGTGCGATGCTTCAAGAAAGTTTCCTCCTCTTTCACCACAATCTTTTACACGCATGGGGGGGGGGATACAGATGAATGAGATCTAGTATAATGATAGCTCCCAGCATTTTATTTATGGGCATGGCGGAAGAGCGATTGCCAAAGAGAATGGAAACAACCCTGATTTTTGGGTGGCTATTTCGAAACGAAGGCCTCAAAATATGAATATCTGTCCACGAGATTCTTTTTCGGAGCATGGAAATTGGAGAAACTAACAGAGTATCACGGTTATACGTCATGTTCCCATCACTCCACAGTGATTAGATATAATCTTCAAGTCTCTTTCTAAATCGTCTAAATCGTTTAAACAATCTCTCTCTCTCTCTCTCTCTCTCACACACACACACACACACACAATGAGTAAATGGCCTTCCTAAAAACCCATTCACAATGAAAAACTTTTCTAGTCCGGATTGGTGGTGGCAATCATCAAAAAAGGACTTTTTTCCACTACTCCAAGCTTGTGACAAGTGTGGCATCCATTGTTTGACTCCCCAAAAAGGGTGCCTTTGTTTTCATGGAAAAACAATGTGTGATGGGTCTTCTATGGAGAAGAGCAAGACGGAGAGCTTTTAAGCCCCTCAGAAAATTATTCGTAAAGAGTGGTACTGGTAGGGTTTGCTGAAAACTACACATGTTTCCAAGCAACTCAGAAGTGGCTTCATCAGGTGGGGCTCCCTTGCAGACAAAGTCAGTAAACCCACAAAGTGGTTTTCTACCTCCACATGGCTTTTCTCAATAGAGAATCGTACCCACATAAGCTACCATTGTTTTGTTTATTTATGGAGGTGCTGCTTCAATGCCCATTATTATAGAAAAGGATTTCTAGGATTACTACTTGTTTCCAAGTTTGGTTCCTACCTTGTTGGTTGGTTTCCAACATCACATATCCTACCATGTTTGGAAACAACAAAAAATAACAAATACTAATAATAATATTATTATTTTTAATGTCAACAACATCAATAATAAATAAATAAATAACAAATATATTTGCAAGGGAGATATTTGTAAGGTGGCAATTGCCATGAAGGAAGCATGGGGTGACATTTCAATATTAATTTCTCATGCATATGTGTCTTGTTGAAGGGATGACTTTGAAGATCATGCAAAAAAGACTTTGGACTTATTTGACCATTGTTCTTTGTTATTTGACCGTTGTACTTGACTTAGTTGAAGTTTGATAAATTAGTGGGAGGCTCTTTTGGCATCACACTAAAAGCATTGAGGTCCCCATTCCACCTCTTTTTCCTTGCCTACAATACCCCTCATCACAATTCCATCTTCTATGTCAAATCTTTGTGTGAAGAGGTAGTTATGTAAACAAAAATATTGAGAATGAGTAAATGCTTTATGGATTTTAATGAAAGCCTTATTCATAACTTGCATTTATTTATTTGTTTATTCGTTTGTCTTATTGTGGGTTCTCAATGGGCATCTTTGGTTGCTTGCTTTCAAACCCACCCCCACCCCATTCTCCTCTTCTTAAAAACTTTGATCTTAAGATGGGTTTCTTATTTGATTTCATTTCTCAGTTGGGATGAAGTGGATTTTATGCTGGGTTTTGAGAACATCAACTCAGATCAAGCTTGTATTTTGTGGAGACACAATACATGAGGAAAAAAAGAAAAATGGAATTTAGTTTTAGAATATTGAAATAATTTTGAAGCATGGTATCTTGAGTTGTGTTGCCATATACTCATCCAAAACAATCAACATGATAATGTCTTTTCAAGGAAGAATCTTTCCAAAATGAAATTATCAAAATTATACAAAAAAGGAATACTGTCAAAATGAAATTGATAAGTGCAATTGAGAGTTATTTCATTGCATGAGTTGGGCCTTAAAATAATGCTGAAATTTCAAATCAAATTGTTTTAAAATTAAAAATATGCTATATTTAAACTAAAACATAATGAAGATAATCATCTTACTTTGCAAATTATTCATTTGCAGTACCATTAATTTTATTTTTTTAATTTGGCAATACACGAATATCTCTTGTATTTTTCATTAATAACTTTTGATTACTTTACAAGCTCATGTGCCAATAAAATTTGATTTCTTAGTTGCTTAATCTCTTTTTGTATATTACTATATGTTTAAAAATATCAATTTTGAATGATTTCTTTTTATTTTTTTAAAATTTGAACCGTTTATAGTAAGAGACTTCACTTATAAATTTATCCATCAATTTCACATATATAATCATAGTAATAATAATAATAATAATAATAATTTAATCACACCATTTAGAATTTTTATCTATAATCTTTGAACCTCATAAATTGTATTTTGTAGACTATATATAATTATTTTAAAAATCCCCTAAAAATATAATTATAATTTTGATTGTGATATGTGGATTTAAAGTCACAAGAAGTTGGAACCCATCCATGAGTTTCATAAAGTATCCATATTTCTTCATATAAATGCCACACAAACTTAATAGTTTATCATCACAAAAGGATAAAGAAAATCTGAATATTTTTCATGGATGAAAAAATGCTTGATTTCTTAAATGCTATGGAACACATTATTGTAAAAATAAAACACCCCCTTTTACACATCTCCAAATTATTGCACATAGAAACTTCCTTGCATTCAATTATTTATTTATTTGATTTATTTTTTAATCTTTTCACCATTCCACAAAAGATAAAATCGTGCATTTTAACGTGGAGTAGAAGTACAAGATACAAATTTCTTTGATATTTCCGGCCAATAATGCGCCATAACCTGGAAGGTGACAGCAGGACTCTTATCAGTAATCTTATCAGGAAGTCTAATCAGAAGTCGTATCTGCATACACGTTACGCGTCGTACCAGCAGTCTTATCAGGAATCTCATCGCAAGACCCACCAAGAGCCTAACCAGGAGTCGTATCAGGAGCCTTATCAGAAACCTTCATCCATCACACAAGAAGATTCTCAATCAATGGGTCCCAACAAAAGCAAATGTGGCTTTCGGAAAGAGATGGGTATTGAAGCCTTGCTTTTGTTTTCTTAGTCTCCCATCTTACGACGTCTGAGCACGCATTACATGACGCTTCCAGACAACCGTTTCCATCATATCAGGAAATATATTTATATTCATATACATACATATATATATATATATATATATAAATAAAAACTTCTAGAACCATCCGGAGGTCTGGTCTTCTATCTCGCAACCGCACAATAGTAAGTCATGACTGAGACGTTACGTTGTGAAGACCACCGCAGGGGAGGAGGAGGATCCTGGAACTTCTTAACTGTCGAAGATACGTCGAAATGAAAATTGATGATGAACGAAAGAACGAGAAATCGAACGGATGGACGAACGATTTCTGAACGAGACCGGGACGAAGCGCGGCACCGAGTCGGGAAAGTGTTCACCGACGGGCACAGTCGACTGCCCGTTGAAGGATTTTACACACCAATGAAGATTACGGCAAATGCAAGCCAGCAAGCAACCTCTTCTAACTGTGGCAACCGATTCGAGTTATCACAGTTTAAAAGAGGTGATTAGGGAAACTTGTAGATCTTGAAATGGGAGAGTGTGAGCTTATTCTGACTTGCGGGGATGACTGACTGGTTTACAAGACGCGGTCGAAGTTGTGTCAGTGATAGTTGTGGAATTGAATGTTATCTCGAATTCGCTCTGATATGGCCTTCAAGGACTTCTCATGAGCTGCTGCAGCTGCGAGGTGTGGCTGAGGTCATGCTCCCTGGGCAGACGGGGACCTTGTTGAGGCACAGGCGAGAGAGTTTGAATGAATGCACAACTCTTGGTTTAATGCGATATGGCCCCAGTTTATCTGTGTTGGCATCGAAAGAATCCGCAAATTGGGGCCATGTCGTGTTAAACCAACAGCCATAACCAGGAAGGCGATGGAGCACAATACTAGTGACACAGAAAGTCCACCGAGTATTCCCACAGAAATACTCAAACTCCTGGAAATTGTGCGGAGCTTTGTTTATCGTCTGTTTTCGATCGGCTTCACATACTTGGTGTTTTCGAGTTCTAGAACTCGAGTTCTTGGTTTAACTAATTTGTTCACAATTCGTTGGGACTGAGTTTGAGTGGGGGTTCACAGCCAAGTGAAGAGATGCTTCCCGAGTCTAAGATTCTTCCACGTAATGCGGTTTAGACATGAACAGCATGAATTTAATCATTCAACATGGACGTGTCAGAGAGGACACATCATGCCTCAGAGGATGGACAAGATCTAGACGTACAATTCCCTTGAAAAAACGAAGTTTTTCAGCCTTTTTATTCTCAATCGAGCCGCGGCTGCGCAGCTAATTGCAGCTGACGGACACACCATTGACAAGTGAGTCTTTTATCCTGTGCGTCACATCCATCGTGCGGTTGAACAATTCTATCAGGTTTGCTCCAACACTGAGCTTGTAACAACATCCCTTTAATAACATTTGCCTCCAGCCTTTCATGTCTTTATCGCCATCTTCGCTTCAGATTCTATGCAGTCTGCATCTGTCCATATTAACCTCTAGAGCTCATGAATCCGTGTTCATGATGCACTACAGTCGTCTGCAAGTAATTTGTCATGGACATGTCCATTACACTCTCTGAATCAATCTCCCACAGCTCAAATGACGCAATCCCACAAGTGTGCGCAGATGCTCTAGTTCCCAGGGGCGAAATGGGTATCGAAATAACCCCCTCGACAGCAATGACAATCAAACTATGTAAATTAACCGGATCAGAGTTGAAGTGTTTTGAGTATTAAGCATAATCTGCAGATTCTAATCATAATAGCTCAACTTTCAGGTTCTCTAACGGTGTGTTTGTATACAGTGGTTCAGACCACAGCCAAGCCAGGAACACCACCATTCGGTGATGATCAGCAAGACAACGACAAGCAGAATCTGAAGGACATGGCTCAAAATCACGGCGGCGAGGTACAAATTCATACCAACAGCGCCCCTATTTACACCATATGAGATACCTCTCATGGTTCACTGTCATCTGAAAAATTAGGGCTGTGATTATTCACTGAAGCTTGGACAACAGCATGAAGCTGGGCGTTATTAATGGTTGTACTTCATTATACTCGTGAGTGAAGATGAAAATGACGACTGGGTGGGACTACTACTGTTGGCTTTCATTTCGACAACTTGGGATTTTCTTATTCTCTCCTCTACCGACACGCGGTGTTTTGTCGGTGTTTCATATGCCCACGTTTCTCAACCATCTGAGTGAGTTATTTGAGTGATGGGTCCTACTCGGTGCTTCCTTTTTGGAATGAGGTTGTAAAATCGACGGTTTTAATGCCATATCCGCATCTTTTCGGTGCTTAGTATGTTATGTCGGTAGAAATTTGTGTTAGATTGTTGGCACTACGAAAATGTGATTTCGTGTATATTACCATGCTTCAATAAGAAAATACCGATTGGATAAACAATTGATATTCTTATTGAAAGTAATTTTAGTTTTATCAAAAAAAATTGTGCATTTTTTAATTTTAAAGTTGAGAGATGATTAGAGGTAACTAGAGGATATTAGATGAATATGTGTGAATTTGAGGACCTCCATGAATATTCTTCACAAATTATGCTCTATATTTTCTCTTCCTCTAATAAATTTAATTTTCAAGTTAATTTATATTGGCATTTTATTATTGGTTTTCTATCCCTCTTCGAGTTTTGTATCCATTGATTCTTCTTACTTAATGTCCCATAATATTAACTATATAAATAAATCTCATGGATTCTAACTTTTTTTTAAAAAAAATTAAGAATATTTTTTTGTTTAAAAAATAAAACACACATCCTACTTGATATTCTTTAGAAGAATCATATGTGATTAATAGTTTGTATTTTGATTGATAAAATAAAAGTAAATTTATATTAATAAAAAAACATAATAATATATGTGTGTACTTTTTTTTGTTTCTTTCTTTGTTATTTTTTAAGATACAAATTATTTTATTTTATTTTACTTAGAATCAAAAATTATAATAATTATATAAGCAAATTCCTAAATAAGTAACAAAAATGGATGTTTAGAACTCCTGCTGATGTATCAATTAATTTATTAAATAAATATTTTCAGAAATAGTAAACTAATATAGCCTTTCATAAACCAATATTGTACTTTGTAAATAATAAAGAGACTTTAAAATATTTACTATTTATTTTTTTAAGAAAATAGAATACTAGTAATAAAAAGGGTGTTCAAAGTAATAAATTTGATTAATAACTGCGCTGTGTGTTTTATTATTATTATATATATATATATATATATATATATATTGAAATCCAATACTTGTCATGAAATAAGTTGGTTTAAAGATATAAGAATGTACCTTCTTAGAACAGCAATTTAACGGCAGTGATGTCTTGAGTTATTTTTTAAATGACAAATTTAGGAAATTGTTTTTAGTTTTTAAGTTATAATGTATAAGATTACAGTTTAAAACTGAATTGATGAATATTCTTCACTATGATTTTTTAATATTATGTCAAATATGTTACATAATATCCTTATGTTTATTTTTAAATACTAATTTCAAAAGCATAAACTTGTAAACATTATATTTATTACAAAAAAAAAAAAATCATGGTATAATCTTATATATAGAAGGTAATCTTGTGTATTTTGCAAAACACAACTTTTTGTTACAAAATAATTATTTACATTACAATTTACAGTAAAATATTTTAGATGTAATAATTATCATCATTTTCAATATGTAACAAATTTAATATATCACACTCTTAAAAGAACTAAATCGACTTATCAAAACTGGATGGATTAAATGGAATGATTTAACATGAGTGATATAGCTTAGTGTATGATAAAGTTATTTTTTTATTGTTAATTATAGACATTAGCAGAATAAACTTGATTTTTAAAAGATTAATTTAAGTAAAATGACATATTACAACACAACCACTTATTTAAATAATAATAAAAATTTAATGATATTAAAAGAATAGGTTTTGCCAAAACCAAAAAATTATATATCATAATAACTCCATTAAAAATTATTTGTTTATTGATGGTCCTGAAATCTGAACAAGTGTTTCCACTTCTAGCTACTGATATTTGATCCCGAGATCAAAACATCATACAGCACAATGCTTTGCACATCATCAGAATTGCTGCATATACATATCAAAGATCCTCATGAAAAATCTGAATGCGGGCTGTTAGCCACTTACTCCACCTGATTACGATTCTTCTGTTATTCCATCCCTGAGCCAGCTGCAAATCGAGAGGGATGGCACAACTCGAGACATACTATGTTTCAGCTTCAGAGGGGAAAGTCATTAAAGTTATTTTTAAAAACTTAAAAAATTAAAAAGGGGGAGGAGAGGAGGAGAAGAAGAAGAAGAGGGTTTGAATGTTACATACTGTGCAAGATCTATCTAATCCACTATAGCAGGTACCACTGTCACAGAAGATGCTTGATCATCCAAATGAGCTTTCTGCGAGGACCTACAGCTTTGACTCCTGAGATCTCCTTCAGAGACCCCATGGTCAAATGAAGAAGATCGGCTTCTCCTAGTTTCCTCTCTTGAAACAAATCCACAAACACCCCAGTCCCCCACCGATGAGCCACTCGGTCAATCCCCCGACTTCATTCAGCTTGGATTGTACCAAAGCAGCCATATCTGCAGCGTGGTTGATCCTTTTGTAGCCTACAGATTTCAATGAAAGTGATCGACTGTCAAAACACCTATGTCGTGATTTTGAGTCCCTCAAGACCTCGCCTTGTTGCCTGATCAGCTCAACGGAACGTCCATTGGTTTTAGATCCATTTATGTAGCTTTGAAAAGCATGAGGGGCATCTCTATTGCCTAGTTGCCTGTGAACATTACCCTGACCCCTAATTCTGGAGCCTGTCGTAGAAGGGGTGCTCATGCGAGAATGGAAATTCTCTCTCGGCTTGAGAGAACGATGCAAATATTCTCCCCTAAATGGATCCTCCTCTTCCAAATACCCTCCTGCATTTCTGCACAGAAAGCTTATCCTCCGGCTTCTTGAATTAAGAGCTATGGCATTATTACTGCTCGTGACAACATCAGATCCATGGTAGTGACGCATCAAATGATCCCTGTTGGATTCATCCAACAACGGCACCTCAGTACTTTCACCAACAGCACTTTCACTGTTGCGCACCTCAGTTACACTGTAAATGCTCCCCAACTCTGATGCCATCAATCCCTTACAATCATCCAACTCAGCTAATGAGGACATTTTCATTCCCCTCGTGCTCGGAACAGTGGAAACACTGTTGTTCCCCTTGGCTTGGGTCGCCACTCTCTTCCTAGTCCTCAACAATGATGTGCGCAATAGAGTCTGTCCATTCGGCTTTTCAAGAAAGGTTGATGAACCCTGGTGCAGTGTCGCTTTGGCCGGAGAGGAGGATGAAACGTTGACCATCTTGGATGTCGAAGCTGGTCTGTCTGCCAAGATGTTTCCTTTCCGGTTACTTGGACTATCAGAATAATTTGATATTGCTGGAACATCGTTTCTTGGTGACTGTTCTGCCGCTCTACCCAATACAACTGTGTTTCCCGAAACCGTCGATAGTTTCTTCTTCAATGTAGTTAAGTCTTTCAAAGCAGACTCTGTGTAGGCAACTCTCACAACAACAGCTGATGATGATTCTGAGATAACGTTCTTTTCGACGGATCGTAAATTTCGTTCATTACAGGAGACTTGAAGTGTTGTAACTTGTGATTTAGCCCTAACTAATGTCTGTTCATGCTGGGAGAGAGTGTCTACTAACAATCTTGTTTTCTGCCGTTTGTATGTGTGAGACACTATATCCTGCGCCCACGTTCTTTCTGAACGAGGGTCTACATCTTTCTCCGAAACAGTTGCAAGCTTTCTAGTGAAATTGAATAAAATTTTCCTATCTGTAATTGCTTCATCTTGCTCAAGCCTCAACTTGTGTGCTGGTTTGGCAGACACCAAATCATTGTAAGAGACTGTCTTCCTAGTCGGCGGTTTCAGGATTCTCGAATATTGAGGTGGAGGTAGTTCTCTAGCAAAACCAATCCCCTTTTCCCAGTTGTCATCAGAGAGGCTCACAAGTGGAAGCTCGTCTTTGTCTTCGGCAGTTGTCCTCTTAATCGCTTGAACTGATGGGCTATCAGGGCAATTTGTGTTGACTTTCAGAACAGATAGCACTTTCTCCTTGGTCAACAAGCGAGCACCTGGTTTCCTCCTTTGAAATGCTCTTTCTGCACTAACATGGGTTGTGTTGAGAGCGAGCGAGGTGCCGACGCCTTTCTCTAAATTACATTTATCGAGTTTCAGAATGATCTGTAACAAAACAAATTACTGTAAGAGTTCAATGCGTGTAGGCTTAGCACCATAAAACGTTGATTCCGAATCCTTCCACAAAGCATACAAGCCTGTAACCAAAGCTTACAAAATTTACACAACTACTTGAACAATCAGGAATCTGAATAACGGTTACCTTAGAATATTTTTGGTAGACGTGTCCCTCTTCACCATCCGAAGTACACTCTTCTCCAGCGTTAGTAGATCGCTGCCGCTTCCTAGAAGGTGAACCACCAATTCCAAAACTCCTAGGATTTACTAATCGGGGAGATGGATCTGAAGGGATCCAGAAAACAATCCGCTGCTGTCGAACTTCAAGAGAAGCTGAATTCTCATCTGGGCAATGTTCATCTTGATGTACAACAGTATTTCCAAGAGATTCAGAGGGAGTGAATTTCAAAGCTGCCAACGCCGCCAATTGCTTACGCTTCGTCTTCGTCATTACACATGCAGCTTCTACCTTCTATGCTCAAATCTGGGTGTACTACACATTCTCACATATGTTGATTCTGTCATCAAAAACAAACCAACAGTAATATTATTACGACACGAAGCATTCTAGCGAGCTTTGATCAGTTACAAGCAGATGGTATACTATGTTAGAATTGCCGTACGTGCTAGCAGATTGTACAAGTTGAATTCGGCATACAACGGAATTTTTCTTGGAACAGGTGCTCTCATACACGATCCCACTCAATTCTCTGCACAATTCTGTCTTCAGGTTAGACACTGGAGCAAAAGAATACAACTACTAAATCTTGCAATGCCATCCCTCGTTTCTACACAAGCAACATCACCACCAGAGCTGGTATGCACAAAATTGACGTGTAAATCATATCAAACATCAAGTCATTCTCCAAAGCGCTCTGAAGACGAGTGAAGGACAAATTGACAAACCACCAATCTGGCACCAAAAATTCAACCAGGACATACTTAATGATATCCGCGAGCAAATCCACTCCACGATCAAAAGCAACAAAACCCTAAACACCAACAAAACACTACCCCTACCATTAACTGATGCTCAACGTCATGGAAAGCCAAACATCCAATTGCCCATCTCAATAATCCAATTTTTCCCACCACTGCATACACTACGGACACACTAATCCAGCATCCCAGACACCAAATTCCCAAACCAACAATCCCCCCTCACAAAAAATTCCTAAACACAACTCCTTCAAAACATCACCAAAAACACAAGCTCAAATCATGAGAACATATGCTCTCGAGATTTGTTCGGCAGAGAAAACATGATCGTGAGCAACGTCTTCATACAACGACGCCGAAGCCATAACGTTCGTCTCCACTTCAGATGAATCCGCGTTGCTCACTGCAGGTTGTGAAGTTGCGATCTAGGACAACATCTGCAGGGGTCGTCAGTGTCGTAAAGAGAAAGAATTCGATAAGGCGATGACTAAATCCGCATACATTCATGCTGCGACGCGCCAGTAGCAACTAAGCTACTACCGATTCTACGAGCAACTTCCACGTCAATTTTCGACAGGATTGTGCGAAATTTCACCGCTCTGTCTCGTTCTCTTTCTCCAGTGTGTCCCAGATTGTGTCAGAATAGATAGCTCGTGGGCCACACTGCAAAATTCCGCGATGCGACCGCCGATCTCCTCGATCCTCCGCTGGTCTCGCCGACAATCAGCCCAACTCTTCCTTGCTTCCTTACGAAGGGGCTCTGCCGCAAGCGCGCGTCTATGACGCCGCTTCTAATATCGAACTGGGAGTGAAACTGACGTGCTTCTGCGGTGAGCTTATTTTCGAAGTAGTTCCCACGCGGCTGGAACCGGGAACCATGGATTGAGAACGCTCTGTTCGCAATGGATTCTATGAATTCGTTCAGGGTAGTGAAATTAATTCTAGGAGATGGAATAAATATTTACGATTGCGGAAGTTTAAGTTTTCAAGTGAACTTTTTTACTTTTTTTAGATTAATCTATGTGATATTTTAAGATACTATTATTCTATATGTTTATAGCGAATGAAAGATGTACTTGGTCATTTTAGAATATAATATATATTTTAGAAGCTTATTGTTTAAACATAAAGTTCTATTGCACTTTACTGTTTAGAAAAAGGTTTCAAAATAACTAGAAGCATGATACAAATAGTACTAGAGTATTGAATTTAAGTACTGTGAATCAGATTGTTTAGACGCACAATAGAATTTTCTACTACAATACGAAAAAATAGAATTTGATGCAATTAATCAAGGTATTTTAATCATACCTTAAGTTATGTATTACTTGTATTTGTGCATCAGTTTATTATTTTTATTCTTATTACTTTTATTTTTACTTCATTTAAATCACACACACAAGCATGGAATTTTTAAATGCTACATTTCATGATTTATTGGCATAAACGTTAAACGTGGTAGTGATTTGAACAGTAAAGTGGCTTCACCTCTCTGTTTACCATGAAGTGAGTGATATTGGGACCCACGGTACTGTTCTACGCAACGAAAGATGAACGGAGGGGTCCACCACCAACAAGAGCAGCACTCGACAGAGCAAACAAACGAACGAGGTCACGAACGAAACACCAAACGAACGGAACTATGATTGAGCAAACGAACGAACGACCAACCAACCAAAGCACAGGGCACAACGAATGCGAGAAACCATCCACACCACGAAGGACCGTCGTCGTCGTCGTCTCGGATAGGGGGAAGAACCAGCAGCGAGCGAGAGAAGAGGGAGGGGGGGGGGGATGGGAAAATGGGGAAACGGGGTTTGAGGAAGAGGAGTAGGAGCTGGAGAAGGCAGGCAAGCAGGCAAGGAGGTTAAGAAGAGAGACCACAGCAGAGCCAGTGTGTGTGTGTGTATGTGTTGACGATACCGAAGAAGAAGGGAACGGAAGGGAAGGGAAGGAAAAGGCAAAGGCAAGCCAAAGATAGTAACGAAGGGAAGGGAAGGGAAGGGAAGGAACAACGTGGTGCCGCAGCTACTGTTACTCACTCACTGCTCATCTCTGCTTGAGTGTATCGAGGATTGATAGAGTATTCTCTGCCGCCGCCCACACTCACTCACTCCCATCCCATCTCTCTCTCTTTTCTTTCTTTCCCCCTTTATGCTTCCTTCTTCTCACGTACTACTCTACTCTACTCTACTCTAATACCCTTGGCTAGTCTTCTCCTTCTGCTTCTTCTTCTTCATCCACCCGATACCACCACCAGCAGGCTCCCTCCCCTCCCTCCCTCCCTCCCGCCCTTCCTGTGCAGCAGGTGGAGGTGGAGGTGGCCATTCCCCCGGAGCAGGCGGTGTTTACCCTAATACTGTGATCGGTAGTCTTCTCCAGTGTTGTGACGGGGGGTGTTGGTGAAGAAGGTGTAGGGTTTCGGTGCTGGCTTGGCGTTCGTTGGCTTGTTGCGATTCGTTGCAGCCATTGACGGGTGGTTCCCCCCCCCCACTTTTTTTTTTTTTTTTTTTTTTTTTGAGTGTGTGATTTGGTGATCTTTGAACTTTGGAGGACATCGAGATGAGTGACGATGATGATTTCGGGGATCTGTATGCGGAGGACGTGGGAGGAGGAGGAGGAGGTGGCGGTGGTGGTACTGGTACCCTGTACGAGGCGTCCAAGGAGGTGAGAGTGGAGGAGAGTTGGGGATACGGGGGTGAAGGGGATGTCAACGACGAAGATAGGGAAGACGAGGAGGAGCTTCTCTATGGGACTTCCTCTGCGTCTGCCGTGGCGCCGGCTGTCGTAGGAGGATTGACGGCCGGGTTCGAGGTCGGGGTAAAGGATGTGGACAACGAGGAGACGTTTTTGTATGGGGAGTTGTATGGGAGTGCTGCGGCTGCGGCGACGACGACCTCGAAGGGGGATGGGTTGGAATCCGCGTCTGTTGAAGATACCAGGAGCAGGGAAGCGGGTGCTGCAGCTGCAATTGAGAATGGAAATTCGTATGGAGCGGAATCAGATGCTAGCGGCTTACTAGGTCGGATGCAACCGCAAACCCCTGGAACAGTCGGTGGTTTGAGGGCTTTGGAGAGCTTTAGGGGGGTTGGAGGGATTGTTGTGGCACCGGGTCTTGCACCCTCTGGGTCTGTTGGTTTACGCGAAAAAGAGGAGGTGACAGCGGGAGAGATGGGCGACGATAGTGCCGCTGCAGCTGGAGTTGCAGGGACAGGGGAAGGCGAGGATTGGGACAGTGATAGCGACGACGGCCTACAAATTGTGTTGAATGACGATGCGCCGGCTTTTGGAAATCCGGAAGGGGAGGCGAAGAGTGAATATTACGAGGGTAGTGATGACGAGGACGAGGAAGACCTGATTATTGTGGCAGAGGATGAGCCTCTGGACGGGCAAGAGAATTGGGGAGAGGAAGGAGGGCCTTTATCTGAACCGCCTCTTTCCGGTCCTCCAAGTGGAGGTCCACCAGGGGCACTCGAGAGGGTTGTATCAGGTGAGAATTCATTCTCTATTTACGTGTAGCATTGTTGTTGGCAAATCGTTTCATTTCTAGGGTTTGTTGGTCCTGGAGTATATGGGATTGGAACTTGAATCTGCTTGCATACTGTGCGCACGCTGTTATCATTTACGCCAGCTCAAAGCGGGCACGCTAGTCGTATTCGAAACTTAGTTGTAGTGGAATTTGATAAATTTTATGTCCTGTGAATGCAGGTGGTGATGATCGGGGAGCCCCTGGTAAAACTGGTGGTCAAGGGCCAGGTCTGGCTGGTCCTCGAATTGGCTACAGTGGTCAGGGCTACTACACTTCACAACCTCATCATGCACAGTACAAGGTACTGGCTTTATCCTGGTATCAGTAGTGGTTGCGTTTGTTGGGTTACGAGGGGATGAGTTTTGTGTTGATATAGAGTTTTAACTCGTAAGCATCATTTGTTAGAAAACATACGACTTTGAGTCTCTCGTTTTACGAAGTGCCATTTGGGTATTGAGGCGATTTGCGGTCCTAATCTGAAAGTTGTTTCTCGTTTTTGTTTTGTTTGTGTTTTTTTCATACGAAAATCAGTGATCTTTTTTACGAGCTAATAGAGAAGTGAAAGTTTCGGCTGGCGGTTTCGAATTGATTTCTCTATTTTGCTCGTACAACAGAGTTTAAACTTGCTTCTAAGCCTTCATCGGAAGTGAACCTATTGTTTTGCTTGTGAAAATAACTTCTTTGATGTTTGACTTGCTTACCAAGTTGCGATATTGCTTTCTTTAAAAGGATATTAAGGTATACTTCATATGTCAGTATGTGAGACCAGGTGCTGGAGCATCCGGTGCACCTGCCTCGAGCCTGGCAGGAGAACCACAGTCAGGTGGAAGAGGTGCTGGGAGAGGGGATTGGGGAGCTGGCCGAGGTGCTGAAGGCGGGCGAGGAGATTGGGCAGGCAGGGGGCGTGGTGGTTCTAATGGTCAACGAGGTTCGCAAAGTGGTCCAGCGGCATGGGGTGGTTCTGGTGGTCGTGGATACTCAAGTGGCGTAGAGTTCAATCTGCCTCCAACCAAGTACGTCATTGCTTAGTTTTACCTTCAATGCTTTGATGCTATACTTTCTGGAGGACTGAAGTTGTTTAATCATCGATGGTGTTTTTCAAAAGAATATTTTGTCTTCTTTTTACAGGAAGGGAAAATCAAGTCGCGTGTTATTTTTCAGGCTTAATTTATGGCAATTTTTACCCAAAAATACTCCTCGAAGTATACACAAAATATAGGGTTAAGAGCGGATTTCTCGTTTGGGTATTCTTTTTTCGCTTTTGTGGTTATGACTCTGATGGAAGTACGGATTTTACAGGACAGTATTTGATATTGACCTTGAAACACTGGAAGAGAAGCCTTGGCAACGACCTGGTGTGGATATTACAGACTATTTCAATTTTGGTTTCAACGAGAACAGCTGGAAAAGTTATTGTCAACAACTGGTAATTTCGTCTACTTCTTACATTTTGTACTGTCTCAATCTTACAGGCTCCCTGTGTTAGATTGTCCTTTTAGCCTCCTTTTAATGAAATATACTTTTTACATTTGTGTCAATGTATCAGCATCAGCCTCAGGTCTCTCTGTTATTCAGTGAGTTGTCCAGTGTCTTGACTCTCAATACTACTTCACTCCAGCCGAGCATTGAACTGTACTAAACCTACTTACATGGAGTTTCATAAACGAAAAGGAATCCCTTTGGCTCTGCTTGGTTTGATCTGTGAATGCTTGTGGAAAATAATAGTTGAGTAACGTTTAGGATTGATGCAAGAATTAGGATTTATTCGTGGTCTTTAACCCTGGGGGTTCAGGACCATGTGGATTCAAGATAGCCGAGGTTCAATGAGATATTAAAATCTTATGAGTTCATTAATGGGTTCTTTCTGGACATCATTCGTGCAGGCCCAATTACGATTAGAAGCAACAATGCAAAGCAAAATTCGAGTCTATGAAAGTGGCCGCTCCGAGCAGGTATGTTCGCCGCCGCTGGTGTTTGTTGTAACTTCAGGTTTCCCAACAGATGTACTAGGGTTGAGCATCGTATTCGATGCTACGTATCGTAAGTATTTGTTGCTTTGAGTATTCTGATTTACTAGAAGACTATTCTAACAATTAGTTATATGAGTGTAATTTTTTTACGCCTAGTTGTAGTACTCTTTAATACGCACATTTGAACTGCAGCGTTCATACTAGCTGTAATTCAAGCCCACGTTGTTGTTGATGCTAAAATAAGCATCTTCATTGAATCTATTGAAGAGGACGTCTGGATAGCAATTCAGAAGGGGTAATTTTTCCCTATCTATTTTACCACTGATACCTCTTTGTGATTGAGGCAGGAATATGATCCAGACCTGCCACCAGAGCTCATGGCAGCCCAAGGCCTGCAAGATGCTCCCGGTGATTTTAGTAACCACCAGCGTCAGTCCGACCATGGTGGTCAGTCAGGTAGTCGTGGGCGTGGATCAGGGCGAGGTCGACCTCAAATGGTAAAAATTCTTCATATCTCTTGGAATCATGTCCTATGCCTTGTATCTCTATTCAAGTATTGGAATTATATTCCCACGCTCTATTATTTGGCGTTGGTGGGCCCTTCTTGTTCATCTCACTTGTCGTAAGAGACGGTCTGGCTCGGCTAAATTCTTTTTGTGTTAACGTTCTTTCTCGGCGCAGCCTACAGGGAGGGCTATTCAAGTTGAAGGTGGAGGAGGGGAAAGACGTCCTTCAGCTGATATTCGCAGGCAAAGAACACGAGATTCCGATGCCGTTATTCACGTGAGAAAGCACTTCTGTTGGAATGAGTCTGGGTGGTTTTGCAGCCTTGTTCTGTTGTGTTTCATTCATTCATCTTTTCTGTTGATAATGATTATCTTCATGTTGAGACTTTGTCTGAAGCAGCCGGTGTGATGAATGTACATGAGGTTTAGGGCGATGTTTGTTGAAGGACCATATTCTTAGTGATCGTGTGCGTAAATCCCGTCTTCAAAGGATACTGAGATAAAAGTTGATGTTCCAATCACCTGATTTACACTCGTTGCGCCGTTTGTTATTTAGATTGTTTTACAAGATGCATCTGAGGATGAACCCGACGTAGCAGCAGCAGCAGCTGTTGATTACGATAAGGAGTACATAGTGGATGAGGCAAAAGGTGGGAAGCAATTGGAACCATACTCGAATTACCATCACGAAGAGGAGGCTCGTGAGTTTGGACCTGGAGGACCAGCACCATGGATGGATTATTACCCATATGAGCATTGGGAACAAGGAAATATGATGGACATGGCAGGTGAACATATGCATGGTCCTGTGCGTCCAGGTATGGGAATGGAAGGGCATGGACCCTTTCCTATGGGTCCTGGCATGTCTATGCATCCACCTGGTGCTGGACATGATTTTGGCATGTTTCCTGGTCCTTTTGGAATGCCACCATATGAGAGGTACACATCAACTTTGACTGAAATCCTGCATAGTTGTCGACCATGTCTTTGAATGTCCAAAGATTTAATATAATGTCAGATGTTGCCATATCGGATAAAGTTTCATGGTCCTAGGGTTTTCTACGATGTCCCTGTTATAAATGGGCTATCCAGTAGACATAGATGTCCACGATTCCTTTGCAAGCGTTTATCTTGAAATTTATTTTGATTTATTTTGTATTGCTTTCAGGAGTGGAGTTGGAAGACCTCCTATGTACGGGGGACCACGATTAGGAGGGGGACCTATGTCTGGCCCGGGACCAGATGGATATCTACCGGATCATTTTGCCATGCAGCCCCATCCTGGTGGATTTACAGAGCCTCAGCGGTAAGTGATATTTTCACCAAGTGTCTCATAAAGTTGCTTATGTTCACTGTGTTCATCGATTGAATATTTGCTGTGTTTTTCGTGCTTCTCTGGCATAGGGATTTCTCAGTATGGAGGACTTTCGTCATTATTAAACTTGATCATGAAGTCTTTGGTTTGTGAGCCTGATTGATGAACTCTTTGGCTGGGATGAGTAGGCTCAGAACCCCTCCGGGATTAGCGCATCCAAATCGTGTGGGTCCTCTCAGCGGTGAGTGGGAGGAAGAGCTAAGCAATGGTAGTGGAGCTAATCGATCAGGGCATGAGCATCATGGCGCTCATGTTAACAGGGACCGCGAAAGTCTTAGTTGGGATAATGACGTTGATAAAAGGCCCCAGCGGAGGTCCCGGTCTGTACTTGTTGAGAAGGCTGCTGAGGAGCCTTCACCCGAGCAGGTATCTGGAGGTCCGAAGAGGTCTAAATCTAAAGAGGATGGCGGTGAAGGTGAAGATTCAGAGTTGGGTGGCAAAGGAAGACCTGCCAAGAGGAAAAGGGTTGGTTCCGTTACAATGAGAGGTGATAATAGTCAGTTATATTCTTCAGGGGCATCATCCTCTGACGAGAGTTCAGACTCAAGTTTAGACAATATCAAGGAAGTTGCACCTGGCAGAGCAAAAGCTGCTAGTCTCTATGAGAAAGTACCTAGACAGAACGATGCATCAGAACAACACCAGTATAGAGGTGATTCTGGGTCTAGAAGACGAATGGCGGAAAGTAAGGAACGAGAAGAACTTCACAGAAGTGAACGCTCACAAGGTCTTCGAGGGAAAGATGAGCCTGTACATGATCGGAGAAGCCGCGAAGATAGGGACAGAGATAGAGAAAGAGACAGGGACAGGGATAGAGAGAGAGAGAGAGAAAGGGAGAGGGAGAGGGAACGAGAAAGAGAGAGGGAAAGAGAAAGAGAAAAAGAAAGAGAGAGACGGGAATATGATGAAGCTCGTCATTACAGAAAGGACAGAGGTGAAGAAAGGAATGACGAAGTTAGAAAACGTGGAAGACCCGAACATGGCTATGACAGGGAGAGGGAGGATAGAAGCCGGAAAAGAGAGCAAGAAGAACCCGGACATCGACGACGAGCGGGTGAACTTCAAGGGCAGAAAGCGTGGGTGGACGAGAAAAGGAATGATGATCGTTCTCGTCATGGAGACAGAGAGAAAGATGCTAGGCCTTATGATAGAGATCTGGAAAGGAGTCGAGGACGGGAAGAATTGAGGTCCCATCAGAGAGAAGAAAATCGTCCACGTGAGGAGGTTTCAAGGGTGGATCAAGAAGAACGGTATAGAGAAAAAAGAGAAGGAAATCGCTCGCGGGAAGAAATTTCAAGAACAGGTCAAGAAGAAGAGCGGTATAGAGATAGGGACAAACTCCGACGGGACGACCGTCTAGATGAGCGGCGGGACGATGCACGCTCGAAAGGGGGTGATCGAGCTGAGGAGAACAGAGAAAGGGATCTGAAAAGCCGTCGACACATGTGAGATTACTCTAAACGCAATGCAGCTGTGTTGGGAACATGTTATTCATCTCAGGGATTGATACGTTTCAATTAGACTAGATCAACTAGTGTTTCATTCTGTGGTTTCAGAATTGGAACTCTCTAGTTATCACTGCAGAGAATAGCATGCTCAATGTTTTTTCGAACAAGACCCTAATTATCCAACAGCTAAGTTACTGGGATTTGAGTTTAACTCTTTAGGACATTTGTGCAGGGAGGACAGGCCTAGAATAAGTGAGGATAGGAGGAAAGGTGAGGATCGAAGGTATGAGCTCCATCGGAAATCAGTGGCGAATAGTCGTGAGGTGGGGGATGATGCCCGTGTGCATATTCGAAGACGTGATGGATCAGAGGAGAAGGAAGCTGATGTTGCACGTAACGGTTCCCTTGCTAAGGATAGAAGCCATCATGGTTATGATGAACATAAGAGAGAAAAAGAACGATTGGGTAGTCAGCACGACGACGAAAGTAGGAGAGACAAGGACAGCTACCATTCAAGTCATCAACAAGATAAAGTATGGCTGGTTCCTAATATGATCTCTTCCGCAAAGCCAGTTTATTTGCGACCGTGGTTGCACTCCTCGCATAAGTGTTGGTATTTAGTATATTATTTGTTGATTGCTGTGGTGTGCACGTATTAATTTATTCTCTGGAATATATTTCCAGGAACATGGATCAGACATTGTCCAACGTGGGGACCGCGATGCTTCGCGATCGAAAAGATCTCATGCAGGAAATCGGAGATCAGAGAATGAAGATGTGCCTGGTTCGCACCTCACAAAAGAGCCTAAGCCTGAATCCGTAGTAGAGGATGTCAGTTCAGGAGAAGACGATGGTCAACCGAGGCGAGGTCGGAGTAAGACTGAACGTTGGAACAGTCGAAGGGAGAGAGAAATTCCCACAACCTCAGTAGTAGATGGAAAGAGGCACAGGCGGCAGTCTCGTGCACGAGAAGCTGATTTGACTAACGAAGCTCGAAATGTTGATCAGCTTACAAATGAGAAACGGCAGGTGAGACATTGATTGTCTTGTTTTTCTATTGTCGGGATAACGTGTATGTATAGGTCGGGGGGAGTAGAAACCACGTATCAGATGTGAACGATAACATAAAACTTATTTGCTTTCTGAATGTTTCCTTGTAAGCTCAAATTATTTCTTTGTGCGATTTTAAAGTAAGTGATTTTTTGTAGGACCAGGGACGACATGAGAATCATCAGCAGGACGCAGAACACAGTTCTAGGAACGAGCCGAGAGAACGGCAGCAGACTAGCATTTCTGCCAAACGATACAACAATGTTGACATCGAAGGCGAAGAAGACCCTGCAAATTCCAAGACAAAGGAAATTCGAAGCGGAGTGGTGTCACTAAAAGAAAGCAATCGTAGAGAATCACCTTTGCGAAGTACCCATCGGCATTCTGGTAGTGAGGATCACGTACAGCTGTCCGAGGAAGTCACAGCTAAGCTTGAACGTCGGAAAGAACGGTTCGGGAAACCGAGACTTAAGAAGCCAAGCGAGGAGGAGATGGCAGCTGGCCGAGATGAACCTTCCTATGCTGTTGAAGTTCAGGCAGATCCTGTGGAAGTGAAACAGGAAAGGCCAGCTCGGAAAAGGAGATGGGCTGGCAGTGGGTAGATGCTGTGACTAATTTCCTCGCTTATCTTAACAGCTGCTAGTTCGTCACAGTTCAGTTGTAGAGTCTTTTCCACCTTTGGTGTCGTACGAGTTATCGTCTTTCTTCTACTTATTCAGAGCCTGCCTTGACTCTTGTCTTGACTGCACATATACCATACTTGGCCATGTCGGCGCTTGTGAGATAACCCGCGGTAGCCTCACACATGACTAGCAGCAAGCTTCCTGACACAAGCTGTGGGTTGCTGCTTTCTAATCTTCTGGCAAGCGTTTCCAGGCTTGAATAAATGAAAGAGTCGCCGTTCTCAAGCGACGAAGCGTCAGTAACTCAAGGTACCCAAGTTAAACGAAGCAGTCGTGCTTGCAAGGATTGTTATGTCCAATGCAAGTTCTTCGCGTGCTCCTAACCCGGTCATTCTATCATACTGAGGATGTAGTTTCATACTTCGCTGTACATTCGGTTTCGAATTAGGAATTCATTGGTTTGATACCAACCTCTATCTTATGTTTTATGAAAAGGTTGAGTAGACACAATACAAGGGTGAAGCTTACCACTGCAGTTTTACACATTTTCTAGAGGTTAATTTAGCATATCTTCAAGACTGGTACAAATCTGCTACAAATCTAGAATATAGCTGAACCGTGCTTCCAAGGATTAATGTGTCCAATGCAAGTTTTTCAAATCCCCGTGACCTTCAAATTCCGAAAGTAGCTGAATGGGGCGTTATCGTGCTGTTACACACCACCGTCGTTCAACGTTCACTGCAATCTTCGGTGCTTCAAGTTTGGATGTGTTCAAACCCTGGAGTTGCACACAGTTCAAAGCCTCCTACAACTATCAAGTCCCCAGCAGTTAATTTTGCATATCTACACCTTAAGGTGTCAAACGAATAATTGAACAAAGCCATGTTTAAACTATGCAAATCAGATAATCTTTTATTCTGAATAGTAATACAGAATTAACAATAAAATATGATTCCTACAAACATTTGATGTAACATAGTCCAAAGTACAGATAACAAATAAGTGTTACTCACTTATCAATATCGTAAGATTCTTGATGCAGTTCCATTGAAATATACTAAAACAGGTGTCATATGCTTCAAGCTTGTTCAAGATTTTTTGGTTTTTATTGATCTTTATGCAAAAATATAAATTGATTGCTTGAACTGAATAATGCATTTGTGTTTTTTGTCAATATTGTATACAATTAAAGAAAGAAAAAAAAGTGCCACCAACATGCTGGTATAATTGATGTGTATTAAAGAGACTTTAAGATTATGAACTATGCTAGTGTTGCATCACGTAAGATGTCATTTGTAGTTTTTTTAATTGTAATTATCAATAGAATAGTGGTTACCAGTACTTTTTCATAAACTTAACTGGATTTGATTAATATTACTATTATTATCAACAAATTTTGGACTTCTTTTAATCTCTTATCCAGAAGCGTTAAGTCAATGATATATTCAATGTTGTATGTAGTTGATTATAGTCAATTAATTAATTAATTGGATTATTACATGGTAAAATGATTAATTACTTTTGTAAGAAATAGTTTTTACATCCATCAACGTCAAACCTCTAGTTACAAGACACCAATTTTTACAAGGTCAGTCCATTTTCTAATAAGGTGTCAACCATTTTTCAAATGGACCATCTATTCTGGAGGGCTTTCCCCTATTTACAAGAATTTTCAATTTCTCGATTTCCATGAACATTCCATTTTGTGGGATCTTTCCCTCTTTTTTTTCTTTTTTGCGAGAGTAAATTAGCCTTTGAACTTCCAGGGACTACCCATTTTTAGAATTATTCAATTTACATCACCACAAGTAAAACCATATTTGTGTTGGTAACTACCTTTGTTTATATTCTAAATTAAATTCGTATTTATGCTGATTTCTTATTATATAAAGCTCAAGTTTTTATTTTAAAATACAATATAGATCTTTAAAAAGTAATGCACTCCCACATTCAACCTCTATAATATATTTCAAATTCATTGAATTGTGCCATATCTAATTTATCACTTTTTACAATAGTTATTATACACAACGGCAGTAAGAACCAGAACACATTAGTGCACATAACAACAAAAACAAAATAATGTATAAAATAAACAAAGATCGATGAGGAGCGAAGGATGAACAAAATGGCAGGGATTTCAACAGTATCCCCACAGAACATCTAGAACACACTGACACTAAGCCACACAAATAACGTAACTAGAAGACAAAACTGTGAACCTGAAAGCCCTACATGATGGAATAGAACAATACACTTCTTTGTTCTAAAACTAGAACATCCAGATAGAGGATATCTAAAATTTCTAGGTCTAATTCAGAGATAAAGCAAGTCCAACCAACTTACAATTTTCTGTCAGGTGACAAACCAAATTGCTCCCAGGGATCCGCATGAAAAAGAAAGTCTATGGCCCGTTAAATTTGTGCATCAGACCACAGGGGGAATGCCAGTCCTGTCAATGACCCCAAAATACTTTCCACTGTACACTAAAGCTGATGATCTGCTCCTCACCAACAGGCACCCAGCACGAGAAACATTATTCAGTGTGGACATTGCAACACCCTGTCCAAGCTATAAAAATAGCAAAACAAAAGTAAACAAAACAAAAAGGATAAGAGTCAGACCTACGTGACTCACCAGTGGATTACTACTAATGTTGTCTAAACTCATTGCATGATTCACATGCCCGTGTCAAACTTGCTTTTGATCACCAAGGTGAGCAGCATCACTCAGTTTTGAATACGAGATGGAATTCCTTAAAATCAAAACGTATACCCTGAGCACAACATTCAACCGACATCCGTGACCCTGAATTCACCCATTACTAGTCGCGCAAGGTGAGGTTTGTTCCGTGCTTCCTTCCGGTTAATCTTGCTAGGCATTCCGTTAGTGCGGCATCAGACACTAAACAGGGGGCTAAAAGCATGAGAACAGATGACGAATTGGGCCAAGTGACTGACCTCTTCGATACCCATGTAGGCTCGAACAAAATGAAGAGGGGGGAGCCCAAGTTTAAGCATGTTTGCAACTGATCACCATGTCACACCAAAGCCAAGCACTTGCCTCCCACCGATTTGAGCTGCCCAGATTCCTCCACCATTTAGCGAGAACGGTTATCGTATCTTGTAGCTAACTTGCCAGTACAAATCATGTTGAACCAGACGATTCTATGAATATGAATGGTTTCAGCACACTCCGGAGCAGTATGAGTATCCTGACCTTGGCTTCAAGCGGCTGACCATCACGAGATTGTGGATACTAGCATCCCTTTGTGAAACGACCAGATGTATTGAAGGGCTTGTTGCATCAAAGAGGGAGGCTAAAGAGAAAGGGTGTGAGGGCTCGTCTGAGAATTCATCTCTTTAGGCTTGGAAGGTCTTTCAAACATGCCCTGGTGCAGACTTCAGGTGGCGCATATTTGTGGTTTCAATACTCCCACAAACCATGTAGATGTGACAGCACAAAACCAACCCTCATCACCAATGGCAATGTTGCCACGCAGTCGTTCAGTGATTTATCTTCTTAATCTAGCTTAAATCTGAAATTGGAAACTGCAGTGTCCGGTATATCTCCATTGTGGGTCCTAGCTTTCTCGAGCTGCGAATGCATTCATGAGTCTTGATCCACACCATATCAGCTCGCAGCAAGCACAAATAGCAACCCTGAAGAGCTGCAGTTGCGGAAAAGGAATTGGATCCCAATCAAAACGTTACTTCAACCTGAAATGTAGTGCTCCTGGGCTGGGCTTGTAGTACTTGGCCTGGGGGATCGAGCCTAAATCATTTTCTTTTTTGAATAAAGCTTGAAGCAGCAAAGGAAAAACGTGAATGAATAATACCCGAGCACGAAGATAGCCCCGGGAAAAAGAAATATTGGACCAAGCCGGCGGTTGTAGGGCTCCACTGAAAGTCCGCTGACATTGGCAAGATGGCAACACTCATGTTCAACTACACGCAAACGCACTATGTGAGTTCTTTCGCTGACACAATTGTGTGTTCTGATTAGCAAGTATATCAAATTTCAGCAAGAGAAAAATGCAGCTCTAGTACCCTTCCAAATCTTTCCTCCAGAAGGAAGTTCCTAATTTCTACTCCTCAAATTGACTAGGTTAAGAATTGCAAAACACTTATCCGCTCTTTGGCAGCTTTAAAACTGTATTCAAGGTACTAGTGGGGGAAGCTACATTAAAGATTGAGGTAATCCTTCAAACGTATTATATGCCTCGACAATGCTCATCTTTTGTCACTGCACACGCTATGAACCTGAGTCAACTATCATTTTTGCACGAAACCTGTATAGTTTGTCGTGAGTACAAGAGGTGAAGAATTCCACGCACCCTATCCATACAGCATAGAAAGCAACAAAACACAGTCCTATGATAATGTAACGCCAAAGAATGCTGTTCCACGAAGTAAGACTCTCGGTGACCTCTCAGAGCTGCTGCCTTCCACCGACACGGTTGCCCAATTACTTGAATAAAGAACTCACTAACTTAGGAGCCATCTTCTCAGGAAATCCATTGTTATCGTATACTTTCTTCAGAATCTTTGAATGGTTGCCTGAGTCGACGTTGTCAGCTTGCCGAGGGTTCTGATTCCTGAATACTAACTTGACGATAACCAGGACACGATCCTAATTATGCTTCGTTTCCTAAAATCATGGGTTGATAATTTCAACCCCATGGATTCTGCAGGCTGCCGTAATTGTGCCACCTGGTGTCTGCGGCAACATCCCAATTCAATCCTATCAGCTTTATCGAATTCCACATCAGCCATTGTAACTCTCAACCTCCCATCACCACTCTCTGGAACATTCAATAATTGCATGACCAGCTCAGCCAAGATTACCCGAATAATAAGAGAAGCAAGAAATTCACCCATTTCTGCCAGTTGAGCAAATGTAGCGACTCCCCTATTCTTCACATGCACAACTAAATCGAAACTCGCATTGCAACTCAATCTCTAATCCAAAAACGCTATTAGCCCTTGGAAAACTAAATAAATAAATATACATCGTTAATAGACATTAATCCACCTAACATCACGTAACCCATTTCAAACTACAGCCCCACTTCGCCCCTTCAGCTCGTTTCAATTCAAGACATACAAACCTAAATCAAACTCAATTTCCTCAAGACATTTCTCCTTCCTAATTCATGTGCCGAAGTAGCTTCCCACTTCCATATCACAATGCACACAAAGTCTTCGGTATCAGCTAACAATCAATTGCGAAGATGACTAAGAAAACCACTCCACCAGTACAGATCACCACAACGACTCCCAAATCAAATCCCACTCGAACATCTGAAGCGAGCACGATCCCATCCCTTCGACGCACTACCGAAGTGTGTGTCCATGCCCGCTAGTCCTAATCTCACAAACCCAAACACGCACTTCCTCACACCACACATTGAGGAAACAATTGCCCAGGTTGGAAGAACGAGAATTGTAAACTCTTACCTGCTCCGCGACGACCACATTGGTGAGACCTTCCTGGCCAGCTTGAGCATTCTTTCGATACATCACATCGACAGCACATGCAGCGGTGAGTGAAAAGCTCCACAAGAGCAGAAAAAAAACAAAACAAAACTAAACTAAACAAAACAAAAAAAATCGTCACCGAACCCTTCGGGTCATCAAAACTTTGTGTCAGTTTCGCTGTGTTGGTTAAGATTTCAGGTTTGTGGGTCTCTTTTCTTTTCACAAATTTGACAAATTGGGGTAATTAGAGGGGTTTGCTGCGAAGAATGTACGATACAGGGACGAACTACGTGATACGGTGGGGCTGGTGAGAGGGCCGCATCGCTGGCCGCAAAACACTGAGGATCTTTCCGTGGACAGTGATTGCGGTGTGAAAAGGCGTCCCGTCGGGTACGGGAGTGAGGTGGGTAGCAGTACCTAAGGCCAAGATTGAGCACCTAGTACCGCGTTCTGTACATCGCATGATTATTTGATTGAGCCACTTGAATTTTGTTTTTTATTTCTTTTTGATTCCCAAGAAAAAAAATCTTTGATCACCAATTACATGAATTGGGTTATGATTGGTACCACATGGGAAAACTAAGATGTAATGTGCCCATTTCATATATATAGATATATATGAATATATCTTAACAAAAGCCTCAAAACTTTAACATCAGGCTTTTCTGTAAGTGTGGATGGAAATATAGAAATGGGTACAAGTTTATCAAATCAAACCTGTTGTACGTATGAAACGCTGCTTGATTAGACGAGTTAGATGACAGACCAGGCTGTAAAACGCAACTTTTCGATGGCATTACAGAGTTTGTTCCTCCCAAGAGTTGCTACTTGGAGAGGCTGTGGAGTCCAATGCTGTGTAGTAGTCAACTAGTTGACTTCAGGATTTGTTGAGGAATGGTGGAACACTGATGCTGGCTTGCAAACTTGAAGACAATTGAAGTTTTGATCACCCTCTAAAAACTGTGAACTAGACACCAAGCGATGTGATGCTGTCCATGATGGTTCTCACCCTCAACAGAACTCCATCACAACCACCTCCTGCAAGTAAGCAGTCTTTTAAGATCACAGCAAATCACATCGCAGTCCGGCTCCACAGACAGTGCAGTAAGTAACACTCCTTCGTCCTTGCTACGGTCTAATCTGTGGGGCTCCGTGGCCATTGTCAGCGTTGAAGGACTGAGTTGAGGTATCTCCATCTCAAAAATGTGAAAGCTGTTGGCGTGGAACTAAAACAAATTGCAATCGAGTGTTTGGAGACGGTTCGGTTGGATTGTGGCTGCTATCAAGCAAAACAGATTCACGGATAGGATCCTCATCATGAATTAACTGGAAGTAGACGATGATGCACAGTGGAATCGAGCTTGCATCGAGTACCAGTCTCATAACTGGAGACCGCTTAATAATCTTTCCATCTGTAGTCTCTTTGCGGGCTCACCTTCAGTGTTTGATTGCTTTGCTCCGACTGAAATCTGCTCTTGCTCGGCATCTGGAGCTGCCAGTGCCTGAGCAGTCTCTATTTGGGGAGATGTGTTGTTCACCGGAACCAGTGGTGCAGGACGAGAAGGAGCAGGTGGGGGCTGGAAAACAAATCCCAATTCAATTCAAATCATGTGAAAAGAAACAAACTGACCCAATCAACCAAAATGTGCAATTTCAGGATCTGACACATGAGACCTACAAATTAGCTTAAGTCCGTTGATAACACCACAATGAAATATATGCTCACAACCGTTCAAAACTACATACAAAGGAACGCGTGCATGATAAGCACACTGTAACGTGTCTTCAATTGTGGTAACTACAAGTATCAAAGTTTATGGACGATCTAAGCCCTCGTATCAGATCTTGCTCCTGTCTGATGTTCGGTTATGAAAAGTCCACCATTTGGTTAGAGCTGCTAGGAGCGCATGGAGTTGGTGACAGGAGAACTTACGCATGACACCAGCAAGAATTGAATCCACATGCATGACTTCCTTGACGTCAACCACCTTCGTTGTTGGTTTCTTTAATTGTACGTCGGCAGCATCAGCGTCGCCACCTGCCTTCCCAGTTTCACTATCCGTACCTGTGAAAACACCAACTCGGACTACGTTTCCTTCTTCAAATCGTGTTGCATCGTTGGGAATGAAAACATTCTACAGGAACGAAGGGTTACAGCGGAGAACATAAGAACACGAATAAATCAGGCTAAAACTGATGTGTCAACTACTCCTAGGTTACGAAGTGACAATCCAGAATCTTATCTTCAATACATTATTTCATCGTATGGATGTGATTATTGCTACAACAGTAATTTTACGGGTATGGAATAGCAGAACTAATTACTGATTGTATCCAAGTATTCAATACCCACATTCTTTTGCTTCAGTTGAATGATACCCTTCTTTGACATACGCAATAAATTTTACTAGACTTCCTGCCTATACATCAGTATTAGACTCGTGCGGTAGGCTTACCGGATCCAATCTTCTCCAGATTTGCGGAGGCTTGCGCAAATGCGTTCGAAATATGGTACAGAAACCGCATCTACAAAGGCCATCGTCTGTAACTCCACGGTATTGTAACACTAATTTACAGCCGATTGGAACTTTCATGACAAGAACTTACAACAGGTGACCAATCACGTTGTAAAGCTGAGGTACCTGATAAATAGAACCACCTAGAACATAATACGCAGCTGAAGTCGAAACTTTTTTCAAGACATTGGCAGTGTCTCCTGCAGTATGTAATTTATATCAGTCTTCTTCCTGCTTACATGAAATAATATTACCAATAGACCCACCCAAATAAGGTTTGCATGAAAAGAGCTCTATGAATTTCTAAAAGCAGATATAGCAAACATGACCTCCAGTGTCATGAACTCGAACTCGAATTGGCGCAAAAAAGAGCTGGAAAGAAAATCACGTACGAGAGACAGAGCATGTCCAAAGGATGAATAGCCTCCATTCTCAGCTGGCTCCTTATTACAAGTACGGTCATAAAATGGAGATAATGCGAAGTAATCAAACACCTGGTTTCGATCTAAACGATAAGAGCTAAGCCACATTTGGTCCTTGAAGCTGACAATCGTCATCTACGTCCCCGGAGAGCCCTCGGCTGGGGCTGCCATAGCCATTTGTAAACCGGTTTGAATTCCTACTGACCACCAAAATACGGGAAACCTGTTGCCACAAGTTTATATGTGTTTTATCAAAATAAAGCGCAGTAAAGAAAGTACCGAAAGCCAACCTAATGTAGCGTAAAGAGGATCACTGCCGATGCGAAGTCCCTGCACGTCCAGTTCTAAACGTGTTTAACATATATCTGGATTCATATGAAAGCAGACTGGAAGATGGTTATTCAATTGACACTAATATAAAATACAGTAAAATAAAATAAGACTGGTTTTTTTAAAGAGCCAGAAAGGACTGCAAAAAAGCACGGAGCTCGTTCTAGAATAGTTTGAGTCCAGGTAGTGCGGTAATCAGTGAGCCGTCAAATCTAAAACGAATCCCAGCCTAGAGTAGCAATGCCACGAGCACCACATTTCTCCACGGGAAATTTGGAAGTTAGCGACAACTGCACAGTGTTCCAAATACTACGTGCTTACATTGAGACTTACGTGTGAAAAATTCCTCAAGGACTATATCGATCTATGTGCAAGAGAAATCGAGTAAAGCTACATCCAGTTCACGCAACCTTGCCTTGAAAGTTCAACACGCAGCGTAAATCATAAAAATCGAATCTAAGAAGTCTGAGCAGTATTCCCAGGGTACGCTTTTTTGACTGTCCGAGACCGGTAGATATACACACCATTAAGCCTGACAGAGAACAATGGCACCTTTTAGACGCAACAATTGCTGCCAAAATTCCTGGACACAGCCTCTATGGCAGAAAAAACTTGACCAGAATCATTGTTCGATTGCCCAAACACTAGACAGTCAGGACCTAGTCTCTCTGTAACGAATTCACAGGAATTGATCATCAAGAGCTTTCAAATCACTACAAAAAAGCTCTCCGATCACGAAAAGTTCAGAAGCCAATCGTTATCAAGCAAACTGCGGATGGGCGAACCTCACCAATTTAACAAAAAAAAAAAAAAAAAAAAAAAAAAAAAACCCTAGGGAAGAAAAAATCAATCCAGATCATCGAAAAATCTGAGCAATTAGGCTCTTGTCGCAATGGCTGAGGAACACGACAAGGTTCCTACCACCTGCACCGAATTGGTCCGCGAGCGAAGAAATCCCAGGATTCGAATGCTCTCGCGACTCACGACCTCTGAAGCTCGCTGCCGAAAACTCAGTGCAGTATCCGCTACACACTATTATGATCACGAATTCCGACACAGATGGCCAGATTTCGACCTAATTGCAGCTCCTGCAGCACATGGGTGAAGCCCAAAGTGCCCCTAAAATTGCGTCGCTCTGTGCACCGCAGTCGTCGCCGACGACGCTGAGCCCCCAACTTGAAGCTCCACAACCAACGACGACGCCGCTGGTATCTGTACTCCAATCACATATTGTATCCACTATGTATTGAATACGTAATGGTAGACTAAGGAAGTGTCGTACTCGTTCCCGATGGTCCTGGGGGGTGATCTCTTTACCGGACACCAGCAATCCCGCAGTGTTCCCCATCCCGTATGGATTGGGAACGGGTACCCCAAATAGATCCGCGTCTGACAGAGAACTACGGTACAGTTGCATGGTAATCCTCCCGTCACACCGTTGAAAGCAACTGGGGAACCCATGGCAACGTGGATGAATGAATGAATCGTTCTCTTCATTAGTTGAAACTCTCTAAAGTTACTGTCCATAGCCATGAATCCCTTGCCACGTCGTCTCCAATTTACCCTTCCTCTCCTGCATCCTCACTTTTCTCTCTCCGCGGTAAATAAATTTCGGAACATGCTCTCAGAGGTTGCGCCGATCCTTCCTGCCCCTTTGTCTCTCTCGGAGCTCCCATTCCTGCTTATTCCAGTCATTCCTTGTTTGAACATTTTTCAAGGCTGATTTATGTCGGCTTCTGTGGATTTACGTCCAAAGTTATTGTGTTGGAATCTGTTTGATGAGTTTAGTGATATGCTGTACTTCGATATGCTATCCAAGTTTCCTCAACTTCTCTTCTTATATTTGTCTGATATTAGTTGCAAAATATGGTTGAATTTTAGTTATTTATATATCTGTTTATTAAAAATTAACTACTCTGCAGTGAAACGCACGTCATGTTTGAAAAACAAATTCATGAAGTGAAAGTTTGTAATTATGACAATGAGTGCTTGCTGTATTAACTTTTTGAGAAACCTCATCGAGTTAGTGAGGAGTGTGGAAAACAACTTTGATGTGTTTGAAATCGTTGTCAAACAAGCATGTAAACATATGTAGTACTTGTACTTGTGTTAGTAATTATGTAATCATCATTTTAAAGTGGCTTTTAATTATTGTGGTCTATTTGTGAACTAATCAACTAAATTTAATGTTATGAAGAGGTGAAAGATGTGACAGATGTGACACATGAATACTTGTATTTTAAAAATCAAAATGGCATATACCCAACGATTTTTAAACCGACATTTTATTGTCGTGGGTTGGATTTGTTGAAAACTAAATGAAAAAGTCATTGGGAAACATTATAGGAGCAAATAATAAAATTTGGTAAAACATAAAAAAAAATAAAAATGATCAATGCATTCAAGAGCTGATCTTATAGACACCTGCTAAAAAAATGATGGTCCAGTTACATCTCATCAAATGAGTTTTATAGGTGTCACCAACTCTCACAATGCTACATATATATATATATATACGTACATACATATTGTTTTTGTGTGTGCATGTGCGCATGGATATGTACACACGTGCACGAGAATCCCAATCCTATGCGTGTAATATCTCATGGTAAAAATTTCACAAATGAGCCATTTGAATCAATTATTGGTATTGAGAAATGAACCAAGGCGGAATTTTTGGAAGCCAAGACGAAACAAAACACAACTCCAACAGGGTAGGTGGCAAGGTCCTACAAAGTCGGCATACTGAAAATACAAAAACAAAAAGAGAAAAGGGGAGCTTCGAAGCACACTAAATTGGGAAGGGAAGGGGGGAGAAGACACATGAAGTGTGTGCTTTGCCGTGTCGTGTGAGGGGAACGGGAGGAGAGAGAAGGAGGCCCCCCTCCCCTCCCACCCACCTGGGGTACCCAGCCCCGTGGACACGACAAAGATGGCGACATGTCATAATTTGAAGGGCATCATGATCATCATGATCGTCGTCGTCGTCGTGGGGAGGGAGGCAGCAGCACAGCAATAGGAAGAAGAAGAAGAAGCACAAGAAACAGAACAGATCAGCACCAGCACCAGAGAAGCCAAAGCCAATCCAAGCCAAGGCACTACTACTACTATTACTGCTACTAGTACGCAGCAAGCAACTTGGCCTCCCTCGCACCCACCGAGCCCCTTTGCTGCTTGGCCTGTCGTCCTCTAGCGCACACTTGGGTCCGAAAGATCTGCGCGAGGGGGAGAAACGCACCTCAACTGTGCTTACACAAGCCTCGCGAGGAGGAGAAGGAGAAGGAGAAGAAAACGGGGAGCAGAGGAGCGAGCGAGGGGAGTGTGGAAAGGGAGGGGGGGCGGAGGTGGGGGAAGGATACAGGGGTGGTTCTAGTTCTACTACATCTACTACTAATTCTACTTCTACGTCGTCGTCGTCGTCGTCTTGATTATTAGAAGCGGAGTGGGGTATGGGAGCACACCCTGCAAAGTACACAAAAGGGACGTCACTTCCGGAGCCGAGACCTCCTATTTATATCCGTACGCCTTGGCGCAAACCAGGAGGGTTTGACTGACCATGCCCACCACCACCACCACCACCAGCCCAGGGTCTCTCTCTCCCTCTCGCTCGCTCGCTCTCGCAGGGAGGGAGGGACGCAGCAGTGCACCCACCACCCTGGTTTGGCTGCCTTACCCACCCTCGCGCTCCGGATCGCGGGCCGGGTGCAGAAGAGGAGGGAGGGAGGGAGAGGAACCGGGTGTCCGGCCCGACCCCGTCACATCTCTTGTGAGGGGGGGGGGGGTTGCCTTCTTCGCTCTCTGGCTGCTGCTTGCTGCCTTCTGCAAGTTTGGTCACCTCCTCCTCTCTTCTTCCTCTCTCCCACTCTCTCTCTTTTTCTGTCTGTCTGTCTTTTTCTTTCCCTTCTCCTCCTCGTCCCTTTCCTCCTTTACCAACACCACTAGCACCACCAGCACTCTTTGAGGCCTTGACGTCTCTCTCGCTCTATCCTACTCTACCCCCCTCCTCCCCCCAGTTCTCTCTCTCCTCTCTCTCGCCCTCTCTCCCTCTTCCTCTTCTCTTTTTCTCTCCTTCTTCTCTCTTTCTGTCTCTGTTTGGCTATGGCGTTCCCTCTCCTCCTCCCTCAACCCTCCCGCCCTCGCCGCTAGGGTCGCTCCGCCTCGCTCAAGGTGCTAGTTGTAGAGAAACGTGCGAGTTTGTTGCTGTTGCGCGTCGTTGTTAGCACGGGTTGCAGGCGCTTGTTGGTAGGTTATGGTAGCAACGGCAGCGGGGGGCGTTGTGCCGGCGCGGATCTGAGAGTGGAGTGGGACTGTGCTGCGGTATGGTGGAGCCTGCCGCGCGCAGCTTGCTGTGAGGGTGGTATCGCGTGCGAGGAGTGTGATGAGAGTAGAGGGTTTCGGCCATTGACGCCGTGGGTGGGGGTGGTGGTGGCGTTGGCCTGGGGTTGATTTCGGTGGTAGAGGTTGGTGGCTACTGCCTAGATGCGGTGGGAGGTAGTTCTGAGGGCCTAGAAACTGGAAAGAGTAGAAGAGGATATAGAGGAAGTTTCAAAAGTTGGAGGCGAGAGAGAGCGCGCGAGGGGTGGTGAGTAGAGGTGAGGAAAACGGTGTTATTGAGATCGACGGGTTTAAGATCAAGGGAGGAAATGTCATGCATGAGCCTCAAAACGAGGAGAGGAAGCACATGTGGTCTCCCCCCTCACAACGTTCATCTGTTGGGAACCCTGCCGACCAGAGAGTTTTCAATAAGGTTGCTACTTGCTACTCTTACAAACTCCGTCCTTCCATCCGTATGGTTCGCTGAGGGCACGAGCATTCGAGCAAGTGTTTGTTTCGCAGTCACATGTAGAGACGGGGAATTTTCGTCGTGATGGTCGGGTCAGTGGGTGCAGCAGCATCTGCACATCACCGAGTTGTACGGCGGGGCTTATGTCAAGTCGTGCCTGCGCATATTCACACAGACACACACACACACATACACAGATAAGACTCTTCGTTATGTGTCGTTAGTCGCTCGCACGTTATGCTCGTGTCGTCTGTTTTTGCTCGAACCAAGGAGTACAGTGCTTTCCAAGGGCACTATGCTTTTGGCTCGCATCGAATAGATGTTGCTTGATGGACAAGTTGTAGTCTGCTGTGGATCTGGCCCTCTGTGTTGTCTTGTCTTCACTCAACTTCCGTAACTTTCTTGTTTATAGAAGCGTGGCTCCATTCTCGCCAGTAAGAACTTGTCTCGCCAGAGGCAAACGTCTCTTTGGCAACAGTCGCCGTGGTTGCTCCTGGCCTTTTAAAGCACTGTTATTATGTTCGTAAGGGGAAACTTTGACTTTTTTTGCGTTTCCTTCGCGGTAGAGCTTCGTTGTTTCCTTTCTACTTCAGAGAGGCTTTAACTGTAAAGGAAATTTAGTTAGTAAGGTGTTTCTATTTGTGTGCCTGTTTTGCCCAAGCTCTTGTCCTTGGAATGTGCTCCAGTCCATCTTTTAAGTTTGTCTTCATTTCTGGGTGAAGCAAATGCAATCAACTCTGTTAGTCTGTTTAAGTTTCTTACGCCGCGTTTTCAGACTTCTACAACTGTTAAGTTTTTGTATGCTACATCACCTCAGTAAGTGACATACGTGTTCGTAATCCACTTGAAAGTTTGTGTAGGAAACGTAGTTTTGTTTCACTTGTTTAGATCGTGTTTATGCGTAGAGAATGGGTGTAGCCTATTGTTCTTGTTCTTGATTTGTTTGTTTTTCTTACTTGTCGTAAGAGATGCAATGGTTTTTGTCACGACTCTGAAGACCTAGGCACGAATTATTTGTTCCCACTGCGGAGGAGTATTTTCCCATTGCAGTGTTTATCACTTATTTAATTCTATCGTAAGATGTCGCTCTTTTGTCGGAGTACACAGATGCTGAAGCCTTTTCCCAGCACTTTTTGCTGCTATTTCACAAAATTTAGTTAGATATACTACGTCATGAATGGTAGAAATTGGGTCCTAGCCCCGAGGACGTACTCCTCTGCTGGTATCGATGTCATTGTGTAGGGAGCATTGGTTGTGAAAATCTATCTACCTAGACATTGGTTTGCCACATGCCCTGATTTTGCAGTATTTACGCAAGTTGGGGTCCCACTGGTCAAGTTAAAGTATACCCATGACATAGTATAGTGATATTGCAGGACGGAAGAGCTCTCAACGTTGGAGATTGCGCACTCTTCCAGGCAGGGAGTGATCAGCCGTTTATTGGGATTTTACGTAAGGTGACTTCAGAGGCAGTTGACCAAGTAAAATTGACTGTTAATTGGTTGTATCGAGAGAAGGACTTGAAGTTGGCGAAAGGATCGGTGCTGGAGGCAGAGCCAAACGAAATATTCTACTCTTTTCATAGGGATGTTATTCCAGAAACGACGCTGCTTCATCCCTGTAAAGTCGCATTTTTACGAGAAGGAATTGAATTACCCGCCGGAGTTTCTTTTGGATTCATCTGCCGAAGAGTCTACGATACTACAAACAGGCGTTTATATTGGCTCTCGGATCAAGATTATACCAATGTGAGTTCTATGTTTGACTTCGCAAGATGATCAATGTTGTAAAGGACAGGTGTTTAAAGTAGGATTGCCTATCTCTATGTCTTCCCAAGAGGTGCCTGCTTCTTGGCAGGCGCACCTATACCTACATTTACATAAAAGAATAAGAAAAAAAAATGTAAAGTCGCACATTGAGCACGTTATAGTACCTTCAGGAGAATTCATGTGTCGATGGCTTGACCTGGGGCTTATTTTGTTTGATTGACCACCCATTGATACAGGTGCTTGTCGACCTGTCTATATGTGTCTCGATGTGTGTGTGTGTGTGTGTGTTTTATTATTATTATTATTTATTTATTTATTTATTTAATTGGCGAGTCTGCTCCTTAGGTTTTCTGCTATGTGTCCCAGATTTCCTGATTGTCTGTCTCACCTCGTTGGTTAGATATGTGACCGAATATGTAATGGCCATATCAGCTATCAGAGGCCACCTGTTAAACGTTGTTTTCCCGACGTATCTGGAAATTGTCTTTCTCCTGGATTCTTCTAATTATCTACACCCTGGCAGTTCCAACGTTTATCTCATACACCCAGATACTTTATGTTACCCTCAGGAACATCAGGAGGAGGTAGATGAACTCTTGGATAGGACAAAGCTGGAGATGCAGGCAGCTACACAGGCAGGGGGTCCTTCACCAAGAAATCTGTCAGGATCGACAACAGTCCAGCTCTTGAAAGGGGTAAGCGAATCTGCGCAAAATGGTTCTTACTCCGCAGCCGGAAAATGCAAGAAGCGGGAACGATCTGATCAAAACGTGGACCTCACTAAACGGGAACGGAATGTGAAGCTGGAGGATGCAGAGGGCAGTCCCTTGAAGCGTGAGCGCAGCATGAAGCCGGAAGAGATTATAAGCAACCTGGACAAGGATGGGGGTCTGGCAGATTTAACTGGTGTGGAATGTTTAGTCCAGCTTATGCAACAAGATCAAAATGATGGCAACAAGAAAGTCGCAGATATCAGTGGTCGTCGTACCAAGCTAGCAAATATAATTGCTGCCACAGAGAAAGACGAGTGCCTCAGCCTGTTCTTACATTTAGGAGGATTACGGTTACTTGACGAATGGCTACAGGAAGCTCACAAAGGCAAAGCAGGAGATGCCGGTAGTCCGAGGGAAGGTGACAAGGGTGTTGAGGAGTTGCTGCTAGGCCTTCTTCGAGCCCTGGACAAGCTCCCTGTAGATCTAAAAGCGTTGAAAACATGTGTCGTCGGTAAATCAGTGAACCACTTACGAGGTCATAAAAATCTGGAAATCCAGAAAAAAGCTAGAAAACTGGTAGATGTTTGGAAGAAGCGTGTGGATACAGAAATGAAGCTGTCAGGGGAATCAAAACCGGGCGGAGGGAACGGAATTTGGTCATACAAGCTGTCACAATCTGAGCCGGTCCACACTTCGTCAGGTAAGGATTCGGGGGTTCCTCTCGAGGGAACCGTGAAAAATGCTGCGGCCACCTCAGGTAATACGAAACCCGTACAGAATGGGCCAGTCAACGGCGACAGTTCTGCAAAAACCACAGAAGGGTCAGGGAAAGCTGGTTCTCCTCTTTTACCTGCTGTTAAAGATACTAGCGCCAAACTTCCTGCAGGGAATTACGGTTCTGATGTGCATGCAGATATGGCAAAGGAGGAGAAAAGCAGCTGCTCGAGTCATTCTCTTAGTAATGGACATTCTTTGGCTAGTGGGGTCGAAAAGGGTGCTGCCACAGTATGGAAAGACGAAGCTAAGAATGGAGTTGTGATCCCTGGAAAAGGTGGTAGTGGTGGTACAGGGCTGCCGAGCTTGGGACAACCTGGGGCAAATCCCCCAGGCGGTTACAAGGAGACTAGTTCTGATAAAGCTGCTGTCTGGAATAAGAACTCGGCTACTGAGAAGGTAGGCAGTCCAGTTGGAGGTGCAGAAAAGGATGTGGAATCTGGAGGGTCTCAGCAGCGCCTTATTGTGAGAATACCAAATTCAGCGCGTAGTCCCGCACCGTCGAGCGGAGGAGCAGGTGAAGGGCATGTTAGCAGAAGCTCGTCTCCGAGTGCGTCGGAACGTCAAACACCCGCTAATTTTGATAAGTCGCAACAAGTTGAAGCCGCAGAGAATCCAAATTCCTCAGCAAGGCCGTCAAGATCCACTCCTATGGATACTACTGAAGGGGCCATGGGCTTGCTAGCTACCGTTGCAGCAGCTGCCGAGGAGTCTGGGGGAGAATTTTTTCACACTGTTGATAGTACAGGTCAGGCAGACATGCGGGTTGACCCCACTGCCCAGAGGACGAAGCATGAAGAGACTGGGGTATTGCAAAGCTTCGCAGAGCACGAGCCTTCTCCAAGTGTTGGTCATGGAGATGGAAAAAGTGATCGAAAGGAGCAGCAGGTTACCAGTCATACACTTGAGCAGTCTGCTGGAACTGAAAAGAGTGCGGAAAGGCATAATCTGCGTAGAGATTCTGCCAATGGAGAAGGACTACGAATGGACAACGTCAATGCCAAGTTGACGGTGGAACATCCTTATTTGAAAGAGCATAAAGTGAAAGATATAAATGACTTGGAGAGTAAGCCTATTGGTTTTGATGGACAACTTAGTATTAAATTTGGAACACGAACTGGTGAAAGGGGGTTGTCACGTACTCACTCGAAAGTGGCCAAGTCAGCTATTGAACTCTGCAATGGTATTGGATTGGGAGATTACAGGTCTTCCTTTGGAGTTCCTTCTGTAGAGCATCTGATGGATGAGAGGCCGGGGAGAAAGAGAGGACAAGAAGTAGGCCAGTTATTTGGAAGGAGAGGCGACTCTGATGTGCATCGAATAGCGGACCTTGGGTTCCCGGAGGAGGATGTCCTCGAAGTCGCTAGACAGGCTGCAGATGAGGTAGAGCAGATGGAAAAGTATGGAAAACCCGTATCTAGCTCACTGTTGGACAGAGATGCGCATGAAACTAGGCCAGTGGGGATTTCTCCTGGTACTGAGACTAGAGAGTCGAGTGTTGGGGATGCGCCTGGTAGGGATAGGATATCCTCTGTGGTGCTTGACAATGTGAAAAATACTAAAACTATTCCTCAGGATCAGCGTTATTCAGACAGAAACGTGCGAATGCATTTCGATGATACTAGAGAAGATACGGAGCAGAGAAAGGGTGAGGTTGCGGAGGCTGCTGTAGGATCTGGTTTAGTTGAGGGTCACGAGCTGGATGCACCAAACGCTGGGCAGAGGAGTGTTACTGCTCCCAGCTCTTCACCGAAAGCACAAGAATCACACATGGCGCTGGAAAACAGCCAACAAGACTCAAGGGGAGTTAACCCAAATACACCGCAGCAAGCCGGAGAAAGCTGTGGTCCCAGCGAAACTGGCGTGGGAGGGAGTGAGGTGGCCGAACGCCCGGTTTTTGATTTGAACGAGGGTTTTACGGGAGAAGACAGTCCTCAAAACGATGCTACCACCTTGACCGTTTCAATGCCTCCTATTTTGGTTCATCCCATAGCTTCTGGAGCCTCAGCAAGTGGAGTTGCTGCACCTATTGCTGTTCTTGCTGCCACCAAAGGAGCATTTATTCCTCCAGCGAGCCCTTTGAGGAATAAAGGGGACCATTGCTGGAAAGGTTCAGCTGCTACCAGTGCATTCCGTCCAGCAGAGCCTCGTCGTACACCAGAGAGGCTTAATTCCAACGGAGAAAGCATAGCCTCGGATGCGAATCTCGCCATGACGACTATTATGCAAAAACGGGCCAGACCTCTTTTAGAATTTGATTTGAATGTGGCGGACGAAAGGGTGACACACGAGGCAGGGATTTCTGCCACCACTTTGTCCTCTCAGGGTTCAGTGTTGGGTATGTCTTTGCATAGCAATTCTGTACCATCAAGCTTGGTGTCTGGTTTGACTTGTGTAAAGCCAGAGAGTTCACGTGTGGCATCTCTGAAACCAGAGAGTTCTAGTTCAGCGTACCCTCTTTCCAATGGTGGTAGTGGACCTTTACGAAGCAGCCAAGGGCAAGCCCCTCCAGCGAATGGGCAAGGGAGCATGCGTCCTACCTTGGACTTGGATTTGAATCGGATGGATGACAGCGAAGAAAATTGCGTGCCTTTGTTTGTGGACCCGCGAGGAACTATGGAAGGACTAGGATCATCAGCGCGCAGCAACAATAGCACAACGCAACCGCAATCCCAACCTCCACCGCAACCTGCGAGAAGGCCTATGGATTTCGATCTAAATGACGGGCCATCCTTGGAGGAGAGTGGGGGTGAGGAGACTGCTGTGCACCCTTTTATGTCGAGAAAACCTCCAGCTGGTAACGTAGGGCCCTCGGCAATGACACTAACGGGTCTGAGGATGGGTGGGGACACAATGAGCCTATCACCATGGACGTTCTCAGCGGGCCCTGGCAACGGTAATCCTGGGGGTGCTCTTCCCCCTTTTCTTTCTAGCAGGCCTTTGGACTCGGGGTATTCAGTTGCTAATGCGGTTGTCCCCCATCCATTTTTGAATACCAACACTGGCGCTGGCCCTCCGTCAGCCCCAGCTCCTGGAGGAGGTGGTGCCAGTGGGGAAATGTTCGGGGCTGGTGGTTTAGGGTCTGCAACCCCTGCCGTGGTGTACCCTGGATCGGAGCGGATGCCTTTTGGAGTGTCTTATGGGCCCTATTCAATGTTCGGAAACTCTCCAAGTTTTCATCCATCGTCGACTGCTTTTCCAGCGACGTCCATGCCATTTGGTGAAATGCCTAATTTGCTTCCTATTCCATCGATGGGTTCACAGCCCTTGGTCAATCCTGGGACAATGACCTCGTCGTATCTGATGGGCATGGCAGAGATGGGTCCCATGACAAACGTGGGGACGGATCATGGTTGGAGCAGACTAAGCTTGGACTTGAACTCAGGTCCAGAGGCTGGTGAGAGTGAGAGCACAAGAGAGGAAGGCATGCACGGAAGATTGCCGCCGCTGCATCCAGGGGCGCCAGCGTTCACAGATTTGAGCGCCACTCTTGCTCAAGTAGCAAACAACCCCGGGCTCCCTCCAGCTGTGAAGCGGAAGGAACCGGAGGGGGGATGGAACCTCCACTCAGGGGTAGGAATATATAAGCAATCAACGTGGCGGTGATTGTTATATATACATGAGTATTTGTTATTTGTGTACAGTCAACCTGGGACAGCTCTGACACCCAGTGGAGTCCGCCAGGCAATTTTTTTTGTGAACGACTCCAACTTAGCCTAATGGTGAGCAGTTCGTGACCTTCTCTTTCACCGAAGGACACCTCTTTCTAGTTCTTTTCAACCTGGCAAGATGGCAAGCTATTGGGCGAATTAAGTACGAGCTTGGACTTCGATCAAATCGACAGTTTGATGACATTTGGCATGAGAACTGACAGTTCTTGATTTTAGGACATAAAAATTGGGTCAGAAAGAGACGTGAGCACATGGCCTTTATTAACCAAGCATGTCTTGGGGATGGCGTCTTCGTCGCTCTTCACTCTCGGGGACGTTGTGTGGCCCTTCTGCTCTGACAGAACAATTTGTTAATATCCGTCGGTTAGAGCCCCCAGGGCAGTTTTTTTTATTATCTGTATCTGTAGTTGCCTAGATCTGGTCCTAGAGTATCACTAGTTTCCTAAGTATGTGTAGTATCCTAAGTCCAGGACCATATTATCATGGTTGCATTCTCCTGATAGTCATGCTTTGATGATATCCAGTCATGGTTTGTGTATCTGTGAAAGAGTATGGTCACCATCTGACAATTTTTGGTTTGTTATCCTGCGTCCTCGCAATCTCAATTTCTCCTTGCAACCTTATGCCCGCATGCCCGTTCTAATCACCTGTTTTGATGACCACTTCTGTGGTGAATACTCCACTTCGGACACCTACGAATGGGCTCCACGCCCATTCTTACTACCTCAGTGATTGTGATCTATGGGGCTTTACTTACATTTCTTACTTTCTTACATGAAGACATTCAAGAGGTCTTGAGAATATCCTCCATCATTATTGCTTCAATTCTCACAACATATTGTCAGAGCTACACATTACATTATTTTGACTTGCTTGTAGACATTTAGTTAATAATATGTTTTTTTTTCGTATATTTTTTTCATTCTTTGTTATAAGAAAGGGTGGTGGTTGAGTGTGAATGAATATTTCATGAAAAAACAAATTGTGAGTTGTTTTTTTAAAAAACAAAATGTTCATTTAGTTTAAAGTTTTGTTATTGTTGCATGTTTTTGTTTTGTTTCGTTTTAAAATTTTAGCTGGCTGCCAAAATCACAATCTATATATATATATATATAATTTATTCTTATTTTGGATCAATATTGGAATTGAATATTGGATTGCCAAAAGTGCCTTAAGAGTAGAAGTGCATTTTTTGTATATTCAACGGTTGAGGTAAGTCTTGCAAGAGTGCAAGCTCCTATGACCTACAACTGGAGAGGTGGGCTTTCAGAACTATTTGTTGAAGGAAACTGGTGGAAAAGTTGAGGGCAAAAGGCACAAGAACGTAAGAAGGGGGTAGCATCCCATCTCATTATCAATATTATTATGAAAATCCTAAAATTTCAAGGATAAAAGAAAGACCGGGCAGAGAAGAGAGTCCTCACATTGCCTGGGATTAAGGGTGCAGATTGTGCTAAGGCACCTGAGGAAAAAAATGAATTAGTTCCACTCCTCATAGTATGATGATGCCTTAAAAAAAAACCACAATGTCAATGAAGACTTTCACCTCCTCGAAATAGGGGAGGATGTAAGGGTCTCAAGAGTCAGACCCTTACATTGGCAAAAGTCGTCTATGAGATAAGAGCTTCTCAATGCCCAAGGGGACACTTAAGGCGTGGTGGCAAAAAGAGAGGATGGGAGGGCCATCTTCCTCGACTCGAGGTAACCTTCACGTGGAGGTATGAAGGTAGTCAAGGGATCCATTAAATACTCTTAGGTTTTGGGTGCCAAAGAGGCAACCAAGACCCGTCTCTAGACCACTCTAGTAAAGAGTGACTAGCTAAGCATAGGAAGTGATTGAAGCGAAGAGTGAATCTCCTCAGCACACCCTAGCAAGTAGCATTAGATGATGACCTTGCCCTAAGAAGAGACAGCCCAAGGGTGGCAGCATGTCTCTTCAAGGAAAGGCACAACACAAGGCGACGAAAGTCGTGACATCTAGTAAGGGCAACTCGATGCAAAGAGCATTGTGGCGGCCTTGGATGGTGACCCAATGGGGATTGGTGTCGTGCACCCCCAAGGGAGTTTTGTGCTTTGGGGCCATAGCTCATTCTTCTGAGCTTGGAATCAGATGGACCCAATGGATTGCGTGAAGAGAGTTAGTCGTTTTTGCAATGTTGTTCATGTAAGGAGTCTAACGTTGCCTTGGTGGGGTTTTTAGATGAGTGAAGGTGCCCTACAGCGAGGTACCGTTACATGTGATATCAGAGTAAGTAAATCTCGCCTACTCTGATAGATGAAATTGTATAGAAGTCATGTGGGGTGTAGTGATACCAATTAGGGATGTAACATTAACAATTTTCTATTTTTTTTACTAATTAGTATGATTTAGCAAAAACATGGATGTTTACAATTGTGATTATACATTAATTTAAATGTAGTATGGTGAATTTAATACTAAAAAATATATATATATAAATTGTGGTAAATATTATGTTTTTAAGTGTCAAAAAAACTATATAAAATTATTCTATATATATATATATATATATATATATTATGTAATAATCCAATTAGAGCAAGATTGTGTCAATATAAGTGATACATACAAATAATTAAAAAGAAAAGAAAAAAATATATATTGTTACTTTATCTTTAGGTAGGAAAATTATTATATTCTTACAATGAATTTTTTCATGTGAATATTAAAATTTTCTAGATAAATAATATGAAAGTCTTTTTAAATTTTAAAAATCCTACTGCCATCTGATGATCTTTAACAGTTTTTTTTTTTTTTTTTTTTTTTTTTTGTAAATTTAAAACACTTAAAATATAATATTCAAGTATTTTTTGCTAAATGTTTCTGTTTCTGACAATTTGATTTCAAAATGAATTATGTAATGAAATAAATAAAATATTTACAATCAAGGAAATTTCACATTTTAAGTATGATTTTACAAAGAAAATTTGAAAATTTGAGAATTAAAATAATAAGAAAAAAAATTCGTATTTTCTCTGTTTGTTTATTTATTTGTTTGTTTGTTTGTTTGTTTGTTATTTTTTCTTTTTATGAAATCTTGATTTTTTTCACTTCAATACCATTTAATATATTTGTATTCTCAAATATTATGCTTGAAATACAACTCCAAGACAATTTATTGATTGAAGCCTTAGGATTGAGGTAACCCACTACACAAACAATCAAAATAAATGTTACAACATAATCAAACACATATAATATTACCAACCTATTTACTTTTTATTAATTTAAATTTTACATTGAAATTTAACAATTTAATTTACTGAAATTTTAGCCATTGATTTTATATATAAAACTCTTCTGAGCTTTTATAAAATTGCTGATTTAACATTTTGAATAAATTCAAGGTTTATATTTTTAAAGTTAATCCTTTTGTTGATTCAAATATATGTTATTTGTATGAATTTTATTATTAAGTTTATGATATCATTTTATCATTGTATTATTATTCGTTTTCATGGCACAATGCTTATGAATTAGGTCTTTAAAATATTAGTTGATCAGTAATTTAATCCTCCCACTTCCTACACAACAACATATAGCTTTCCAGAAAAAAAATCATACTTCCACAACCACTTAAATTCTTGAATATTTTACATTCTAATACTCTTAAGATTTATCACACAAATTTGCTACAATATTAGTTTTTTTGTAAAGTGATACCCAAAAGCCATAATCAAATCCATTCAAACATATAACTATGTTTTGTAGTAACTGTAATAAATTCATTTAATCCTGCTCTTATATCATTCTAGAAACAAAACCATTTTACTCAAAATCTGATGAATAGCACAGTAAAGAGGAGTATTGTGAATGAAGAAATTCAAAACTTACGATTGATTACTGGCATAGAATTGAGCTTTTTTCTGCAATTCATCTTTATTTGCTCCAACAATTTTGTCTATTTCTTTACCGTCTTTGATAAATAAAAATGTTGGCATTGCACGAATCTCCCAATCATTTGTTACTTCCTTTACAGAAAGACAAAATTCATTGTTGTTTGAATGGGTTTAAAAACTTAAAATATTGGCTTCAGAAAAAAAACATATATATATATATATATATATATATATATGTGACTTATTTTAATTTTTGAAATATCTCAAAATTAAATAAATATCACATTGAGAAGCATTTACACTAATTTAGCCTATGTATACTTTTATTGACTTTAAAATCATGTTCGTGATATTTTTACATGATGAATGAAAATTTTAGACCTATATTTATAGTATACAAAAAACAGAATAAATTTCATTATGGTTGAATATATACCAATACTTCATCAACGTCAACTTTGAGAAAGATGAAATTGTTTTCATACTTTTTGCTGAGCTCTACAAAAATTGGACCCATGAGACGGCATGGTCCACACCAACTTGCGTTGAAATCAACAACTACCTATAATTTTCAATAATAATAAAACATAAAATTTATTGATAGACATGATATTATAAGTAACATATTTATTTTTTAGTATAGATATATATATATATATATATATATATATTTAAGATCATGTTTTGTTTCCTTTTTGTTATTTACAATTTTTTGACGACTTTGTGCATCATCAAGTTTTGCTTGCCAATGGCTCTTATTTGTTATTATTGTACAACTTCCGTGGTCCTCAGCCATTTTAGGATCTACACAATGTATAGTTTCAATGTAAAAATGCCAATGTACACTTAAGTTGTCAATGTTATTTTATGTTATTTTATTCACTTTTTTAAACGTGAAAATAATTTTTTAAATATCAAACCAATTACAAAGTGATTCAGAAAATAACTTCAACTTCCGAATTTTTCCTTGATGTAAACTTTTTAATAACATGTCTAAGGTCTAGATTTTAATAACATGTTTTTAAGAAAATTTATTTCAAATAAAATATTCTTGTAAAAAAAAAAGAAAAAAAAGAAAAAAAAAGGTTAAACGAGTTCATCAAAATGACATAAATAATCTATAATATCAAACCTTTAATATTATTCAGAAACCATGTGGAAAAGTCTTGCAACATTATCACTCTCAATGTATTCTACCACGTTTTAAGACCCTGTAATGGTTGCAACTTACACTGAACCAATACTATGATTTAGAAATGAATTTCTTTCAGTAAATTAAAAATAAAAACCAAAGTAATCTAAACTCATATTTCTTTCCTCCATAAATTCTGTAAATTAACCCATATGCTTGTTCAATTTCAAGAATCGTTCTTCTATTATTGATTATAAGTATGTTTCAAATAACACAATTTTATGAGTAAATTACTTCAATAATGCAAATTTATCATAGAATAACTTTCATCAACTCAAATTAGTCATAGATTTCAATTCAAGAATTTCATACCAAGACTTGGAGGATAAATTATACAAATGACATTTTATTGGTTTTCAACTTACCCAACTAAATTTATATTTTCAAGAGTATATTTTTTAATATCATTGGTTTATTATGATATCTATTAATTCCTATATTTTTCCTAACACATTTACCATCTTTAACCCAGCAAAGTTTTTTTTTGGAACTTTCAAATACATTTAATACACAAGAATTTCGAATTTTACTTAACATACTTAAATTTGAGTATTGGTTGTTATAATTAAAAATAAAAATTTAAGATCCTTTGTTATTTTAATATTTTTCTTACCATCAACTAGTGCAACTGATGTTGATGATTCAGTGAGTGGAGTGGAGGTTTTAGCATCATCTACAACTATAGAAGGCATAGCCGTAGAGGCATCGGATTCGACAATTGGGTTGGCCGTAATGAAAAACTTACAATTGAAAAATATAATTATGATTAGTGCGATTTAATCACCAACAAAACAACATGAGATTTCTATACAACCTAATTTTTTGTCCAATTTTTGTGAATTGTTATTGAATAATCACAAAAATGAAAACTCAGAATCAAACCGAGGATACTTTTATTTGATTTTTTTATAATATTGATATATATATATATATATATATATATATATATACCTTTTGTTATCTCATTCTTATGTTCAAAATTAGATATGTATATATTCATATATATGTATATATATATATATATATATATATGATTTATGTCCTTTCTTTGAGACATAGTTTGCATTTTGAGCACTTTTGTAAGATAAAAATTATGTGAAGATCTCATTTGGCTATATTATGTATAAATCCATGCTCATATGTGTTGTTGCTTTTGTTGTTATTGTTGTTGTTGTTTTGATTTGATTATTGTATCACCATTTTAAATTCTACTATGTATGTAAACATGTGTACATATATACACAATAAAATTGTGGTCATTTTTATAGTCATGATAGGATAATTTAATAATATATAAAGCGAACATATCATAAAATGTATTTAAATATTCCGAACTAATACATGCACTTACTTTTTTGGCTACATTGTTTCATTACTTTTTGTACAATCTATTTTATGACACATAATTATTTATTATAAAGTGTTATAATGGTACAATATTTTAGTTTTAAATTAGAATAATACAATATTTTCTATTTATGTACATATACAAAAAATTGAAATCAATACCTTATTTAAAATCACTATGTTTAAAAACTAAAATTTTATCAAAAAAATTTAAAAATAAGAAAATAATAATAAAAATAATAATTTATCTTTAACTTATTATGTCATAATAAAAATCTCAACTATGAAAAAATATTTGGAGGTTTAAAATTTTGAAACTTCTAATAAAAAAGTATTATTAAAATTCTGTCATTTTGTTGAATTGTGTTGATGTAATCACTTGTTGCAGATCATAAAACTATAATAATATATACACTAGCATTGGGACCGTTTGATTTACTTAGAAAGTAACATATTATAGTTGTATATAGAGTTTTAATTAAAAGCCATATAATCTAGATGAACATACAGATGGATGTATGGACATTCAGATTGATGAACACTTGCAAATATCTCTTACTATTATTAAGATGATACTTTAATTTACTTTGACAACCCTTGGTTTATTTCAATAGTAACATAATAATTAGTGGTAGAAGTAGAGCATTATTTAATACATAGCGATTTATATATTCATTATATATAAGCAAAATAATAAATATATATATATATATATATATATATATATATTTATGTATACATATTAAAATTTTCGTAACAATTTGTTTTTTTAGTATTAAAAAAATAGGAGAATGAAGATAAAATTTATTAAGAAATATATTTATTCTTAATTTTCAATGATAATTTTATTGATTCATTTAATTTTCATAAAGTACTAATTTGTTAAGCTAGCAAAGTCTACAAAGTATCAATTTGAAATCAATTGTTGTTGACTGTAAGGTTTTCTTAGTTTTGGCTTAGAATAGATTGCTAACCTTAATTGTTTAAGTCCTCCCTTTGTGTTGATGAAGCAACAACCTTAGCGCTTTTTATATCCTTTGACAATAGACTTAATGATTGGCTAGTTTTAGAAATGAAAATAAATAAGTAATAAAAACTTAGGATTCTTTACAAGTGGGCATGATAAATAGCCTTAAAGCTAAATAAGCTAAGTCATGTTATTACTTTTAATTATGGATTTCACATAGTTATTTTTACTGTCAACTCAATTCCTTTTTTTATTAAAAGGAATAAAGATGAAATCTTGAATCAGTACACGTGCATGTTTCAAATCAAATGAATCCTATACTTATACTAATAATTGCAATTTTTTCTTTCTCGAATAAATAACTACTATAAATTAGTTTATTATATTTTGATTCTTATAAATTCAACAATTGTCACATGAGCCAATTCTTATGACAATAGACTTTATGTAAAGAATCCTACGTTTTCACTATTTCTTTATCTTCATTTCTACACTAACCAATCATAAAGTTTGATGTCAACTTAAACAATGAACACAATTTTTTATCAAAAATTAATGTGTTTTAATGTTCTATTTTGTTACGTAAAAAGAGTAGCAAATGACATTCTGAAATCATTTAGAGGAAATCACTATTAACGATATACTCTAAAAAACACAAATGCGCATACAACATTAATAATTATTATAAAATTGAAAAAATTGTATTAAGATAAAATAGTCATGAAAGCAACTGTTCTTTCCAACACCCAATGCCCCCACATGACATTGCCAAATCTTCATGTTCATGTATGTCAGGTTTAAATTATATGATCATATTACTTCTTTAGAGAGTGTATTTCAGTACAGAACAAGAACCAAAACTCTAGCAGCAAAGGTAGCCCTCGGAACTGTCAGAGACATTTGATATCTAAATTTCATTGTCATAGAAGCCCCTTCGGAGCTATTCGCATTCAAAACTCTAGCCAGAGAGTAGACCAGCTACAGTAGTAGAAGAAAAATAATAGTAATAATAGTAGCAATAAAAAATAACGAAGAAGAAGAACTGAAGGAAAAACAGAATGTAACCAGTCAAGAGTCCAAGTTGGGAGTTGAATTTGCCTGCAGGGACTATCTTTTGATGTTCCCCAGATGTTTTAGGGTGATAGTTACCCTAAAACTGGTGGATTGATTTTTAGGTATCAAGTGTCTCTGACTAGATACTCGGAGAAATGTTTGTCGATGATATGTTCAATGACATCTGCTCCTTCGCCATGTGCTGAAGCAGTTTTCACCTGCAGAAAGAGAGGAGAAACAAAAATTCAACAAGAGTACCGATGTTGGGATGTGAAATAAGATTGTAGACCGACCTGGATCAATAGACGAGGGACTCACTGTTTATCCTTAGAGAAGGTACATGATTCCGAAGTTATATTACTTTGCTCATATTAAGTTGCGGAGGAGAGTGAGGCAATTGAGGAGGGCTTGCTTTGACGGCTGGATAGTGTATAGTGGGTGACTCCAAGATGGAAGCCAGAGAGACTACCACAGAACCTTTTTCCTTTGTCCAAGTGATTCATTTTGGATTCGAAAAGATGCTTTATGAAGTTAGGAATTATGGGGAGGCTTTCAGGTCTTTCATCAGAAATATGGAGTGAGATCAATACCTGGATTAGGTTGTGAGCCTGATAAGTAGCCTTAGCTTTCGAGAAACTGACATCAACTCTCCACCATGGGACTTGTTGAAGGCCAGCTACCATTTCCTCTGCACCAACAAACAGCAAAATGATCCCCTCTTCTCCGATCATGGGAAATTTCTCGGCTTAAGTTTCCCCCAAAGGCTTAAAACGTCATCACGGGCTTCAGTAGGACACATCAATAGGTGAGCTTCGTGCTTTGCAAAATCTGCTAATTGAGTGGTCGGATATAACAGTGACGAGCTTTGAGAATCCTAGCACGAGTAGCCTCTACGTTTCAAAGAGCTCACCTTCGGCAGCGTCACAAGCAGATATTTCTTCGGGTTTGCTGTTCTGGTTTTCAGAAGAGCCCTTCGCTACAACCGGCACATCTTCCTCCCGAACAACATGTGAGTATTTCGAATCAAGCCCCTCGTGTAAAGGCTGTCAAGACATTAATCACATCAATATGAAAAGAAAAGAGGGAGGAGGGTTTCAAAGAAAAGGCGAATAGGAGCAGCAAGGCGTGATTGGAACGAACACCTTCACGAGGCAGTGGAGAAGTAGTTCATCCCTCCTATAGTAAACACCACCATCTAAGATTCACATCAGATGTCATGCAACTGGACCGGGAAAGTGAAAAAGAAAGCAGCAGAAAACAGCAAAAACAAACAAATAAATAAATGTTTCCGCTAAAATTAAGTGAGGCTTTTAAACGATTGTGACGTACATCCGGCATTTCTGCTGCTTTGCGAATTGATGCTGTGCGCCAACCGACCATACCTTTGAGATAGTTAAGGCATAATTCATTTCAAAAGAGTAATTTCTGACCAAAAAAGAAAAAAAACGAAGTTTGCAACACATAATTGCAAATACTAAAACATTGTTGGTCCTAACTAGTTTTTATTGGTCAAAGCTTGATATAGAAGATACTCAATAATGGACCTTACCATTGAATAGAACGAACTCACTCCGAGACACTCGCTCAAAATATAATTCTTTGGAAGAATTACTCAGTTCTTTGAGTAATATCTTTAAAATGGATACGATCTCCGCAGACGTTTGCATACGCTGACCTTTTCTTAAAAGATTTCAATGCTGATCTGTAGAAGTATAGATCGAAACTAGACTTCAATTCACGAATCCTAAAATCAGCATTTTCGAGTATATTTCAAAATTTCAAAAAAACAGAGTTGAGAAATAAAGCGTTCAAATTAAGATGTACTCACAGAAACTTCCCCTCATCACAATCTGTAACCATACGCTGCAGAAGAGGCTTCTTATCTTTGTCGCCGTCAGACAGAAATAAGTGCTTCCCAGTATTTCCTATGAACCAATGTGAAACAAGGGGAGCTATGGTCTCAAGCGCAGCAAATCCAAACAGAAAAGGCAACTGCTCAGCAACACAGCAGGTCGATCAAATTCTCTATCTTCAAAATAGTTGTATAATGGCCGCCAGGATTACATCTCATTGATTTACAAGCCAAAAGTATGTCAATAGAAGCAAAAGTTAAGAAAGAAGAAAGGCAAGAGAGAAAGAAAGAGAGAGAAGAAGAAAAAGAAGAAGAAGAGAAAAAGGCTTACATATTGGTTTCCTCTACACCCCAAATGAGGCGTTGCCAGTGTGATAAAGTTAATTGGTTCTAGCCCTGCAATGGTAGCATGCGATTGAGTGATACCCTTGATCCTTCCTTTTTCACTGTTGGTGGTAGAGCTTTCTGATTTCTCTTGCCGAACGCTACGACCACCTGCAGGAGCGCCACACGAATACTACTTTTCTCTGAATCATACTCTGCATCTTTTATCATCAACAAAACCTCTAGTAACCAGTTGTGTCTAAGAAATACTAAGTCTATCATCCTGATTAGCAAGAGTAGAATTAGCAAATGAAACGGAGATATTCAAAAGCTTTCTCACCTGGAGGATCATACAATTTGCCAATGGCATATCGTAAAGTCAAGCCTCCGAGCGAGTGGCCCACAAACGACACCTTAGATACACCAGGATTATTTTTAACTACTTCACTGACCTGCAATTTAAGGTGCAATGAATCAATGGGACGACTCAGCAGCTCTTTCAAAATCTTCAAATATAAGCAACAGTCCAGTTCATAGACTCTGCAACCTATTGCCAAAACCTGGTATCCTAAATCTTCTTAAGATAGAGCTTACACGAGAAAGTAGGCATGGAGTGCAGGTATCCTACCTCGTCTGCCAAACGTTCCCCCATGACATCAACGCCATTGAAGGTTTTAAAGGCGGAATTGGACGAACTGCCTGTGGTTATTTCCCAATATTTTAAAAAACGAGACAAAGATTGGACCTGATTAAGGGCACTTCATTTTGCAGAGGAATGTCCAGAAAAAAAAAAAAAAAAAAAAAAAAAAAAAACTTGAAGAAAGTAGAACCGGGTAAAGATACGAACAGTGAACAACTACTTCGTCCGTAAGCTTCTTATTGAACTGCTCCGCAGCGAACTTCCAATTGTCTGCACTGCATCGATCAACCCAAACGAACCCATTGATCGATCAGCGGACTCTTGGAGATCACGAGCAATGAGTGCTCATCCCAAACTAAATTCCAATCCGTAGCCGGAAGGCTCACAACGCGGGGTGCAGTTTAGGGCAGTAATTTACATGAGGAGAGGAGACGGACCGTTGGAAGGCATTTTCTAACGCACCATTTATAATATTCGCCCATTAGAATACATGTAAGTTTGAACAAGAATTTACAGGAGAGAAAAAAGAATTTATAAAGAAGTAAGAAATTTTTTTAAAAAACCTCAAGGCTCAACCTAACCCATGAATTCCAGCAACCCACAAGCTCACTTGGCGACTACGAAAAACGACCGAGAGTTGCACCCACAATTTGCAAGCTCAGAAATCAACAGACTGCGAAAGGAGGGTAGCGAAGATGAACACGGCAGTAGCTAGGTATTGTCCAATACCACAAGAGTCAACAGGGAGAACCCTCAATCAAACATGGAAACCACGCTTCTCCGGGACTAAATGTATTGTGCCATCATCGTCATCATCATCATCTACCTTCCAGCGATTCCATTCACGAGAATAACCAGATGCACAGGCTTAACACCGCTTCTCCCTCCACGCAAGACCGAGCTGAGTTTCGTTTCGCCCTCTGCGGCCTCCTCAACGTCGCCTCGGTGGCTAGACTTACGAGAGAAGCGAGAGGAGACGGAGATGGGCACCATGGAGAAGCATCCCGGCTGCGAGTGCGTTGCCATTTCCTCTCCGTCTCCTCACTCCCTCCGTCTCCTCTCCTCTCCTCTTCCTTCCTTCCTTCTCCTGCAATTCGGAGAGGGCAAGGGCATGGCTCCACATAACGCTCGCATAATAATACAAGTGAGACAGAGAGAGAGTGGGAGGGAGTGAGAGTCAGAGTCTGGGGAGTGGCGCCATAGCACCATCGTTGCCATGGATGCCACGTCTGTTAAGCTGGATGCGACCCGGTGCTGCCACGTAGGCATTCCTCCTTTGCTTCGTGTGTGTATAAGTGTGTGTCTATCCATGAAATTGTGGTAGTCCGTGTCGTTGAGCACGTAAAATTTTGCTTGCTTAGTCAAAAAACTTAAATTTAAAAAAAAAATAAAACAAAAAACAACAACAACAACAACAACAACACTTGCTTTATCTACTTAAAGAAAGGAAAAAAAAGGCAAAACATACATGTATCTATTATATGCTTTTGTAGTTTTGTTGCTATTAGTTTTTTTTCTGTTTGTTTTTTTTCATTTTATTTCATAACAAAAATAAATCTAATTACTTTAGAGAAATTTAGGATTTTTTCTTTTTCTTTTTCTATACTTTTTTAGCTTTGTTGTTTGTAGGAAAAAAACATGAATGTATTTGAAAAAGTGCATTGTGAAGGACAACATATAAGTGTCCATGTGCAAATACAAGGGTTTTGAAATTTTTTATTACATTCTTCAATAGTTGTTTTTAGGATTTATTGATTGTTATTGTAAATGTCATATTTATAAGAAATAATTTTGTAAGAACTTAAACTAAATCTTTGTTGATAATGAATATAGTGTAATCTGTAAAAAGAAAAAATCAAATATTTTACATAGTATCTTTGTAAAAGTCTTACTTCTACAACCTATTATATTTCACAGATAGACATATTGACACTAGTAATTATTAAGATAAAAAAAACTAGATAGAAGTAAGTAATAATAGATACATTTGATAATATCTTGTGAAGAAGCTTCTTAAAAGCTTTATAGACATAGATTTGACTTTAGAAGAGTTTGTAGGTAATTGATAGGTTAAAAATTATGCCAACAAGTTGGCCATATGTTGCATATGTTGACCACTTATTTTACAAATTAGCTACATATGGTACATGTTGGTCACTTGTGGCATGAATTGGCCATGTAGTGTACATGTTCAAAACTTATCTTACAAATTAGATACATGTCTTACAAGATGGATACATATTAAATAACCTATAGAACGTTGTCACATAGTTCTTTAGTTTGATAATATATACAAAGGTAAGAGTGAGGCCTTTTTCACTCTCGTCAATGCCTTTCTTATCCTTAGCCTTGTTTCAAGAGTCTCTAATTTTCTTATATTTGGTAATAGTCACTCTAATTTTAATATTATAATTATCTTTCAATAGATGTTTATTCTTTCCTAGTGATATAAAAGTATGTTCATTCTTTGGTTCTTTTGTAATTCATCTCTTCGATAAATTAACAAGAATATACTTACAATATTATAACTTTGTCTTTTCTTAATTAAAATTAGATTAATTCTTTTCTTTTATAATACATAATCATATTAAAAATTACAATTATCCACTTTTAAACTAATCTTTTTTTTAGAATTTTCTTTTTTTTTTAAGTCCTCTCTTCTACTTGTCCTTAGTAGTATTAGATATTTTATTTATTCATTTTTATATTATTATAGGAGAGCTTGTTGAAATGAAGTGTACAATAGCACAAATGTTGGAACAAATAAGGGAGTTAATACTTGCAATGCATTAATTCAATTCACCACCACAACAAACAACAAGATTAGTTTAAATTGAAGATATAGAAATGATTGGAGTTTCTTCAATATCTACAAAAAATTATATTATTTCTCCTTTAGTAGAACATTTTTTAAGTGTCACCACAAGTATTAGAAAACCAAGAGTTTCTTTATTTGAGAAGTTTGATGGTACAAGATTAAAATTTCAAAAATTTATGAATTAAGTACAACTTGTCATTGAGCTTTAACTTCAAAACTATCCAACTTCCAAATCATAAGTTATATTTATTAGAACATTGCTTTAAAGTTCAACTTTACCATAGTTTTCATCTTTTTTAGAATGATATGATCCAAGCTATTAAATGACATGATCAATAGCTTGGAGGTTTTTTGATAAAATTAAAATCCATATATAAAATACTTAAACTTTAAATATTGAGCCAAGCAATTGATTTTATTATAAAATATGACAATTAATTTTTTGAATTTTGATCTTAAAATTATACAAATGTTCCTCAATGTCTTTACAATTCGATATAAATAATAATGCCTTTTTAGCACATATTTTTTAAAGTGGTAGATATTTAAATTAATGCAATTTGTTTTAACTTTCTTCTTGAGCAAGAAAAGACTCAATGTTGTCAAGAATGACTATAATTACATTGTAGAAAACTTAAATATATTTTTCAATATTGTCTAAAGAAGCAATTCAACGACAAAATAATGAACGTGATTTTAAAAAAAATTAATATGTCAAAGAAATGAGTTTGTCCAACTATAATAGGAATTGTGCTACTATAATCTTCAACAACATCTAGTAAAGGTCTTTTTTTCTCCTTAAAATCTTCACCTTCATTAACAATTGATATTTTTTTAGAACCTAAAAATTACAAAGTCTCTATCTTATTAGATTTAAGAGGTACAATTTATTTTTTAAATAAAAAATTTATTAAAAGATATATATACTTTTAATAAATAATAAGCTTTAATAAAACTAAGCTTATGCATATAGAAGTCATAAATGATTATCTTCTAGAGATGTTATTTATAAAATTATTCTTTTAAATATAGCCACAAATGATTATAAGAACTTAATCATATTTAATATTATTGTATCTTCTTTTAATCTAATCATTTTAAGCATATTATAGCTGAAAGAATATAATCTTTGAATTTTTATAGCAGCACAATTCCCATTATAGTTGAATCTTTGAATTGTACTGCTATAATAGCATATTATAGTAAAAAGAATAGAATCTTTGAATAGATTAGATTTTTCATAATTTCAATTTTTTTATAATATAACTAAGACTTTTGCTAATCAAATAAAAAGTCATAACTCTAATACAACCAAATTCATATTTATAGAAGCAAAGTTTTTATATATGCTACAAATAATGGATCATCTTTTGTTATTTATGCCAAACTTATTTCTAGTGGTGCAAAGAATCCAAATAACATACTAAGTCACTATGAAAATTATTAAGATCTTTTTGATGAAAAAAATATAGATATTATTCTAGAATATTGTTTTTATTATTATTTGATTGATTTACAAGAATGAGCTTAACTGCCATTTAGATCAATCTACAACTTATCACAATTAAGGAATATATTAATAAGAACTTGACCAAGAACTTTATATGCTATTCAAAAGTTCTAGCAAGAATTTATATGTTGTTTGTGAAAAAAAAGATGAATTACTTTGGATGTGTAAAGATTATCAACAATTCAACAAGTTTATCATAAAAAATATGTATTATCTATCTTTTATATAAGGACTTTTTGATCAATTAAATTAAATAATTATTTATATAAAAATAAAAAAATTAATAACATACAATAAGGTATATATTAAAAAAGAGATGAATTGAAGATTGTATTTTAAACTAAATATGGATATTTTGAATATAATTTGATGCCTTTTAGATATATAAATAAGCCAATCTTTCTTTAATATCTAATACATGATGTTTTTTAAGAATTTTTAGTTGGTTTTATTATTTATTAGTTAGAAAATATTTTAATATTTTCTAAAAATATATAAAAATATGAACTTTATGTTTTTTGTGTGTTAAAAAAAACTTAAAGATACATGATTATATACTAAGTTGGAAAAGTGTGTATTTTACATAATTTAAGGTACTTTCTTAGAATATATAATTTTAAATAATGGCCTTGTGATGGATTTTTAGAAATTTTATACTATCATAGATTAGAAGATTCTATAAAAATAATAAGAGATGTTCAATAATTTTTTGAAATTTATTGATTAATATCAAATTTTTATCAAATTGTTTTCTCAAAGCATAGCTCTAATTACACATTTAACTTATGAAGACAAATTTAAGTGGAATATAGAAGTTGAAGCATCATATGAAGCTTTAAAGATGATTTTTATTGCAATATTAATCTTATATTGAATTGAAATTTTTTAAAAATATTTTATAAAAATATATGCATCAAATTTTATTTGAATTTAGTATTATTACAAATAAATAAAAATGAAAAAATTTATCTTGTAGTTTTTTATTCAAAAAAAAATAGTAGTCGAGATAAATTATAAGATTAATAGGAAAAATTTGTTGTAATTCTAGATTAATTTAAAGAAAATTTCTATCATTTAGAAGGCACTTCTAATTTAACAACTATTTTTATGGTTCATAAGCACCTAAAGTATTTTAAATCAATATAAGTTTTGAATGGTTTTCAAACTTGTTGGCACATGTCTTTGTCAAGATTTATATTTAATATCACTTGTTGATAAAAGAAAAATAATAAGGTTTCTTAGATGCCCTTTCCAAATGTTTTTATATTATACCAAAATAAAAAGATACAACTTTTAATCAAAAACAAACATTTTTTTGAAGTCAAAGAAACTTCATCTTTAAATAATAAAGTCAATTTTTATTTAATCAAGTTCAAATAAGTGTGCCTTAAAATCTTTTTGTGGATAATATTGAGAATAATTATTTTAAATCTTAGGATCCTTCTAAATTTGAATTAAAAAAAAAACTTTTCCATTTTAAAAGATGCTTATTTGTTAAAAAATATAAAGCATAATTACATATTTTTCAGGCTTTTATAATTTTTTAGTTATAGAATGTTTTAAATAAAAAATAAAAAATAAAAACCTTTGAATTAATCTCAAAAGATTTTTAATGGCCACTTAAGTAGAAAGTAATTAAAAATATTGTAAAATTAAGTGATTTTTGTTGAAGATTAAAAACTCCTTGTCATTGACCTAATAGACTTTTTTAACCACTATCTAAACTAAAATAACTATGATTAAAAATTTCTATGGATTTTATTACAAATCTTCTAATCTCAAGTTTTTATGAGTTTATATCTGTAAAAGTAGATGGTTTCATTAAGATGGCATATTTTATATTTTGTACAAAAACTATCACATGTAAAAAAATAGCTAAATTCTTTCTTGATAATATTTACAAAGCTTGCTAAGAAATATTATATCAAATCAAGAGATTCAATTTTTATTGAGATTTTGAAGAATTCTTATTAAGATGGTAAAAGTAGACTTAAAACTATCTTAGGCTATATAATCTCAAATTGATAAACAAAAAAAAAATGAATCAAGTATTTGATTAGTATTTGACATGTACCATCAATTACCATCAAGATGATTAAAAATCTCATTTATCATTGAAAACATTTATTTTTAATAATATAATATATTCTACTATTCAAGAATTATCTTTTAATACTAATTATGCTTGTCATCTATAATTTGATAATTTTATCTTACTAAAAGCTAATAATCCTATGATAGAAGACATAAAAAATTATTTATTAAAATAATATACAATAATGAAGGCACAATAAACTAAAGTTTAAGAGCAATAAAATACCAATACAAATTTTTACAATGAGGAAGAACCTTAATACTATGTTGGCATTAAAGTATGATTTCTTCATCATAATATTAAGACTATTTATTTTTGTGACAAGTCAGATTATCTTTAATTTAGATTATTTCTATTTATGAATAAACTAATTCAATTACATATTAATTATCCCTACCAAAGTCTAAGAAGATCTATCTTATATTCCATATGCTACTTTTTGAATCATACATGATAATAGATATACCAAGAAAAAGACAAATGCCATCTTTTCTTATAGAATTAGACAGTAATAAAGAATTTGATGTAAAAGAGATGTAGACTCAAGGCACTGCCAAAATAGGTTAAAATATCTTATATATTGATGCGGATACAATATTCATGAATGCATATAGGAGCTATCTAAGAATCTTGCAAATGTATTGAAAAAGGTTAATGCTTTGCATTAATAACATCTATTGAAATCAAAATAAAGAATTAATAAATTTTTTGCTATAATATGAAGCATGTTTATTGAAGATTTAATTTTATCTTCTATCTTTTTTTGATGTTTCTTTGTATTTGTAGTGTAAAAAAAATAGATAATTAATAACTAGCATATTCAACTTAAAAACTATTGTTTGGTAAGTTATTAAACAAGCTATTGAAATTGTCACAACTTTCAAGACAACATAATAAAAATAAAGACCTTTAAAAATAACATGTTTTTCATTAAATGGTTGATGAGTTGTAATATATTTGATATAATAACCTTAGAAGAGGCTTTCAATGATTAGTAATATTATTAGAAGAAGAAACCACTACTAACAATGTTTCAAACATTTTATTTTTAAAAAATTATAAAATCTTTAATAATAATCTAATAATAGGATGGTCCTTTGCCTTAGTATGGAATAATATTGATAGTTGAGAGAATCTATTAACTACTTTTAAAGACAACAAGATCCGAGGAGCTTCATAGATGTAGATTTGACTTTACAAGTGTTTGTAGATAATAGAGTAGTTGAAAAATTGGCCAAAAATTGGCCACATGTTGCACATGTTTGCCATGTGGCATACATATTGAAAACTTGTCTTGCAAATTAGATATGTATCAAATGACCTATAAAATATTACCATGTAGTTTCTTAATTAGATTATATATATATATATATATATATATAGATGCAAGAATGAGGTCTTCTTTAGTCTTGTCTATATTTTTCTTGTTTTTAGCATTTTTTAAGAATTTTTAGTTTCTTTATATTTGACAATAGCTATTTTATTTTTAATATTATAATTTATTTTAAATAATTTTTATTTAAAAAAAAAATACAAAAATATCTTTATTCTATGGTTGTTTTGTTATATATTTCCATAATATTATGTTAACTATTCAATGATTAAAAATAATTCAATAAAAAATCATTAGCATAAAACAATGTTTTGTAATTGCATAATGAGAAATCTAATTTCCAACTTCAATTTCAATAGTGGCAAACCATGTAGAATTAAAATATTTAATTATTTGGTTGAATAAAAATTTCTAGTATTATTAATATATTCTATTAGTTCTATATTTGTACTAATATTAAAAATATTTTTATTTTATATAAATAAAATTAACTTGTTAAATATTCATCTCCATGTATCTTATCTTCATCCAAAAATAAAATAAATAAATAAATAAATAAATCAAATCCTCCAATGGCAAATATTTTTCATATCTTTTACAATAACTAAAATATTCTTTAATAGATTAACCATTATTAGCTCATTTCTAATTTCAAATAGAAAGATATTTAGATTTATCATGTTTTTTATTTTATGATAAAAATATAATCAAAAGTAATAATAATATTCAATCTACACCTTCAAGTATTCTATAAAAATAACTAATTTTTCTAATCCACTTTTTAATTACAATTTTTTGTAAATTTGTGAATTTCTATATTTTGACATGAATCTAAAACTTTAGTTATTATAATGAAACTTTAAAAATATTTTTCTTAATTCTTTTAAAAGAACAATAAGAATCAATTAAGAAATTTTTTAAAATACTAAAGAAATTTTATGAAATATCCTTATTGAGTTATATATGTCTTATACGATTCTATGAACTCATTTAATATAATATTGATGATGCATTGGTACCTCAAGTACAAATAATAAGCAACATCTTTTTAGATATATGAATTTTTTTCTTGTATTATTATTTCAAAAAAAATTCTATAATGTCTTTAGATTTTTAATATATTACTTGATTTCATCCTTATTATTTTTTATTTGCATCAGTGCACAATCATATCTTTTGAAATTATACTTATAAATATATTAAGTAGCTGAATTTAAACAATAGACATCAATATTGACATAACAATTATATGTTTTGTTGACAATAGGATTATACATAAAAACTTAATTATCTACAACCTTATTACTAACATTAAAAATCCTTTCATCGTTCTTGTATATAACACGGCTTGATTATTACTATTTCTTGACACCACATCTTAATATATATATATATATATATATACATATATTTTAATATTTTTTATCCACCACACATAAAACTTACATGTTTTGAAGTCTACACAAACCATAATTTATATAAAATCTAATCATATTAATATATTTATATATCTTTTTTTAAAAAAAATTATAATAAAATAGAAAAAGAATATAAAAAAACATGATGTTCTCATGGACATTTCTAAAGCTTCTAAATAGTCTGAACTAAAACATTTGCATTACAATATATTGTTGCTTCATGTGCAAAATTAGGAGTATATATATATATATATATATATATATATATACATAAATATACATAGATATATAGATATATAATTGTAAATACTTAACTTTCAATGTTTCTCTTGCTAAAACAAAATAACATATCTATTTGATGCCAAACCTCTTTATCCTAAATTATTTGCACTATGATCTTAAAAAAGAGCATAGTCAATTTTTATATTAAAGGATGAAAATTCATTAAAAGCATTGTATTTCTAAATATTCTTTTAAAACTTGTCAATTTCATCTTATCTATTAGGAAATTATTTAATCAATTATAATCAAAAATCAAATCAAAAATCAAATTAAAAAATCCAACTATTCTATAATGACAACATATAAAAATTCCTATATTTAGTCTTAAAAATGAAATAATTCATTTTACTATCCAATAGAGAGCCTTATAGTATAGGCATTGAATATGTGTATTTCCAATATTGTAACAACTTTCTAAGATTTTTCTTTTTTCATTATCTTTGAAATTAATTTGTTCCATTTGTTTACTAATATCTTTCATTCTAGTAATGCTCTTGCTTCTTCTTCCTATTGTGCACGTTATATTGCTTCTTTCTATATACTTATGTATGTTGTTTAATTTCATAGCAATCCATAAGCTAATAAATGTCTTCTAAAATACAATCATTTATATTGGCAATATTATGTCCTTTTGTCTCTCATTCATTCCGTTGTCTATGTTGATTGGCTTGTTTACATATTCTTTGTCTTTATTGTTTAATTGCACAATGATTGCATATTGACACATTATTGTCCAAATTCTTTTATTAATTATCAATGAATTGCTTTTCTTTACATACTCTTTACTTTTATTGTCCAAGAGCTCAATAAATTATGGAACTGCAATTAGTCACATTTTCTCTCTAGATACATTGTTCTCCTTCTTCATAAGCTCATAACAACATGAATGAATGAATGATGGCAAAACGTACATTTGTTCACCATTCATCAACGGAAAAGTTGATAAAGCTCTAGGAGAATAAGTCCACAATTCCGTCAATCATTTCATGTGCAGATTAACGTTTCATGAAACAGTAGAGCCAACTTCATCACCCGCAGCGGGAAACAAGTCTGTTATCTTCGGAAAGTTCCTGTGAATATACCTGTGTGTGTGTATATATATATATATATGTGTGTGTGCATAATGAATGATCATGAATATGTGGTTGGACAGTTGCTAAGCGTCCCATTTTGAAAATTCACAGAAAAGTTTGTGAAGACTGTAAGTGCAATTTTCATACTAAACCAACATCACAGTGAAGAAAGCCAAGAAAGCAGAAGTGGGTACAAAAAAAATGAATGTCATTCTAGGATAAGCTACAAGAACCAGGATATGAGAAAATGTAGCGAGAAATTTGCAAGTGGCAAACTTTCCATTACGAATCGACAAAAAGAAGTGAGAAGGTCACAAAAAAAGTTTGTTTTAAGTAAGAAACCTTATGCTACATCGTTTAACATACAGCAGCCATGATACATACAACAATGAAATGCCAGAAGCCTTACAAAAAAGGTCCAACGGCCAGGCACTTCCAGGATAATGAACAGAAGAATGAACTGTCAGGAGTTATATCACCGGACAAATGAGCCAGACTTCTTCTCCTTTTTCGCAAAATTGTCCGAAGTCTCCATAATCGACCCACTAGCATTAACCATGTCGAGATCGTCGCCACAGTCTGCCACAGTAGACATCATCCCCACGATTGACGTTAAGAAATAATTCTTTTTCTCAACAATGCTGAACGTCAATAAGAAAACAAGCATTAGAGGTCCTATTCAGCTGAAAATACCTTGGGTAAGCTTACGCTTTCTGGACCAGATAGCCGCCTTGAATCCTCTCCTCTCCCCCCTTGCAGCCTCTGGAAACTCTTCAGACATGATCTCATCAAGCTCCCTCTCTGACATCTCCAGCAATGTAGCTACGGTATACTTGCTGGAAGCTAATTTCTTCGCAAAATCTCGAACAGTCTCCTCTTCCAAGAAATTCTGGAGCAATGCCTCAATGTTGTCTTCCAAAGTGCCCGCCATTTGCAATTGTCCGATAGAGTCTTGCAGACTAACCACCCTTGCTAGTTTTTTCTTCAGGTAGACGCTAGGAGAAACACCTGGACAGAAAGCGAACATAAAGAACTACATTGTAAATATCCTAATCAATAAAATGAAAAATATATATATATATATATATAGTAAATCAATTAACAGGAAAAAAATATTTCGTTAAGCTGCATTCAATCAATGAAAACAACCACACCAAAAAATCCACCCACAAGAAACGAGGCAGCTATTGCCTAGAGAAACGATGGTCAGCCAGAGTTTCACCTCCAAAATAGCCACCGGGCATACCACCTGGTGTCCGGGGAGAAGGAGAAGAAGCAAAGCGTGCCTGCTTCCGAGCAGATCCTATGCGTGACTGTTTAGGACTGCATCCTATTAGCTCATCCAAGGCCTCAAACCATGGCCATTTGCAAGGAACATTACCAGCCAATTTGTCTTTCTCCTGCAGTAAATTAAAATATCCGATAAGTTCCGCTTGATTCCACTCATCAGAGTCCGTATCAAGTCAAAAGTCGATCCACGGACGACCCCAACACTTGGTTGATACAACTGAGAAGCCAAAAAGCATTGTCTCTTGCCCTCGAAAACTTTCATTACACCTAATACCTTCACTGCTGCGTTAAGCTTGAAACTCAAGATGTTGATAGGGCAAGTCATCTATGGCAGCATTTACTACTCTCCTTTCGGTGCTTAAGGAAACTTTCGATTTAGATTACTGTGACTGACCTGAACATGAACAATAATAATTATACCTGACGGTATCGTTTCTTTAAACTGTCGACCTTCATACGGCATTGCTCCTGTGTCTTAGGCGCCTTTTCATTTGCACAATGGGTGTTCACTTGTTTCGCAACCTCACCCCAATCTTTGCTGCGAAAGTTGTTGCGATCCAAGGCATGGAATTTCTCCCTTCAAGATGCCAGGGTTACAAAGAATCGAATATTAGAACTTGCCGATAGTCAATCCGCGGCACCAGGCAATGCAATACGACATGTTCCTTTACAAATAGTGAACAGACCCATTAACCGTACCTTTAATTGTGCGACAAGGCGCGCTCGCCATCGCACTATCAACACTCGCACGACGCTTAGGTTTTTCCTAAACCACAATGGTACGATGCCACGAAGCAATTCCAGACCAAAAAAAGTTTAAACAAATTACCCCCTCCTCGAACCCACGAACTCCACCCCCAACCCTCAAAGAAAATCGTTTCGAAACAGACAGTTCGAGGAAAACCTGAAAGCGGAAATTAGCACAGCGGTTGCGGCCTCGCTCCACTCAGTGGCAGGCTCCCGCCCGGCGTTGGACTTCAGCAAAGGGCTGTCCGTATTATTATCCCCACCCCCCACAATACCCTCCACGTCGTCAAGATCGGGGTCGGAGTCACGCAGTTCCAGCGGGGGCGGCAACCCGGGCGACGAGAGGTGGTGATCCTCCTGGTGATGGTGGTGGTGCGGGTGGTGCCCGTGGTGGTGGTGCTGGTGGTGCTGGTGGTGCAAGTGGTGATGCTCGTGCTCGTGGTCATGATCTTGGGGGTTGTCATTCACCACCACCTGAACCACCTGGTGATGATGCAGCTCGTCGCTCCCATCATGCCCCGGCGCAATGCACGCCTCCGTCGCGGCAGCAGCAGGAGCGTTACCGATTGCAAGTGGGTGATTACTAATAGTATTAGCGCTGTTGCTGCGACGAGCCTGCTGTTGTTGCTGCTGCTGCTGCTGCTGCTGTCGATGAGAAACCACGGCACCAGTGCTTTGTTGGTCGTCCTCCTCCATCGCCAACGACGCGGGGAGGGGGGGGGGGGGGGGGGGGAAAAAAAAAAAACTTTGGGTTCCCTGTCTCCGTCTCTTCCTCGGCTGAAGGTCCGCGTGGGAAACAAAATCTCGCTCTGCTCTCGTCGGGGGAACTGGTTTACCTCGGCCCCTTTCTTTTGGTGGTTTTTCCCCTTTTGGTCGGTCGGCCACCCTCGGAACCAAATTCCCTTTGGCGCTTTTTTTTTCCCCCGCGAGGGAGCCATTACCAGGGCAAAAAAAAAAAAAAAAAAACCCCCCCTTACCACCAAGCTTTTTTAAAAAAAGGTCCTTCCCAACCAATTATGGCCCCCCTTTTGGCCAACCTTTTTTTTATCTGGGTTTATCAAAAGATAAATCCTTGGAATGAAACCAGGGGTTCCCCCCTTTTTTTTTGCCAAAAAAAGGCCTGGGCTTTTCATCCAACCCCCCTTCTTGGGCTCCAGAAATCCTTTTTATCCCGTTTACCCATACCAACAATTTATCCATTTAAACCCTTTTTTCCCCCTTTTCAAAGGGGGAATTTAGGGCCTTTCCCGGGTCCCTGAAAACGGGGGCCCAATATCGACGTGTCAAGTTTGGGGGGAAATTTTTTGCCCTTAAACCTCTAAAATAAAATGGCAAAAATGAAAATATACCCCGAAAAAAAAACAAAAACGGGGGCAAAAATTTGGGGGGGTGTTATTTCCCCCCACCCTGAACCCCCCCGGGGGAGGAAGCAATTTGTGGCTCCCCTCAATGCCCCGGGGCAAAGACCCCTTCCTTTGGGGCAGAAAAGGAAGCTTTCCCGTTTCAAAGGGGGGGGTTTCCAAATAGTATAAGCCTGGTTGTTGCGACGACCCTCCTGTTTTTCCCCCGGCCCCTGCTGCCCCTTTCGATGAGAACCCCCGCCCCCCGGCCTTATTGGGTCGCCCCCCGCCCCCTCCACACACCGCGATTGCGGTTGGTGGGGGGGGGGGAGAAAGGGAGAGCTGTGGCTTCGCTGTCTCCGTCTCTTCGTCGGCTGAGGGTCGGCGTGGGAAGCAGATTCTCGCTCTGCTCTCGTCGTGGGATCTGCTTCACCTCGTCCCCTTCCTTCTGCTGCTTCTTCCCCTTTCGTTCGTTCGTCCACCCTCGCAACCAACTCCCCTTCGCCGCTTCTCTCTCCCCCCGCGAGGCAGCCATAGCCAGCGCACACGACGACGACGACGACGCCGCCGTCACCACCAGCCTCTCTCGACGAATGTTCCTTCACATCCATTCATGTCCCCTCTTTCGTCCATCCTTTCTTTCATCTGCGTTCATCATATGTTAATTCGTTGGATTGAATCGTGTGTTCATCCGTTTTTCATTCGTCGAATCATGCCCTGTCCTTTCCATCCATCCCCCCTTCTTGGCTCCAGGATTCGTTTTCATCCGTCTACCCATCCACACATTCATCCATTCAACCTCTTTTCCCCCTTTCCGAGGCGGATTTTTGTCTTTCTCTGTTCTTGAAATCGTGTCCATATCTGCGTGTCAGTTTGGGGGAGTTTTATGCTTGAAATCTTAATTAGATTGCAGATTGAATTAGCCTGAGAAAATACAATGCGTGAAATTTTGGGTTAAGAATGTAAAAATAAAAGAAACAACATTGGTATGTAATGCAACTATTTACTATTCTCACATAGGCTTCGGATAAATAGAGGGAGCAATAAATACATAGCCTATGGGAATAATTTAATAAAAGCATTATTATTTACCGAACACACAACATAAAAAGAGAACTAGTTCATATATATATATATATATATATATATATTATGATCTCATTTTTGATTGCTCTTTTAGTCATAGTTATTATATCAAATAATACAATAATTGTAGTTTATTAAACTGACTTTAATATATATTGTAAGAATGCAATCGAAATTAATCAATGAGGTGAATACATGCATTGATTAAACCAAAAACCAAAAACAAAACAAAACAAAACACACTGTATTAATACACTGCAGTTATTAAACACTATAATAATCAAACTATAAGTAATCAACTAGTCTATCCACGAATTGTTGAATGCAAAGTTTTATTTCTATGTTTAATACACTCTCACATCAACGTAAAATATATGATTTACGATAACTACAATAATGGTGAATAATAGTATTTGGCGCAAACACATGGAAGAACACACAAAAACTACTCCCATGTGTGTTGTTATAGTAACGTGGAAATTATTGTGCGTGGTCCAAGTAAATCACCTAGAAGCACATTGCACTATGGAATTGTGACTTCATTAAAATAGTATTATAATTGTGTGAAGGAAGCATCAGGTGAAGATCTGAAAAACACTGCAACAAGGTGAAATACTACATTTGATTTCAAGGACGGCTCTGTGTCGTGGGTATTTGTATAATTGAAGAGCATCGATAAGAAATTGCAAAGCCAAGAGTGAATATGGATACAATCAGTTTTAGAGGCCGCTTTCTCACTCACACGAAAGCTGGGCGTTACAGAATGTTGATTATGAGGATTTTTGCTACACGTAGGAGAAGGAGACTTGTCTGGAAAGCTGAGAATTGGGGGATATTCCATACAGTTTAAAATGCTTCGGGAACATAAATCCACATGTCCACACAACATACGCATCATTTCGTAGTGAGAAATCTCCTTTCAATGAAGTTGAGGAGTGCTTCAACTTATGCTCCAACTCAGGATGTGTTGGCTTGGATGAATAATGAATGCATCTATTCCGATTGTAACAAAGTGCAGTATTGATCTATATCACAAACTCCTCACCGATAGGATCGGTCCCTATTACCAGACCAAGTTATCCAGTACGCAGAATCCGAGCTACTAAATCAAGTCGGACAGACAGCAATCAGTACCACCGTTTCCTACTGAGACGCCTGGTGACAAGGATTGAGCAGGCATGGCCATCGTGTCGCACGAATCAGAAAGAATATCACATGACAATGTAGCCATTATACACGCTGCTGAATTCTTACATCCTTGGAGCTTAGACAGCGTAAAAAGCAATAAGGATGCTTCATACTTTTACATAAAACTTCAAATGACCTATTTTCAATCAGTTCGCCTGCTTCCATCAAACCAGGGCTGTTCCAGTCTCAAGGAATCTGTGCTAACAGCACAACCTTGGTCACCATAAATTGCTTCTTTTAACACGTTATACATATCATTGACTTCGCTCCATGCCGCATCCGAAAAGGCATCCTTCGCCTGTACCCAACAGTTCGCACTGTAAGTATTCATGCCAATGAACTCGCCTGTTTACATCCTCATAGACAAGCAGTGATAGACACATCTTACATTTTTGGAATCGTCGACTAACTTCGCAATGGAATCATAATCTAGTTGCTCGGAAACGGCTAGACCAACTCCGCTAAATCCTACTGCTCTTCGCTCTCCTAGCTCCTTTTGTACCTGCCATAACCAGCAACCATGAATATGAAATTAGTGATAAGACAAAGCCATCATACAAAGTCCTTGTGTTACAGCTTATCACAATTAATACGCTGGTTTAGATGAAACAGCCTTTAAAAGGAGATTAAATGAACTAACCTGGACAGGAGGTGGCATAATCTCAAAACATAGTAATGATAGGGCATGTAAATGAGCAGGTACTCGGACAATGTCAGATAGTCGCTTCATATTCTCCACAGCAGACGAGTCAAAATGTGCCTGCAAAGATGACCACCATGTTAGAAAAGAAATCTAAATTCGTATACTATATTACCCAGCAATGCTCACGAAGAGCAGACCTGATAGTGGACCCTATAATTTTCAATAATTGGATTTTTTCTTTCTTTTCTTATTTAAAAGTGAACTTACAGGAACCCATTCGTTGGTCTCAGGATCAGGGCGATCGCGTCCACCACTGGGTGCTACCCATAATAATTGACCTCCCTGCCTGAAAACTCATCCCCAAATCCCAATCCAATATCAATATCAAATAGTACACCAACTGCAGAACAATTCTAGGAGAGAGAGAGAGAGAGAGAGAGAGAGAGAGAGAGAGAGAGAGAGAGGGAAAAAAAAAAAAAAAAAAAAAAAAAAAAAAAAAAAAAAAGAGGACCTACGCATTCGTACCTCAGCAGGATCGTCATCTGTCTCAAAGTCTTCGCATTAGCTTTGATTTTCATTTCAGCAAGGTCCGGTACATCGTGAATGTGCTTTTTTGAATACACGCACAAGAGATTCCTGATCAACGAACATGTCCTATCAGCTACATAAATAATCACAGAGAAGTTCAGGCGCGCAAGAAGGTACAACATCACACATGTACACGTTGGCGATGATGAAACAGAGGACTTGTGAAGTTTGACCCTACCTTTAACACAACGACATAAGGATAATCATAATTTGGTAGAGATAGAGACTTGCCTGCCCATACTAAAAGGTTTGCAGAATGGATCCAGCACAACCCTGTCTCCAGCCACATAGGTCTGACAGGTATATGACGTCAGACTTAACACTGAAATCACAGTAGAGATGCATGTGTTTGAATACGGGCATGATCACCAAATTCTTGAAGGCTTACCAAGTTCTCTGCCAAATAGGGGTGAGAGTGCTCAAGCAACAGCGCCATAACAGCAGGATCTGCCTCAGTCTGGTGATTGGATAGAAAAATGACGTTGTGCCCCTGTCATAGTAATACGGTCACAGTCAGTAATTTCAAATGGTCCGCTCCTGACACGAAGTAGCACTCTGTCAACAAATCCGTTGAGAAACTAAGTTGCTCCTCGAAACAGGCACCATAATTCCACAATTCACATCGACCAACAAGATCCCCACCTCTTTCAGGTTCTTCTCTATCTGGTCAAAGATCTTTAAGTTCCCAAGGTAAGAGTTCCTGTATCATCCAGAAAAATAGAACAAACTAGTGAGCAAAGTGAAGCAGAAACAAGCAAAACAAACCGTCATCCAAACCCGTGAATTGATGCCTACCTGAAATCTAGGAGAGGACGCACATAGTTCTGACCAAATGTGTAGTAATCATACGGCTCCACCATTCTCTTGTGGTGCGATCCAAATGTGAATGGCTCCTAAACACAAAGTCATCCACCACTGTAACAGTTAGGATTCCAGACACTGAATATCATAATATAGTACAGTTCCCATTCAGGAGCCGAGTGAGTGTACAACGAAGCTTTAGAAGGACGCACCTCGAACTGCAGAAGAATCCGGTCCAACACAGTTGACATGACTTTCACAACAATATCCATCGCATTTTCTACGCCACTGCTCACTACCTGCTCATCAATTGCCAAAGTCAGATGTATTCGATAATCCCCTTTACTTCAACCCACACAAACTCATCATTGCCAGGTTTATGGTCTGTCAGAATTCAGGAGATGGCTGCGACTTCAGTAACCTCGTTGAAACCTCTGTTGTACTGTAGAAAGGCCTCACTTATACACAGCCAAATGGCAACAATACTAAACGCTGACAATTGAGAACTACATTGCTGATGATTGGTTAATTTTGCGAACTTTACACCTATGTAGAAAATAAAAGACGAAGACCTACAGCATCTCGATAATTGCGATACAACTCTACCATTCCCGCGCCAGCACGCTTCGGCAGCCGACCGGATTCCACCTCCTTTTCAATTACCTGCATCAACTCTGCATCCCAAGTAAATTATTTATCAGACTCAAACCTATTGAACTCCAGAAAACTGCCCATTGAGAATCCCATAAGACGGGCAACCGCTCAAAAATTCAAACTTGACCCGCAATCCATGTGCATTTCTCCAGACACAATGCTCATGAAAACAAGGTTGAAACTATGGGAATTTGGTTCAAGTAAACCTCACCACTGACATAACCCTTCCTGAAAGCATCTTTCAAACATTCAGAGAGCATTCAAGCTCAATTCCGTCATCAAAAGAAATAGGTCAGGTACACTACGGAATAAAAATTCCCAGACTATACATGGCGCAACAGACTCATGATTCGTTGTGGGTCCCCACAACCCCAATTGTTGAAGTTGGAACAGGCGAGTATTATGTTTTCCTATCCATGACTTGGAATAGTACCTAAACAGCTGGGATAAGAGAGGATAATGTTGGCTTTTACGAAAGCAAAAGACTGAAAGTAAAACAAATCTCTGCGTAAAACAGCTGCCATGACAACGATTTTGATCTCAGCCAGCAGGGAAAGCACCTTCTTCCGATTGAATTCCTTCAAAACTGTGAGAATGACCGTCGATAATAGCGCGGTCCTCAATGGTCTCCCTAAGACCAGCTGTGGTGGCTTCAGCCACCTGCGTGGTCGCCCGCGTACTCCCACTAATTTCACGATGGAATTCAGATTTCCCGAAATTGGTCACGGCATTCCCCGGCGTCCTTCTGCCATTGCGTTTCGCCCGAAACAGCGACGGCATAGTCAAGGCTTGCGGCAGAAGGCGGTTACCTTGGAGCCGATCGAAGCTCCCTTTCAACGACGCATGGCCGCTGCCACTGGTACTACTGGTAACACTAGTTCCACCCCCCCTGACCGGGGCATGCTGCTTCTCTGCCCTAGACCAACATACCACGCCAGCGGAACCAGCTGCTGCCGCCATAGCTCTCCACTCCGCTCGTCCAACTCCACCACTTTCAGCAGCGTCCTCCCCAACTCCCACCCACCGCAAGATATCAAAATCCAAAAATCCCCTAAATAATCCTGCCCGCACCAACCCACATAAATAGACACCACACACACCCAAATTACGCTACACCAGCGTAAAGCACCAGCACCCTCTCTCAACAGCCCACCTCCTGGCCCACCCCTTGCACCCCTGTCCCATTCCAATAAACCCAACAAAACGTCCAAACGGACGAGAAAACCGAGAGTAATAAGAAGTAGACGCACTAACAGAAGAAAACACAAGAGAAGAAGCAGAATAATAAGCAGCAGCAGCAGCAGCAGCAATAGTGGCACGAGAGGACGCGTGGATGAGAAGAGATGACGACGGCGATGCTGGGAAGAAGAGATGGGGCCCGAATCCGAAGACGCAATCGACGGAAGGATTGAGTGGAAGATTGCAGTTGTGGCTCTGGGAGATTAGTGGCGATATTGTGGGCGAGGAGGAGGAGTAGAAGGGAGGCTACAACCCAACTAAGCATCTGCAGCACATCAGCAGCATTGCGATGAATGATGCAATCGAGAGGTGGAGACGGGGCCCTGACGTCCGCTCTGCCGATGATGGATGGCCCCTCCTCGCTCGCTCCTGCCGGACCCCGCCATCGCCATAGCCAGGATCACCATGTCCACCGCCCACTTCGGCACGTTACGGCGCGTCACATCGCGTCACATTGCGGCTCCTTGCGGCCATGGTGACGGTCTCTGGGGATAAGACTGCCGCTTCCTACCCCTAGCTACGTTCATCCATATATAGTATTTTTATCCGTGACGTGGCGTGGTTTTGGGTCCACGAGTTCCCGGGCTTTGGTGACCAAGGCTTTAAGTTTGTGGCGCTGGTTTCACACTGGCTCTCGGGGTCTGCACGCCCCGCGAGCTCCCATTGGTTGATCGGTGATGGGTCCTGAAAGAAAGGACGGCCACTCACATGAGGATCATTGCAGTGCTGGTGGTGGTGGTGGGTGGGTGAGATGGTGGGTTGCAGTGTGAACGGAGTCTATTCCTCGAGTGATTGTGGAGCGCCCTTTTCTCCCTTGCTCCAAGTGTTGCCTTTATGGATTTCTCGCACTTTATAATCTTTCTACTTTTCGTTTGCTTTTCCATTTTAAACTTTTATTTTTATTCTTGATTCTTTTTTAAGTGAACTATTAAAAAATTAAATTAAATACGAAATAAAGGGTTGCTAAGAAAATGGCCTCTAGAGAAGAAAAAAACTCTCGAAGTCAATATCAAGATCTGCAGGAATCAAAATTTGAATTGAATTTAATGTTTGTAGTTTGATGAAAGAAAAAAAGAAAAAAAAGGCAAGATTGAGTACAAATTACAATGCTGCAAATCCTAGAGTGAAAGAACATAAAAAAGGAATCATACAAAAAACTATATTTGTAATTAGAATAAATTTAAAATACTAACAATATGCATACATTACATCTTATGAAAGAGATAGAAGGGGAATCAAAACAAATATTTTGCATTTAAGAAGCAAAGACCCAATCTAAAATTCTAATCAAGAAGGTCAAATTTTTATGTGCAAATTGCAATAAATTTGATTTAAGTTGGAGTACCTCAACAAGTTGAAATTACTACCATACTAATTAGCATATTCATATAATATTCTGAAAAATACCAGTATGGTAATGACCTTGTTTTGGTGTATTAAAATATCTTCAAAGCATTTGATCATTGCATTGGAATTTATTTACATCATCCTCCTCCTTATTTATGTATTGTATAGGTAATAGAAATAATTTAAATATGTGTATAACAAATGCATTGGGTAAAGTAAAAAAGTAGGTCGTATTGTTGTCAATAGCTCTTTATTAAGAATTACAAACAAGAGATTAAAATTAAGAAAAGAAAAAAGTAAAAAAGAAAATGTTTTTATTTGAACGCATTAAGGATGGTGAAATGACTTTGGCATCTTGTTTTAGAACCAGTAATGTAGATGATTCTTCATATGCATGCTTTAAAATTTGTGATAGCACATTAATTTCTTCTCCTAGAAAAATATTTTGAAAAATAATTAAAAATGCACTTTATATTAAAAATGCACTTTATATTAAAAATGCACTTTACACCATTTTTCAGATGAAAAGATGGTTAACTATTTGATTTTGAATACTTTGACAAATAAATCATCGTCATGGCGCCTACTCTGAATTTAGATACAAATATTAACATCTTTTAATCTGAAAAATATAAAAGTTCACTTCAACATCCTGGGGTTTGAAGCTATCTACTGGACATGCTTTTTAATTACAAGATAATATTAGTTTTTTCCTCATAAACATGAGACAATCAAATAATAATAATAATAATAGTTCATTTAAATTTAATATTAATACAACTTTTAATTATTGAGTTTTTGATATATTTTTTAGATGTTTTTATTTATTATAAAATTGATATATTTAGGATATTTCTAATGTCACCACAATCCACCACATGCTAGTTACACCCTTTGTCAATTCTAAATTGAAAATTATTTTTTGTAAAAATATTATATTTATATTTATATGTTTATAGTATTATTTAATCAATTATATATATATATATATATTAATAATTTTTAAAGTATTAAAAAATATATTTTTGATAAAATTTTGTTGTTTTTTATTAATATAAAATTTACTCTTTAAGAAATTAAAAAGAAAGGTATTAGAAATATTAATAGTTTTTTTATTGGAATAAAAAATCTAAAAAATATGTCAAATGGGTAGTGGGTTGCAGTAGCATAGCCAAAATTGTAGTAGCATTAGCAATATTATAAATTTGTTATTAAATTTTAGAAGTATACTTTTAAAATTTTAACATATGATTATCAACTAAAATTCAATGTAAGTTTAATCATAAATATTAAAAGAATTTCTAAATGCATAAATTTCAAATGTATAATTATGCATGTTTCTAAAATAAATCTTTACTTTAAAGGTTTTGAATCAGAAGAAAATGCATGTCACACAAATATGTTAATTCTAAAGTAAGCTTACATAATTGATAAAGTTTTATCTACTTTGTGTACTTTGATTTTGAACAACCTTGATAACCTTATCTAAGTAGCTTTTTAAATATAAAGCTATTTTTTTATTTAAAATAAGATTTATGGTATATGATCATTGATGCCTTTGTGATCTCAATCTAATCTCAATCATTTATATTTAAATTTATAAAAGACTACAATCATTCTATTTTATTTTTTTGTGTATCTACTTTGTTTCTTCTCTTTTTGTATGTATATATGCATGCATACATACTATTAAATTTATTTTTATTACATATTCATTTGAATTGTGACCTCATCCTACTTTTATATTTTGTACAATTAATTATTGGTTTATTTATAATATTATAATTGCAATCTCTGCCTATTTTTCTTGACCAATTTCTACACATGAATAATACCTTTTGATACTAATGCATCAACTATTAATTAGCTCATAATAAGAATGTAGTAAGACCATAACAATTCATTAGACTTGTAAGCCAATAGACCACCCAACTAGTGACAAGATATATACATATAAACCATGTTTAAAATATTAAGCCTTTATGAAAATCCTTCTCTTTTCTAATTGACTTACAATCAAAAAATATAAAAAATATCTAAAATTACAAAAAATGTATATAAAAATATAGTAGGGCATAAGTAAGTCACATCTTTATGAATTTTTGGATTTTTTGGTGGAACGCTTTTTAATAAGTCCATCTAATACAAAAGAATTCATGGAAAGTAATTGAACCAAAAAGGATGGTCACTTCGTAAGAAATTAAAGTTCCTTTCTATTTCATACATGGTTGATGTGTATCTTTCTTTTTTTTAATATTGAAATCAATTCCAATCCTTTGCATACCCTCTTAATGGAGCTTTGCCAATCTTTTGAATTGTATGTAGTCTAAAAGAATCATAAAATGGATGTTCATTTGCATAAATATATTCTTAATTATATAAAAGGAATTTGGTGATACTTATATTAAATGTGGTGTCAATTTTTTCCAGGCTCATTTTATTTATTGCCAATTTTTGGATCCAAAGTTTTATTGTTGTTTTGATAGCATTGCTTATTTACAATCCAACCACCATATTAATACTTTGAGTTTCTAATAAGAAACCAAAATGTCTTTCAAATAATTTTGCGACTTCGTTTTTTGTGCCCATGACTACTTATAATTTAATATTTAATTTAATTTAATATATTTTTATATTACCAATAAGTCCAAATTTTATTTTAATTAAAAATTAATCCTCGTGCAATATTAAAAAGACTAAGGATTTTTATTTAGTTTTTTGATAATGAATTCTTCTTTCTAATATAGTTAGTACAGAATTGTTTGTATACTATCTAATAAGTTGATGGTTATCACCTCATGATAGTTATACATTAGAAATGCCACCATTTTGAAGTGCTTTTTATATTCTAATATTTAAGACATCTCTAACTAGGAGAAATAAATATAAAACTATTAGACAAAGTTGTCTAACTCTTTTTTCTAATCCACATAGTTAAATAAGACTGACATTTGTACATATTGCAACTTTAGCATTGACAAAGAGCACTTTAATGATATCTATGAATTTGTTGTGAAACCATAACCTTTTTATTGTTTAAAATAAGAAGTTATAAGATACAATGTCATAAGATTTTCTAAAGTACATCTTTAGTAGGAGTAGTCGTTTCTTAGATGTCTTTGTCCATTAAATAATTTTTCAAGTAACTAATATATTTTCTAATAGGTACATATATATATATATATATATATATATAAATAAGGCCTTTTAATTCAAATAAATTATTTCTATAAGTACATATTGTAATTCTTTTTGGAAGACCTTTGCATACATGTTGTAAGAAGTATTAAAGAATGTGATGGCTCTTTGCTTATTTAAAGATTTTTGGTCTCAATTTTTTTGCAATGATAATGTTGTTTTTCTTTAAATCATTTTAATAATTTTTCTTATATTAGAATTTTTTAAACCATTTTTATATAGTCTTTTTTTTTTTGATATTCTAAAATATTTTAAAGAAGTCCACTCTCACTTTATTTAGGCTTAATAACTTATATTTTAATATATCATTAAGTGTCAAATTTAGTTTCTTCTTGACATTAGTTATAAAAGACTAACATTCATTTGATATATATTATTTTTTAAGCCATTAAAGTAACTAATACTTTATCTCTTACGGCTGAAAATAATGGCTTAGAATAAAAATTTACTTAATATCTAAAATTCTTCACTCCTATGTTTATGTCTTTGGTCTTAAATTTTGTCTTTTAATTGCTGCAATAAATTTGTTTTTGCATGAATCTTTATGAGCCAGAAATTTAGTATGCAATCTTATTCTGAAGTCTTTTTTTTTTTTTTTTTTTTTTTTTTTTTTTTTTTCCTTCAACAAACCTTTCTATATTCCTTTGTGTAGTTTAATATTTTTTAAGGCATTCGAGTTCTATAAATTTGTTCAAGATTAGAGTGTGCATATATCAATTTTCTTTATTTATTCTTTTTATTTGATGGACTTAATCTATACAAAAGTATTTATAGAATCTACTAAGTTATCTAAGTCTACTTTAAAAGAAACCATCTTATCATGTTTTACAATATATATATATATATA